AGTTATCTATTCACTCATTCGGTGCTAAGACTAGCACAACATACGAATTCGTATCAAAGTAGAATATAAGCCCCCTCTCACCCCCAACTTTCTCCGCCACAATATCCTAAGAACAAAGGGTAATTTGGACCAAAGGTTTTCATCCTACTTGGATATTGATGAAAAATCCGTCATCATGACTGTGCATCCAGGTTATAGAATTCGGGTATTACAGAAATCCAAGTAATAAGCAAAGATATAACTACGAATCTGCCCCCATCCCCTGAAAAAGAACAGCAAGAGATTTTCACTGTCATCACATCATCACCAATCAGATGATAACAAAAATCAACCTACCAGACGAAAAAATGAACAGAAATAAGGTCTTCAGTGCATCCCCTATTTCTCTACGGGAAGATTCACATCCCCAGCACCCCAAATCATAGTAGCAATTTGTCAGCCCAACAATCCTTCAAGGAATTCGACGAATTTTCCCGATTCTATACTTGGAAAAAACTGTGATACTACCTACCATGAGTCTATATACCTAGTAATACACGAAAGAGTTTCAAAACGGCCCTTCACGCATTCGTCATCGCTAAGCATTCACTATTCTGCAAACTGGTCGATCCCTCCCTCGATCCCACTTCCGATTTTCAACTCCAAATCACTCTCCACCTTCACCTTCACCTACACCTTCATCTCCATAACAACAAAGCAACACCTCACATCCAACATCAAAAACAGAAACCCCAAGGTAAGAAAGAACCACAGAGTTTGAACATCCCTCAAAATGTACATCTACACACACACCCAGGTACATAAAAACAGTTGAAACGATTCGCGGTCCTAACCACCATTCCATTTCAAACATCACACATATACACGACAATCAAGCTGATAGGTCAACTCATCCGACTGAAAGTTAACACGTTCAACATATGGTAATTTTATTTATTCAAAAAGAGGGCGCTCAATAGCTATTCCGAACGATACAATCTCATTCCATTTCCTTGATCCATACATGAACACAGAGAAAGAGAGGGGAAACGAGATTAAACCATATCAATTCGGTATCAAGACAATATCATCTACATGCACGACTAACCGCCAAATCAAACCACAATACGAACGAAGTGAGGTATATAGCATGTTCTGAAAAAAAAATCTCATCATTGCATTCCAATCTACCATACGTAGTTGTACTTTTTAGCCAAGAATTGAAAGAGAAAGAGAATGAATGCAAAGAAAAATATACATGTAAAAGAAGATGGAGATGGAAAACTCCCATGATTTCTCATTTTATTTCGCCAAGAACGCCAATTAAACCCATCCACCCCACGACCTGACTGCCTCCTTTCTATTGACCAAATTTCGATCCAGTACATCAGTTTCCATGTCCTCCTCATCGTAATATAATCACGCTGGACCCGTCCTTGCTAGAACCTCACTTAGATGTTTCAAGTCATTCTGCGCCTTCTCGTCTCTTTCCAAAATACTTCTAATAGCCTGCCATTCCAAGTCCCTCATTTGATAAGCCTGTGGCATTAAGAAACCAACTGTGGGAGCCCTTGCATAGTCACCTAGTATTCTCAACGCAACAGCTTCACCTTCCGCTTGAGCAATCCGTCTTTGCTCTTCCAAGTTCTGTTGTTGGTGTCTTTCCTCAGGTTTTCCAACAAAAGATGGCTGGAAAGAACCTTGAGGAGTAACAGGACTAGGAGACATACCTGGGCCCGAATGACTGATTGACATTTGGCGTTGAGCAATACCACCCGCAGTAAGAGGGCTGTGGGGATCAGTTGAACCATCGAATGATTGGATCCGTGAAGGTTGTTCCCATCCATTACGTACAACCAAGGTTACTAGTATTGAAGGCTCCGGTCTATCTTCTGGTAGATTGTGTTCTGCAAGATTGACAACAAAGTCTGGGATATTGCCGGGTCCAGGAGGGACTGGAACTAAATATGTATCTCGTACATTTCCCGGACCCTTGTTAGTAAGTACTCCATAACGTTTCTTGTCATGAAAGTAATTATACAAGTCAAGAAAATCCGATGATCCAGACGTTGGTGTTATGTTGATGACAATTACATCAGATGGTGGACTATATCGAAGACCACATAAATATTCATTGGCTTTGTCTGCATCAATTCTACCATGAACCTTTAAATCTTTATGAAGAAGTTCAGACCATGGAGTTTGCATACGATTGCGACTCAAATCTGGACCAGCAACTTGTTTAGCATATGCTGAAAATTTTGCTACCGAATCCATGCTCATTGTACCTTTCCAAACGATGTCTGGATCTGAAGGGTCTTCAACTGGAGAGTACGGCGGGGATTCATTATCATCTTGAAGCATTTTGTCAACATCAGGATCATCTCCAGGTCCATTCAGAGGCGGTGCGTTCGATGCCCTTCTATAATGATCGGCATTACGTTGTTTATTGGTGGAAGGATGAGGCGATTGAACACTCGAAAAGACTTTGTTGATGTCAAAATTTCCTGTTGCGGAACTTTGCGTTGAGCCCTTTCTCAAAGCTGGTTGCTTGGTATCGATATTTAAAGGTGTTTTGGGGGTCGACATAGTGCGGACTTTATCATGTGATGGATAATCTTCAGGAATTTCTGGTACTTCAACCTCGTTTTCGGGTGAGTGAGACCTAGACCTATCACCCATACCAGCATTCGGATCCAACATTTCTCGTCGATGTGCTGCAGACATTGGAATATCAGGATATTCATTAGGATTGGTGTCTTCTTCGATAATTTCCTCACCTTTGTGAGTTCTTCGAATCCGTGGACCATCATCTGTGATCATTATAGATTGCTTATCGGCTCTTGCTTTCATGAGTGCTGTTTCACGTTTCAACTCTTTACTTGCCATATCATCTGTTGTCATAACCGCCAAGGCCTGAGGTGATAATGATTGCGACAATAAACCATTACACAATTCTTGATTTTGTTTTAAATTGAGAAATATCGAGCGGATCTGTTTGATGGAGGCTGACTTGTTTGGGTGTGTAGTACGAACAGCTGCTTCGATTTGAATGGCAAGTCGTTCGGCCTTTGCATCAATGGTATCGTCGGGTCGTAAGGTATAATAACGCTCTTCAATAGCATGTGGAATGGCTTGAAGTAAACCCTTCTTAATCAAAGTAACCTGGCCTTGTTGCTCTGCTTCTAGTTCAGAAATTTTGCTAGGTAAGTCTGATGGCGGAGAAGCTCTAGGTGTAGGACGAGACAACGTCTTGCGGACTTTAGTTGAAGATTCCTAAAATACTGTTAGCATGATTCATTCCGTAGTGAACCCAATGACTTACTTTAATAGCTTCTTTATCTTGAGATTCATCTCTTGTCTTGCGCTTTTGACTGGATGCCTTTGCGGGCGAATCCCTCTGCGTTTCCTTCTTGGCTGGAACTGAGGGGGACTGTATCTTTCCATTCGCAGGAGTTACATCGCGCTTCTGGTCGCTTGTTCTCTTCTTGCCTTTCTTGCCCTTCTTCCTTGCTGCCTCCTCAGCATCTTGTCTCTCTTGCTCTGCCTTTTCCTCTTCGTGCTTCTCTTGCCTTGCGATCCAAGGCTGTTCACCTCTAGCAATTCCATCCAAGAGTTCTCTGTGGGCTTCTGGCGCACATTGCTCGCAAGTGTATTTGTCTGGTGTGTCTTCCTCATATGGACTTACACCTACGCAAACATTATGTTGCCAGACGGCGCAAATGTCGCAAGCGATCCAAGCAGCTTCATCATCATCCGTAGTCGAAGTAACTCCACAAACACAGCGTATAACCTCAACTTCCTCTTCTTGAATAGCTGTCTTTTTTCCACCTTTCTTTCCTTTCTTTTTTGTTTCGATAGGTTGATCAAGCTCATGAGCTTTCGGGTGTTGTCCTTTTGTCGCTCGCGACGACTTCCTAACGTCTGTAGAATCCCTGTTAGTTATTCCCTCGTATGATAGTATTGGAGGGGAAGCATTTTGCCAATTCCTTGCGCGAAGCAAGTGGGTTGACCTGCGCAGAGGTAATTATTACTTACCAGCCATAATAAAGGATATTATCAACGATACAAAGGTTCAAATTTTCTTGAGGACGCGAATTCGATGATTACAAGGGATGAATATACGCCCTGGAGCTGAATTTCAAAGTACGCGTTGATGAATTGATTTCACGCGATCACTGGCTCTACGAACAAGCTATGGGTGTGTTGAAGAAAGGGTAATATGCAGAAAAGAAACAAGAAGCTATCAAAAGGTTATGGGAAGCTTCTCTTTGTAATCCTTCCCCAAATACAATCAGATGAGGTCGCGGTTTTTTTTTTTTTTTTCTGGGTATTGTTGATAGCCGGTTGGGACGGACAAGCTTCAAATTGATTGTTGATTGACCGCGTGTATCGAGTGCGCAAAATCGCTTTAAACAACTTGATAGTGTTAAGGATTGTTGATCGCAGTGTGATGATGAAGGTATTCGAGATAATGCGACAAGGTATTTCGATACTTGATGGGCAGTAAAGGCCTGTTGATTGCTGTTTGAGCGGTTTGTTTTGTTTTCTTATGGTCATGTTCTGAGAATTTATTTCAGATAGGGCAGAAGGAAGGCGGAGATTGATCGATTTTCGCCCATTGGTGAGGCAAAGAGGCAAGGCTGGCTTAGAAATTCCAAGATTTTTCCAAGGTGCGGGGATATCAGTCATGTGATGTCGGAGGTAATAAGATCCGATTGATAAGCCAATGATTAGATATCAAGGTAATTGGAGCTGATTAGGGGTTAGCGCCTTGGCACTAAAGAGCTCCAGCTTTGACCTTGGAACCTTGAAGAGCTCAATTGAAAATCTTAAGGAGCTTCAGCCTCGACAAATGCACCATTGAACTTACAGGTATCCTCACCTCTTGATCACAATATAGTTCAAGAATATCCAAGCTCGAGTATAATAGCCAGTACATAATAGACCACTCTATCTTTGAATACCGCCAATTCTTCCTCATATGATTCAGCAATTCCTACCAAAATCGTCAAATAATCATGGCAGATGTTCGATCGCTTCTCAAGAATGAGCGAGTTGCTCGTCGCATACAACATAAACATGCTGGTTATTCAACTGCCGGTAATCTAATGTGCCTCGTCTGTCATTTACAAATGAAGAGTGAATCATTATGGGAAGGACATTTACGATCACCAGGGCATATTTTACGACTCTCAAAACAACAAGAAGCAGAACGTGAACGCAATGCGACAGCGGACACAAACAGCAACGAGGGAAATAGTAAAAAGAGGAAATTGGACGATGAAGATGAGGATATGGATATGGACTATGGCACCTTAAAAAAGCGTAGTAAAGCTACACCTACTGCTTTGGAAGGATTTTTTGTTCCAGCAGAGGACTCATTAAAAGAAAGATCCGAATCGCCTTCAAAATCCGCGATACCTCATGATTTGCAAATTCCTTCTCGTCCTGCAACGCCAGCGAAACCAACCAAATCACCGCCTCCAAACAAACAAGCTAATGTGGATGAAGACGAATGGGCTGCATTCGAAGCAGATATTGCCGCTGCGGATGTTCCAATAGAAGTCGAATCAGAGGCTGTCATATTTGCACCGGCAATGACTACCGCGGAAGTAGAAGCTCGAACAGCCGAAGAAGAGAAGGCGCGGAGAAAGGAGAAGCTCGAAGCTGAGGTAGAGGGAGATAAAGAGGATGCAAGTAGAAAGTTGCAAGAAGAATTTGAGGAAATGGAAAGCTTAGACCAGAGAGTGAAGCGGCTCAGAGAGAAACGAGAAGCTTTGAGGTCGAAAGAAAAGGAAGCGATCGCAACGGTACCAATACCAACAGAAGAATCTGCAGCCAATGATGTATCGGAAGGCGACGACGACGACGACGACGATGACGATGAGGATGATTGGGATGGATTCAGGTTAAGATGATCATTAAATCTGGATTTGTACTAATACGGAGGCTGGCAAAAAGGAAGTTCGATATCGTGTGATTATACCCTATTTAATAAAGCAGGATATCTGCTCCTCAATTATGAGGATGTAAAATTGAATACGTTCAGTTTTAATCTTGATATAGCCCTGTTGATATGTCGAAGTGAAGTGGGATTAATATACATAACATGCAGTTTATGTTTAGCAAGTGCTAAGGCCGAGATATACGAAGTTCAATCAAATGCTCATTGTCCCACGATTATTAACCAAGATGGTTTCCAGCAAATTCTTTGCAATCCGTTTACACTTTCGGTCCATATTTATGGATGGGTCCCTCGATTCATTGTCGTCGAGCAAACATTGATCTGCCCGCCTTCTCATCACTCCACTTTTCCCCTTGAGGAAGCGAAGAATTTCGCTCTTACAAAGCCGATCGTCATTGCATATCGAGATCAATCACAATCGCAAGAGCAAACAAGTTGCAGAAGGGTATTCAGATATCAAATCAATTGATGACATTCTCCAAGAAACAATTCCCAAAAACTCCAAATATCTCTCAGCCCAAATCAAAGCCACTTTCCCATCCACTCCAAACCTTGCTTCATCGAGTCCTCCAGACACGCTCTTTCCAGTGGATCATCTGGATTCCCTCTGACCGCGAACCCATGTCTTCCAGGTTTATAAACCCTGTGTTCCATTTCCGGTACCTTCCTCCCCTTCTCCCTCTCTTTCTGATGAATTTCCTCAATAATTCCCTTCGACTTAATCGAAACCGCTACATCATTTTCTCCCCACCCATAACTGATTGGTACAACCAATCCCTCCACATCTCTAGGAAACACCAGATTGCTTGGATGTAACGCAACGACCGCATCTATTAATGGTTTCTTAATCCCATCAATCGAAATCATATTCGATTCCAGCCCAGCACGAATAGCATATCGACCTCCCCAACAATACCCCACCATACCAATCTTCCTCTCTCCCTTCGTCTCCATTCTCAACTTCTCCAAAAATCCATTACAAACCGCGCTACATTTCGCTTCTTTATGTCGACCCATCCACATCAAGAAACTCGGCGCACTAGCCAAGATCCCCGTATATTTACCAAGCGTCCCCTGTTTACTGGCATCCACGGGAATTAACAAATCGGCCACTTTAAGCGCAACGGGATCGCCTTCGAAAAAATCAGGCACGTAGACGAGATATTCTCCAGAGGCGGCAAAAGCGTCGGCGAGAAGAAGATTGTTGGGGAGGAGGTGCCCGAATATATCGGTGTAGAGTACGATTGTTGCGCGGGAGGTGGAAGGGTTACCGACGATGTAGGTGCGGAGACCGTGGATGGTTTGGTAGTCGCCGATGGGGAGGCCGGCGTGGATGGTTCCCTTGGGGTGAATTAGCTAGCGTCTTGGGAGAGATGACGTGGGGGATTTGATGTACCTTGATGCATTCATTGCATGGTTTATCCACTGTAGACATTTTGACAGTGAAGTTTGATGCCTCGCAATAAATACAATACACAACTTGCGGAGTTGAGAATGAGAATAGCTCAAAGGGGTAATCGCTTAGACTGGTGGACCTCAATCTTTATCTCAAAAAAGCGAAAGTGGAAAGAAGTGGAATTGCAGATGTATGTACGATTTAACTCGGATACCAAGTACGCAACTCAAAAGTAAGTAAGTAGGTAGTAAATAAGTAGTAAATAGAAAACTGTGACTGAACTGATAATTTTCCTACCCCCAAATCGCAGCGACAACAGCGCCTTTATAGAAAACCCCATCTCGTAAATCCCATATCTGATACATCATTTCGTTCATTTCTCGTCACTTGCTCGGCATTTTCTCGCGCTTTTTGGCTCGCGCAGCCCCCCACACTCGGTTGGCGAGAACGACACGTGATCTTGGCGTGCTGGGAGAGTAAGCGTGAAGGATGCGCAACCCTGGGAATTTGGGGATTGGATTGGATGGATTGAATGGATGGGGAAAAGTGCTTATTTTTGAGAGAGTGCCTCGAGTGCATAGATTGAGGGGGTTTAGTTTGGGTATGGAGCAGTAGGAAAGGTGGTGGGCGGGTGTGGATGGGAGATTGGTTATTGGAGAGTGTGTTTGGGACCGAGAAAAACGCGAGCTAGGATTTGGGGGTTTGAGTCGAGTGAAGGGTAGTATTGGGCTAGTATGTTTTGTCTTGTTATAGTAATGTTTTTGATGGATATCAGTATTGGGTAAAGTCCGAGTAGAGCAGTCAAATAAATATGTATTCTATATAACTCCTAGCCATTATTCCATAATCCAACTAAAGCTCTTCAGAGAAGGATAAGACCGAAAATAATCCCGATTCTCAGAACCGATATGGACTTAAAGAAAAGAGTACCTCTTCATCTTATCTTAAAGTGGAAGATCCATGACCTGCGCCGATTCAATCCATTCATACCAATTCACGTCCATGTCAAGATCCATGTTGACATCTATATCTGCAAACATGCCGGCTGAGGGGTCAATTTCGCTCCATGGAGGTGTCATATCATTTGGCTTTACATTTAGACTGGGGCCATACCACCCACTCGAGGTGGGATCAACCCCGTCGTGTGATAGATATGAAGATTGCTCTATTCCTGTTTGACTTTGAGGATTTACTGACTGGTCATACAGATTTGATGATTCTTGACCGGAAAATTTGCTATTGTCAATGTACAGATTCGAGGAAGAGTCGTTGTGTTCGTACACCAATGTGGAATCAAGGCTCCGTTGAGTTGTAGGTGGGCCGCTAGCAGTTGATTCTGGGGTATACATCTCAGCAGGCCGTCTCTGATCCTCAATCTCTAGAGGTATTGCAACCAGCTGACGCCAACGCTCGCGAAAGACATTATCGGACTTTCCATCATAAGACGGTACTGGACTGGCTGGAAGCGGTATTTTTTCGTCTTCCCTCTCTAGTTCAATTGCTGACCATGAATTCTCTCGCAGACGTTGTAGCTCAGCTGTTCGATGTTTACGCGTCTTAGCCATAAGTTTCCGTAACGGGACCCAGATGCGCGAGTTCTCGTCTCTTTCCGAGGTATTGGTTAATTGCCGAGGAATCAACCATTTGCTATGAAGAGCGACCCAAGCTCGCTCGATAATGGGGGACCATTGGCGTCGAGAAGTTTCTATTAAGAGGTATACGATTGCATGCCAATGCGTACAAGTTTGAAATAGCCAATTCCAATTTTGACAAGCCTTCTCGGAGTTAAGGGCATGGTTGTACTCGGCTACTTCAATGGCAGATATTAGGAGTTTTGTTCGAACCTTCTCCGAATGGTTCTCGCTGGGAGAGGAGAAGAGCACCGGAAGGTTAAGAATAAGATTCATTTTGGACACAACCATGCGTGTCAAAGTTGATAGACACCAGGATGCAATGGTCTTACTCCCCATGTTGAATTGAAGAAAGTGTTTGTCGACTGTCCCGTAAAGTTCATGTAACAATCGGCTTTGAATTTCGGGACTTGACGGACTTTCTCCGATGCTTGAAGCCATCAACCGTCTCATAACATCACACATCTCGGCTGAAACAACAGTAAGGGTCATGTCGGTTACACATGAACGCGCTGGTGGCATATCCTTTGTATGAGGATTGAGGTCGGCATCATTAATATTGAGTGGAAACTTTGTGTCAACACTATTACCAGTAGTACTCAGTTCCGTACCTTGATCCTCGGATGCTCGCAAATCTAGCAAACACACCGTCCACCATACTCTCCTACGAGTTTCAATCTCATAGGGAGTAAGGTTAGGAAAGTGAGAACCATCCCGGTGAAGACCTAAAGCTTGAGCCATCCTTATGACCAGACCAGTCATCATCCAGACAAATCTAGGACTCTCATGACGCCGAACCAGAAAAAGAAAGATGAGCAGGGCTTTGACAAGAGTTATATCAGGCTCACTGAGGAAATCAGCTTTTGCAAGTGAATTTTCCAGACCCAGTCGATATTTGAAACTTAACTCCGATTTTGTACAGCCAAAGTTGCTTATGACCTAGGAGTAAGATAGTGTCGTGAGCACAATAATTGAGACAAAGCTTCCCTGGACTAGGAAACGCTTACCTCATCTTCTTCCATCGAGGTTACTGTAGCATAATAGATGGAAAACATTAAAGCTTCATTTGCTGGCGTGAGTCCCTTGCCCTTGTTTCCACGTAACTCACGAATCATGTCGGTGATGGCCGGCATATCTACAATTCGCATGAATACGTGGATGTTTTCACAGTATACGTTCAGCAGGAAAGGTATCTGTGACGGCAATGGGCGCAACTTAGAGAGGTCGGAATCAGAAAAGTTTAGATTGTGTTTGAATAAAAAACCATGCCGCTCCGATGGAGTTCGCTCGTGCTCCAATGTGGATACCATCTTGGGTACATCTTCATTGTTTGAAGATATATCAGAATCAGCGTCGATAGCACCTCGAGTCTCCATTTGTAATCCCTCAATCTACTCTTGCGTCAATGATAGTAACTCATCAATGTATAGAGCGGAAATTATAGGAGAACTTTAACAACCTACCTCATCATTCATGCGGGCCCAGAAACCACTACTTATGTAACGACTCCGGTTGACATCCTTTAGAACTAGCCTACCGAATTCTTTCTGCACATCAGAAGTATGTTCACCAGAGAGGTTATCTTTGGAGCTGTTTAGATCATGATTTAGATCGAGAGATGAACCATCAGAACCACCAAGCCCAAGCAACCCATCATCATTGGAATGCACTGCTGTGGCATTGGCGTGCTCCAATTGGCCCCTTAGCTCCTTTACTAAATTCTCAAGATTATGAAGTCTCTCAATAACCGAATCTCCCTTGGAACTAGCTTCTTGTCCTGGCTTTGCGCCATTTGACTCTGCTACCGAGTTACCAGCGCGCTCGAGCCGGCGGGCCCAGCGAGGCGGTCGATCAGTTGAGGGGAGTACGCATGGGATATTTGCTCTCCGGCAATTAGAACACGGCGACAACTTATCACAACGAACTTTTCGACTTCTGCATATTACACAACTACGTAGCTTTACTGATGTAGCTGTTGTCTTGTTAGAAGTTGGGGTCGAAGAGGCCATATCCCGTGACTGCATGAGATCCTGAGCATTTACAGTTCGAGGGTATCAGTGTAGCCTTTGCGAATAAATCTGTGATTTACCGTGCCAATTTCTCGAGGCTCATATCTGGTCTCTACGAAATATAGGGTGTAAGATTTGATTTTGAACATTAAACGGACCAGAAGTTTTGTTTCATCAAGAACGGAGAAGTTCCATGCACCTAGTAGGCTCGGTAGGTAAGCAGAGATAGGGCGGTCGATTCGAGCCATGACCGTGGCGAGGTCATAGCATACAATACATAGACACCACGTGATGCCCGCCGACGACAAAACCAACAACAATCACGATGGCGAACTCAACTCTATGCCCGTTGCCGAACAAATCGAAGATATTTCACCGCAGTACCCTTGAGCTGCCATCTCTGATCTCAAATACCATGTTTTAATCAAGCGCAATGGTCGCGATCAGACTTCTGAGAGCCATTTGGCGATGAAAATCACGATAACAATATCTCCCGAGGTCGTTGTATACACAGATTTAAGTATAGTCTGAAGGATTCACGTCACTGTTTAATCTCGTCGAAGCTAAAGGCAGGATAATCACAAAAGAGACAGAAGCACAACGCAAGATCTCCTGCATTTTTCCCTATGCGATGAAGGAAGAAAGTAAGTCAACTTCATTCTACTCTTTACAACGATTCATTTACGTGTTACTTTGCTGTCGCCGTCTGAAAGGTCTTGTACGAGACGTGACGGCTAATGGTCAACTTATGGAGAATCGAAGGATGTGCTCTTTCATAACGAAGTTCAGCGCTACTTGCACCAGCCTAGCCTTTCAGCTGTTGCAATAGCGCGAATCAGATCTCATTGACAAATATCAACCAATCTACTTTTCACTTCTGTGATAAACATCTCAATCTTACAGCATTATGATATAATTTGCGATAAATGACCTTCTATGGCTCAGCACAGCCGTTAGGAGACCATCTCAGCATTGCGCATTTTGATACCAGGGCTACTTCATAGACTTGATTGTTTAGCATAGTACTGGGGAGTGGTTTCGAGAGAAGGTATGCCTTTAAAGGTCCTGCACCTGAGCTTGTGATATTACATTGCAAGTACCCGGATTTTCGTCGTCTCATAATTCTTGCTTATTTTGGTCATCGGGCTGATCAGGAAGACAACACTTATTCCACAACATTTTTACCAAAAGCAATTAGAAACATGCGAGGAGGTAGTCTTTTTCGAGTTCTATGCTCTGATACCTGATACCTGTGACGATACATTGGCATCTTTTTCGCTGTAATCGTCCATCAAATTGGACTGTGCTAATGCCGAAATTTCCCAAAAATAGCGAGCTGGGGTAATACAATACTGCATGATGATTCATACGGAGTTGTTCCTGAGACCGCAGAAAGCGGGAGGAACCATGTTCTTATGTGTTTCGTAAGACCTCGGGAGGAACCCTTGATTCGTGGCTAGGCGAAAATGTCTTGATGCAACCTCCATGTACCTCAGGAAGAGAGCAGGTGATTCAGAACAAGTGGTCAAGAATTAGTGGAGGGCTTGCTGGTGGGTCTGTCTTTAGCGTGGCAGTATCACGATAAGAAGTCCGGATGTGATATGCATGCTAGTGCTATACTAGGAGATAAATATATAAAATGGTACCCAAAGATTCTCAACCACACGGAAAAATGTAGAGAAACCCTTGTAGCATCCGAGAAATCGGAGGCTGGTACTCATACTTACTACGGGCCAGAATAACTATCGTTTTCTATGCATACTATTGAACGATATGATTTTAAAACGGTACAATTCACTTCCAGCACAACTCGTGAGGATTTCAAAATGGGAGCGTCTGTAACAGCGATGGAACGGCAAGGCCCTTGTGTAACCAAGCAACCTTCAATATCCCAATATTTTCATGGTTGATATGCATGTCAGATTCATGAATTTAAGTTTGTGTTGCTTTTTCCAAGCTTACAATTGCCTGCACAGGGTTGGACTTGAATTTGGAGATCAGTGGGGGGGACTTGGCGTCCCACTGCCATTTAAGACATTTGCTGTGAAAGAGGTATATCTTCAAAGGTTTCACATAGCTGTGGTTGACTCGTTAGTGCTGCACGTCGTATCTCATACCCAGCTGACGTGTGCCCGACATACCCGATACTATGCAATGCGCGCTTAACTGGTTAGAGACATAACATAATCTGTTACCTCGTGTATATCAAACTTGGAATATATTATCTCAACTCCCAAAAAGCCTTCCCAGTTCCCAAATTCCAATGCAAGATAACCCATCAAGTTTTCAATCATGAGCAATCAACGCTGCAATCACCTCCTCTTGAGCAGTCCTCGCACAGCCTCCAATCTCTTGATTACAATCCTCAATCTCGAAAATCAACCAAACATTTACACAACCGAAAGATCCAAACATGGATATTTCTTCTTTGACAGCTTTCACACCCGGAAGTATCTCTTCACTGCCGATTCACCACACATGAGAGATTGGACGCAAGAGGATAGAAAGAAATCTCTGGCAGCTCATCAATCCTGCTTCGAAACTTTGCGTGATCATGCTATTGTCGCAGAATCAGAAGGGAAATTCGCTTATGTTAAAGAACATGCGGCTTGGCTCATAAATCCTGTTGCGCTAACGAAATTCATTTACGATGAAGAAGTTGGGGAAGAAGGATGGACTGTAAAAGCTTTTGGCAGTCAAACCCGTTCCATCGGCAATGATACGCTTCTACCAGATGAATTTTTGAAGGAATGGATGCCAACGTTTTTAATTCGTCATCCTGCATTAGTTATTCCTTCATTCTTCAGAGCTCGTCATGACGTGGAGGGATTAGATTATGCAAGAAAAGAGTGGAAATGCTGGAAATTGGACAGGACGATGAAATGGTCGAGAGATTTGTATGATTGGTACCGTTCTCAAGGTACAGAGGAGCCAATCGTTCTCGATGCTGACGATGTCATGACGAACCGCGATATCATGGTTAAATATGCGAAAATGATAGGAGCAGATCCTACGAGATTGAGGTTTTCGTGGGACGTGGAGTCGACCGAGCAAGACTGGGGAGAATCGACGTCTGCTTGGAGAAGGATGAGCTCTACATTGCAATCTTCTTCTGGGATTTTGAAAGGAAAAACTTCAGCTGGGCTAGTTGTTGAAGAAGAGGTGGAGAAATGGAAAGAGGAGTTTGGAAATGAGATGGCGGGGAACTTGGAGACTTGGGTAAAAGATGCCATGCCACATTATGAACATATGAAAGCTAAGCGGCTTACTTGATGCATAATTTATCTTAACCTTCATGCATATGCATGGCATCCGTTTAGTACAATGATTAAGTCTACAAGTCTACAGCCGGGGAAGGGCACCATATATTGGAGCTGTCGTTGGTGTACAAGCCACTTATTGAATAATTGATATATTTATCCTTTCTATCATTAGCCTGATATCTCCTTGATTGTCTGCATATCTACATTTTCAAACAATACTACAAGCAGGGGAACTTGGAAAATCTGCACAATAATTGAAAACTATTTCTAATGAGTTTGAATATGAAAGTGCCTTTGAAACAATTTGTCACATATTACATGTACACTGTATGATAGTGGCCGTGAAGCCACTTGCGCCACTTACTCTACCTACAAAATGCTTGTACCATCCCTTTTACATTCAAAAACTCACGATTTACATTCAGCTCTAACGATTCAACCAAACCTCAATCCCTGAGATGTGATAAGAAGAAATTCAGATTCTGAATGATCTTATTCTATCATGTGTGGCTAGTATGTTCCCCAATAAACTAGGCTCATTGCGAAATGCCCAATTTGCGCTATGTCCTGTAACAGATCAAATGAAATTTCGAAAAGCTCTTGCCAGACAGATGAAAAAGGAATCTTACATGATATTCATTTGAGATATCTGGAACAGGAAGGAAGTTACCAGATAAAATCATCCAATTAGATCACTTGGATTACGACTTCCTTAATGTCTGACGTGGACAAACTTTGGTGTTGATGTATGTCATCTTTCATGTCAGAAAACATAACAATATCGAAAGATATACCTTTAATAGTTTCATGATTGAGTTTCCCGATTATTCAATCAACATGATTTTTAGGATCCTGTTATGTGCTTTGGTCATTAGTGGTGCCAATTCCAGCTTGACCACCAACACCAATTTCCCTGGGACTACATTTCCAGATCCAAATGAAGCCAGTATTGAAGATCTTGCAGAAGGTCTCAAGGATAAAGAGTTCACCAGTGTCGATTTGATCAACGCAAGTCATCTTAGCACCCATGCATTAGCTTGGAACCTGCCCTAATCATTTCAATAGGCCTATACAGCCCGGATCAACGACGTCAATGATGCCTTGAATGCAGTGGTCGAAATCAACCCGGACGCCATACTTATTGTCTCTATGCTCGATAATGAGCGATCAATGGGTACGCTTCGCGGGTGAGTTCTGAGAGTGAATAGCCGTGGCATCTTTAAGCTGATATTTCAGTCCTTTGCATGGAATCCCTATTTTGATTAAAGATGTAGTATGTTCTCTTTTTCAGTTCGAAGGACCTTGCAACATAAACACTTTCTTCGTCTCAAACGAACCAAATATTCTTCAATAACGTTTTCCTCTTTTCATAGTGTGATTGCTATACTGTTTCAGCTGACAGTAGTATCTTCCATAGATCGCCACAAACGATAAAATGAACAATACTGCTGGATCCCACGCACTAAGCGGGGCTAAAGTACCTGCAGATTCAACCATCGCGAGGAAACTTCGAGAAGCTGGAGCCATTATCTTAGGAAAGACGAATCCCAGTCAATGGGGCCATTTCAGATCATTCAGTATCAGTAACGGCTGGTCAGCTCGTGGTGGACAAACATATGGACCATATCTTCCCCGGCAAGATCCCTCTGGTAGTTCGAGTGGTAGCGCGGTGGCAGCGACGTAAGTGATGATTCTACTAATAAGCAAAAGCTAACCTGTTAAGACTGGGATTAGCAACAGTTTGCTTGGGTGCGGAAATTAGTGGTTCGATCATAGCACCTTCTCATTATAACAATATTGTTGGTATAAAGCCAAGTATGTGCAATTCTGAACATGATTTTGACTGCTTACTAAAATATCACACTGGTGGGATTGACATCACGTCATCTTGTAGTCCCAGTCAGCGAACACATGGATACTATAGGGCCGATGACGAAGACTGTCAAAGATGCCGCTTATGCTCTTCAGAGCATCGCAGGTGTTGATCCTTTGGATAACTATACCTCTGCGATTCCGTGTGGAGCTAACATGGACTTTGTCAATGCGTGTAACATCTCGGCTCTCAAAGGTACTCGATTGGGCGTACCTCGAAATGTAATTTCACTCATGTCAGATAACAGTACGGGATCAATGCTTGAGGCTTTCAACAAATCTTTGGCAATTCTACGATCAGCTGGAGCCGTTATTATCGAAAATACCGATTTTCCAACTGCACAAGAATCCATCGATAATGGTTTATTGACGGTCCAAATTGTTGCAGCAGATTTTGTTGTAGCTGTGGAGAAATATCTAAATTTACTAGTGTACAATCCGCACAATATAGCAGACTTACCCGATCTACGCGAATGGACTCAATCTAGCCCACTAGAGGGCTATCCAAATAAACCTACGGACGTTTAGGATGCAGCACTACAAAACTGGAATAACACCGATTATGAATTTTGGCGTACTTACCAACGAGCCCTAGACTGGGGCAATGAAGGAGGTTTACTGGGAGTAATTGAGCGATATAAACTTGACGCTGTTGTTTTACCGTCTTTATTCTCTTCAAACTGGGCTGCTGTTGTTGGCGCGCCTATCATATCGGTCCCGATGGGAGCGATGCCTTCTGATCAGCCTATAGTATCTGATGCTGATGGATTAGTATCTGCAGGGCCTAATATTCCGTAAGTAGTTTGACTTGCGGAGTGCGACCAATTATTAACGACAGATCTAGATTCGGCTTCAGCTTCTTAGGAGCAAGATTTACAGATGCAAAACTCATTGGGCTAGCCTATGCCTTTGAGCAAATAACATTGAAAAGGAGAACGGTGAATCCGTACATCAAGCCGAGGACCGATCTTAGAGATGTGGTTGGGATGAATTGCCAGTAGAGAAGATTCCCGTAAAGGTTCTTGTAATCAATCTTGAGCAGGGTGTTTGAGTCCCGGACACTGGCAACATTACACTCGTTTCCAAAGTAATCTGTTCATTGTCCAACGATATCTCCTTCCATGGCGAGTCTTTTCTCCTGTATGTAACTAGAAGGCTTCCATGGATGTATAAACGAGTGCAACATAAATATACTTGCTCGTCCGTTGATTGTTTTAGTAATTCCCCAACTCCTCTTGATCTATTACTCCAGTTCCACTTCACTGCGGTGACTTTGATCACAATAGTTTATCCAACTACATTGGCCAAGCCGTAACTTGATGTGATTGACCAAATGCCGAAGACCGTACTGCAAAAGTCTCCTCTGATACGATTTGAAGCATGTGAATGGAGATGGTAAGACTTTGGAATTAGAACACAGTCTTAGCAATGTGTTTGGGGTATACTTGTCTAGTAGAGTTCATAGGTTTCCGTGGCAATTTGAGGTTTACATCGAACCTCCATCTTTAAATAACCATTCATTTACCTCGAATATGAGGGCTCAGAATAACCGTTCTGTCAATTTCACATCTTTCTTTTCGACATGTGGCTGCCTTGAGGAGGAGTGAGTATTCTTTACATCATGAATTGCCTATCTATTATCATTGGAATTACAGTATTAAAAGATTCATGTTTCCTGGCATACAAAGCGGTTCTTTGAGAAGCTTGGTCGTCGTTGATGTATCTCGCGTGAAATACTATGTGCCCGAGGGAGGTCATCAGGCATTGGAGTCATCTCACCCAGAACTTTTGTTAGGAGTCAGCGTCAAGCGCGCGATTCTAGGTATTAGATACCTATTAAAATGCATCAAAGAAAAGCCGTCCCAAGCCCTTCTAGATAAAAGCCCTTTATGATTCGTGTTATACAAACTTTCGAAATGAGTAGTCCACATACTGGAAAAGAAGTCCTTAATTATTACCCAAACCATTCCCAGTATATTCCACACCTTCTCTCCCAACCTTCTCCCAAAATCTCCTCAGCCCCAGAACCTTCGCCCTCGCCGGAAGTTCCCTCCGCTCAACCTTCTTACCCCACGTCCCTCTCCCTGCGGCGCCCTCACCCCTATCTACATCCCTCCCAGCAAACCTTCTAACCAACCACCTTACTTCCACCTTCCCTTCCCTCGTCCCTTCAATCTCTCTCTCTTTTTCTCCCACCCTCCCCCTCCATCCCTCCACCCACGCCCTCAGTCCATCTTTAACCCTTTCCCTCTCCACCTTTCTCTTGATCCCTACGAGCCCTGGTGCTACTTTTCCTTTCCCGTATCCATAGCATTCTTTCGGCAATACATTTTTCTCCACCAATGTCTCGATAGAAGGTCTTTGCCCAAGCTGCCTATTCAGTTTTATCTTGATAAGATTCCTCCCCAGACTTCGGGCAGCAAGTGAAGTTCGGGTGATGTATATTCTTTGACTCATGAGATCCGTAAGAGGAGCTCGATGAGAAAGACGGCGAGATAGGGCGTTGGATGCATCATGGAGACGCTGTGCATGGAGAAGGGGATCGAGGCAGAGGGTTCGGAGGTGATGAGATAGCTAGGGGCACACTCATTAATTATTGTTCACGGCGTCATGAGGAATGATAGTTTGAAGGGGTTTGGAATAATTAGATAAATATCATAACTTACCCGTGAAGCAACTAACAAGTCATTGACGTCTAGATAGGATAGGATTTCGAGGATCAACTCGTCGGGAAACTGCGATAAGCTGAGCTTCCCGATATCGTTATCGCTTTTGATCTCGTATCGTAGCGCATTTTCCATTGCGGTAGCTCTTTCATCATTCTGCGAAGCTAACTCCATGATATTGTGTATGAAACAAGATATCCAGCTGCTAATTTGTGATTGATTGAGAAGAAAATGAATTGAATGGATGTCGATTGTAACGGGATTCCGTCGTCGTCAGGAAATAGCGGGGGTTCATCAAGCTGCTGCAGATGCAGTCACGGTTCGGCGGCATCTGAGACATTCCGAGACAAAGAATGAACGTTTCTGATAAACAAACAAGCGCAATTTCACTCAATGGACGACAACTTACCTTTTTGCTTGTAAAACTGCTTGTAAGTTAAAAGAAACGATGAGATATCCATTATTATGAAATCTTCAAATCGTAAATTTCTTACCAAGTCGACTTTGGTCGAGTTTCCGAGCTTTCTTGCTCAAGCCCCTTCATTTGCCTCCGCTTAAGCACATCTGCGTGCTGTGAAAATTAATTGATGGAAGAAAGTAGGTAACTGAATTCTATTTTGAGGTCAAAATATGTTGTCATTCTCTGCCTCCCTCATACATTCAATAACACGATACATATGTAAAGATGATCACCTCAAAAATGTAACCCCCTCCTTGAATCATGCTAGCCTTCCTCTTCTCTCAAATTGCTATTGATGTCAACCTTTACTCGAGAGCGACAGCAAACGATCATCCCCACCACTCGTCATCGCCCATCACACCCATGTTCAACACGCAAATTTATTCCTGAGACCCCAACACGACCTTCTATTTTCACACTACACGTCCCTCAGCCTCTCATCTCCCAAAAATCAACACCTCCGGCAACACCAAAAAGCAAGAATCAACCACATGACAACTCCCCTTCGCGTCCCACAAATCGACCTTCCTCGCTCTTAGAGCCGCAATCATTTTCCTTCCACCTTCTATCCCCACATATAGCAATATCAGGTAAGGCGTAACTTATCGGTAACTAACAACCCTACAAACTAGACCGACCTGCCGACCCGCCAACTCACCCTCAACACCAGCAAACCACAACCAACCAGCTCCTCTTCATCAGCCCTGCTTACACGATTGATGGACTATTCCCAAAACAACTCCATCTCCGATCATCTATCGTGCCCCGTGCGTGCAAATCATGGGTTGTTAGGTACAAAGTAGGTACCATGTTCTACTATAAAACGTGTATATCATATCCCCATACATACTGTTCATGTAAGGTGGAGGCGTGTACATGCTGTCAAGCTATACGTAGGTACAGTACATCATACTCGTGTCATTATGGGGCATGCATCTCAAATGACAGGACAATCCACTTATCTAACCCAAAATCTTTTGTGTCGTTTGAGGTCATCGCGAACTTCAATAAAATCTAGTATGCATAGTACAATGATCAATAGATCGATCAGTGAATAAGGCGTTCTTGTGATGATAGTGACCCGAGTACACTACAGTACAATCAATTTTCAATCGCTCACTCCATCGGTCATGTAATCATCGATCTTGTTTGCGATTTTTGTCCTAACCCACCTACCTCAAGATTTCAATCCGAACCTTCCCAACAACTTCCCCGTCATCCCAAAAATGCCCAACACTTCGGAAGCGACCTCTCACCTCACTATTCATGCAGTCAACCTTCTCTCTCTCTCTATTCTCCGTCCAATACATCTACACAACATCAATCAATCAATCATTATAAGGCGACAAGTCAAGATCTTTTAAACTTCCCAAGGCCCGACCACAAGGTCTGGTCTCGACCCCATCCATCACGGTACCACCACTCCCTCACCCAACCAAAATCTCCGTAGCCCACATACTTGCCACCGGCTCCGTACCGGCCCGAGTTTAGTATCGCAGCTTATGTTTGCAAAACTATCCATTCCCTAAGATCAATCGGTGCTTGCTGACTCCTCACTAAACTTTTTACGCCTCATATTTACCTCTCCTAGACCGTATCGTAGACCCAAAATTGTCCCGCATTTACATACATGTTTGATATACTTTTCATCGTAACAACTCGATCCGAGGTCTTGTATACCAAGACGCAGGAATACATGTGCACCTATCTAGTATCTACCTACCCACCTCTCTATCTGAATCTTACCATTTTCTTGCGAGTCAGTCATACAGAAATCGTTGACCAAGCAAATCACGCCGATGCAAACGCACCGTAACTCCATTTTGGCAAATGTAAGGTGTCCATAATTCACTCACCTATCTATCCATAGGCTACTTGATCAATTGGTCCATCCATCGGTCAAAGACATCATGCCCGAACATCCAAGATCCGCACACTTACATCCTACGTGTGTTGAATATATTACGGTTATCAAAAGGTGGTGTGGTAGTGCATGCATGGGATGCCCGTCCTTTACGATGTCGTGGTTCTAGCTTTCCATTACTTCGTACATCAAATGTGAAGATCAAAAGAAGGCAGACTTGACCCGACATGTAGCGACCCCAAAGATGACCAACATATGCAGTGTAGCTTGCTGCACACGTTGAATGAATGACACCCTTTCTCATGTTATTTCTTTGCTAGTATCTATTTCTGACCTCACATACACACTTCTACACATTTTTCACTCTGAATCTCAGCTCGTAAACTTGGTCCACCATGTCATGACAGATATACAGGTCGCGTAAGAGGCTAACTCAACTATTGATTCGAGAAGCAAGCACGCATCCTTTTGCACGTTGCAAGTTATCTGACCACCTTCAAAAAATTCTACTTGCAATCAAGTAAGCACTATCACACATCATACATTCGCTGCTTAATTAACTAGCTTGTTAATTAACCTATGAAATTGCGTTTTCTAGAGTCTTCCATACAGAACCCCTCACAGCCAATAACTCAGGAACCGCCTCTCCCGCGTAGCTCCATCCAATCAAATTCTTCAATTCGCCTCATGCCCAGCTTTTTCCGGTATAAAATACCAATTGACTTCATTGGAGCTCTCATAAGCAAGCCAATTGGTCGGTTTGATTCGTCCCTTACTGTAATTCCGCATCACCAATTCAACACATGATTCATTTCAGTCCCGAAAGTAAGGTCAGTAGTCATCGCGCTTTTATCGTCGCGCGCCAAATTTTGTGACCTTCGAAGAGTTGGAGAGTTTTGATCTATGTCGGAACTGGAATGTCGTCGATGCTGATTCCCGTTCTATTGATGCTTATTGTTTTCTTGGGGGCGCAGAACTCTAAATTTCTCGCTTGTGGGCCCATTGAGGGGCCGTTGTCATTGTTAAATTTATCGTCCGTGAGGAAAGGGGGCCAAAAAATCAGAAGCTTCAATAGACGTAAACAACGATACAAGCCAGTTCCTTCGCCATAAACAATACAACTCATACTTTGGATCATCTCATCATGCATAATTACACTGAGCGGGCTTTCAATGATCCTAGAATCTGCTTGATTTTATCACTTTAGACAAGTTCAGCTGGCTTTTGACTCCCAACCCCTCGTTTTCATCTGATCGGTGTGCCAGGAATGGATAAGATACATTCAAATATAATAATCCTCAAATAGAATCTGCCTCACTGGAATGCCTTTCCCTCTTACTGTCCCCAGATAAAGAGATGAAATTGCTCATCAGTAGAAAACTTCCTGAAATCATATGATAAATGACACATAAGATTGGCATAACACCATATGAACGTCGAGATACAGAATCCCTGACCCACGCAAGTACAACGTAAAGTAAGGCAAACTGAAAAACGGCCACTTAGCTTTCATCCTATGTTTGTGATGTTTGTGTGTCTGGCTTAACTATGGACTGGCTGACACCTGCCATGCAAACACGACAGAAGTACTAGATATCTTTCGCCCCCCCAAGATGCACATCCGATCTTTAGAATCACATAGCGTTGGTGTGATGACTTCATTGCATTAGTATTTGCCACCGATACAACGAACAATTGCGCTGAATTGCCTTGTCCTTGACGCCCCATAATATCGACTTTCACAATTCGAATGCTGACCATACTGATATGGTCCATCAAAAAATGAAGAAAGCAAGAAAGATGATTATCATCTGCATCATCGGGTCTTTCCTCGAATGACCGTTCAGGGGCAATCTGAAGGATTTACGGCGAGTTACCACTTCCCTTGGGAGGGGACAAAATGAGCTTAAAGACCGGAAGCGATTAAAAAGTGAGGCCGCATACTCTAGCTAGAATATGACAGAATTATTCTCCGGCGGGAAAATGCGAGAGAAAACAAAGAAGGTGGTGTGTAACCTTGAGAAAATGCTGATTGCAGCCCGACAAAGCCGTAGTTTGAGAACCTCGATATTGTAATCTAGTTGCGACTTGCTCGGCCAAACCTAGGTCGCCACGTCAGTGACCATCCGAAGCCCTTCATTGGGACCATTTCTCTCCAAGCTAGGTGCGCAGTGCATCGTGTTAACCAACAGCTTAGCGAAAACATTGTAGGTGTGAGATAGGCCGTGAGTGGCGAGAATTTGTGACATCTTCTAGCTAAGCAGATCGGGGTATGCTGGTTTGCAGACGCATTGTATGGATGATCTTTTGCTTCAAGGCTTCGTCCGTATCTGACAACACATTGATTTCTGACCACCTTGATCTCGGCAAGACGGAACGGACTCTCAAGTCAATATGCATATCGAGGCCGTCTTCTGCACAATCTGCGGCCATGTAAACGTTGCAGAAAATAGAACAAGCATTCCAGGTGGCTTGCAATCACCAGACTGTAAAAGTATGTCCTGTTATCAAACACCCCTTTCAGGCAGATATGGCTCGATGCGAATCTGGCCAGAAAGCAGGGAGTTATCAACATGTGACAATATCTCAAAGCGAGATATGCTGGATTAAACGTCTTGATATCAAGGATATAGATTAGAGACAGAACGAGAAGAAAAGATAATAGCCAATAGTGTTCTACTACCACAGCCAGTTCATGAGAATGATGATGATCGACCGACCATCATATGTGATAGACTCCGGTTGGTTTGGAATAAGAAGCAACCGGCAATTGTGTGATAGGTTTGGGTCGATATCTCTCCACAAAGAAGGTTGTTACGGTCCGTCCTTGGGTCTAGCGGGTCTCTCGTTGCAAGCAGAGAACGGATGATCCAGTAATCAGGAAGAGGATTTGTGGCAATCAGTAAAACCAAGGAAATGACGGGATAGGAAATTCATAACGTGATTCTCATAGCGTAAACTTCTACACTCGGCAGGGGGCACACACGATGTTGCAACGGACTGTGATTACCAATGCAGTAATTCTAACATGATGAAGTGTCCACCCTGTCGAGACGAGAGAGGTAACTGAAAGCGAGGGAACTTGAGCCAAACATCGGCAGAGGGTAGGAATACGATAGGTGCCAGTTCTTCTGGCGATTGAGCCAAGGATGTGATTAGTTGCATGTATGTCTTGGTGAGAAAGGCACACAGATATGCACTTCGTTTGTTGGCTCGAATGGAAGCGTGGAAAACTCGAGGGGGCTAGTAGACAAACACGCTGCAAGGCTGGGAGGATTGTGACGGCGTGGTTGTCCGGACCATGAACAATGCTGTCCAAATCGTGTATAAATACTCCTCTTGATTTCCCCAAAGGTCGAATAACCACCACCATCATCAACATCCTTCAAACAAAGCATCCCAACAAACGATCTCTCAACTCTTTCTTGATCTCAAAGTGTCATCGCCATCCAGTATAACAACCTCACTCGAGACATCATCAGACGTCGTCTCTGATCTCAAACATTCTACCGATAACATATCCGTACTTCGACCAGTAAGTTTGAGCCATGAAGCCTTGTCGCGTTTCATATGGTGTGTTGTAGAGAAGCAAGACTAATATGAATGGTTACACATAGCTCCCATCAACATGTGTTTTTTCGATCAGTGCCAATTTGTCTGTGGTGACTACAAGTGGGGCCACTTTCGACAACATTGTGCCAAAGAATACCGTACAGGCGAGACCTGCGGCATGAAATTGGTCATGACCACATACCAGAGTCACGAGAGGTGCAAGATTTGCACGAAGATCGAAACAAAATGGGGCCGTATCCAGAAGGAGCAGGAGCGTGTACTTCGATGGAAGAAGGAAAACGGAAAGAGTCGCCAACACTCAATCGAGGCGTCAGAGGAAAAGATCCGGGACCTGCAACAAGAGGTCAATAATCTCGAATGGCAACGCTCGCAGAATGCTTTAGCTTTGTGAAAGGTAAGAGACCAATCGCTTGTCCGAGTGATGATATTTGATGCTAATTCCTTTCTCAGTGAAACTTTCCACATAACACGATAGTACAGAACTAGCGAACTATTTTGTCGCGTTTCGAATTTTTTTCATAGGGTTGTCTTTCTTTTGATGGAGTGAAATGATGGAACGGAAGAGTGGTCTTTCATTTAAGGATATATTGGAAATGATTGGTCTCTGGAGACAGATGAAGGAATTGTTTTGGAATTAGATAGTCTCACGACTTAACGATGAAACGATCATTTGAACAAGTTCCTTGAAATTGCCAATAAATTGCCAATGACTTGTGGATATGACTGAATTCTGCTAATGGAACCGACAATCTGGTCAAATGTTGAGGGGGCCATTTGATGTTGACCGGGCGCTTAGATGAAGAAATTGGGCGGCTCGGGAAATTAGTGCATGCGAGCTAAATGCAAGCTTCCTTCAACTTCGGGGAATTGAGGGGGAATTGAGGCACCATCCGAAATCATAAAAGGCGATCATATCAAAAGACTTGTCGGAGAATTTGGCCGTCGATGATGATCAATATCCTTACGATAATGAAGAAATCCCACTTGAATGTTCCTTCTTGTGGGTCGCGATCTATATATGTACATAGCGAAGTCTCGTTCTGTAGGTATGTGTTGTGATGCTGTGTAAAACTTTTCCTATTGCAATTAGCCTAATGTGCATTCTCAACCATACACACCTGGTCGGCAAATTTATCATCACTGAACAGTTTTCTTCATGAAGAGGTTGAAATAAAGATACGGATAACAAATATATATATGGTAAGAAGAAAGGAAAGAAGTCGAGAAACGCTTTCCAAAAGAAAAAAAAATCTTCAACAGGATCCTCCCTTCCCTTTATGAATTTCAGACTGAATGACCTTGAGTGTAGTAGTAAATTGTAACGTGGCTAATCCTCAATGGATATCTGTGCAGCCTGACTGCAGAGCATGAGAGAGAGACGTGATAGGCTCTGATTCATGATCAAGTAACCAGTAGGCAGGCGCTTTTGACAAAGGAAATGCTTGAATGATACAACGCATAGTCAAATTACGCTTAGCTGGTCCAGTCAGAAGTCGATTCCCGATACTCCTCCTGGGAAATTGCGGCAGCATGATGGGCCGTGGTATGAGGATATTGTAACGACCTTCCCAACTCCAATACGCCGTGGAACACAAAGATGCCCGTATAAGTTCGAATCCATGTTCTACTCCATGGCCGACTCTGCATCTGCAAACCCTCCTAATAATGGTCCTACGTCTTCTGATTTGACCGGCTTGTACTTCTTCATTTCCTCCACATCTTCATCGTCCGATGCCCAACCATCGGAAATTGGGTGGGTACTTTCGACGGGGGTTTGTTTTGTATTGCTCGATCCGTCCTGTGATGGCATCTTGGCTAGAACTTCCTGATACCGCAACAGTCTTGCGTCTTGACCATTGTACATAGTAACAGGTGCTCGAGGGACATTTTGGGGGACCATGGCGAAGATATCAACGAGATGACTGGCACAAAAGTTGGTTAGAAAATTCATCAATGCGATCGATCAGTTGGTTCCACGATGTGCAGTTTATGGATTGAGGGGTATCGGTGTGGAAGAAACGTTTGGAGCATACGTACTTGGACGTTTGCGCTACGACCCTTTGCAAGGCCTCTGTCTCCCTTTGAACTTCTTGTGGATCTGCTTGAATGGCATTTGAATCTTGGTTCCCGAAACTGCCGTAATGATGAGGATGTGCATCGTTTTCGAATAATAGCCTTTGGTCTTCACCCTATTTGCAAAGTTGTCAGCGACTGCTTTATTTTGTATGTGACAGGAGAAATCAAACCTCATCCGACGAATCCCGATTACGTTCCAGCCCAAGACAAGAAGAACAATTGCCCATTGTTTCTACCCTCTCTATCCCTCTATGTTCTGTCCTGTCTATCTTCCAACGACTCAGGGATAAATTGATCCCACACACAACACCAACTGTACTACCTACAATCAACCATCGACAGACGAATCTTAGGGATCAAAACTCTGGAAGATCGCTAATATCCAGTTACGCGACAAATGTACTGGATTTGGATTGTCTTTGCGAAAGCAAGGTGATGTTGATAAAATTATTCAAAGAAAGCATTTCTTAACTTTTTGGAGGGAGAAGGATGTTTCGATAAGAAAGTTGATTATGATGGAGATCCAACTTCCCGGCTAAATTACGGTTAGACATTTTTAGTGATTGGGTAGCCTTCAAGGTACTAGTAAGTAAGCTGACTGAGCAACCAAAAATATCTAATCGTCACTCCCTTCATTGTCACTACAAACAAACCTCACAGGTAAATATTGTTAACCTCACTTCCAATGTCACCCCTTTCTCATTCCAATTACTGACATGATATATACGGCAATAGATGTTCAAAGTCCAATAATGATGCTCTGCTGGGCCACTGCCGTGGAGGCTTTATCGCTTCGCTCTGGGAGAGCGATTCTTTCTATCTTCACTGGTTCTACCTATATAGTAAAGTTAAATGGCGCCCCCTTCGTTTCTTTAGCCAACCTAACAAGAGCGAAGCGAAAAACCTCCACGGTAGTGATCCAGCGGAGTCTTACCAATCCGTCTTCCCTGGCCCAACTTTCCTTTCCTTTCCCCGTTCCATATGTCAAGTCGATTTACAGGTATTCGACTAATCATCCCTTTATTAGACGGGTTCAATATCCTTCCATCATGGAATTTGCCCCTCTTTTCCTCCCCCTGGGAACAACTTCACTTTCTTTCACTGGGAACATAGGATTATTTATGTATGCTCTCAATAATATCGGAATCTCTCAAAGTATGCTCTGGTTCCTTAAATATTCTATCACCTCGTCAAAATCTTACAGCTCTGTATACCCGCTGATCTACAATTTGACTGCTGCTTGCAAGCAAATTTCTTTCACACAACAAATCCAGCAAGTTCTGGGAATTTGACTACATCCCCTTTAATCATCTATTGCTGCAACAACACTGAGGACAAAAGGAGATTCTTGGAAATGTCCTTGCTCTGCTTCTGCTGTTCTCTGATAGCTTCGATGCGTTGGTTACTTGAACAGATCTCATCCCTTACTTGGTGACAAACCCACCTTGCAAAGCCCCCCTCATGAACGTATTAACCTTACCTGAATGTACCAGATATTTGTATCTTTCCAGTTGTACAATAATCTACTCCCTTATTTTCAATTTTTTGAGTACCTGCAAGGCGATACAATATATCGATCGAAAATTTCTTTCCTCTGTCTCCAATGTCCCAACATATCACCCTTGGTTTGGTGTTTTGCAACATTTTATAAGAGAGTACTTTCTCTTTCTCTGAATATTCTAATCAGTAAGGTCATCTCATCATCACATACATTCATTTACTTATTCTTTTCGATCAAGACGGTCTTCACTCCTTCGTCCGTTGTTCTCGTTGCTTCACATCGATATCTTTTGCGTACCAACACTATCTTATAATATTCTACGCTGTTAACATGTTTCGAAGTCGAAACTTGGCTACTCTAGCAGTGCTCGCACTATCCGGATCGTCTCTAAGTAAGCCGGTTGCAGGCGGATCATGGGTTGGTGAGACTTGTATCTGCCCACCTTCCGATTGTCCACCAGTTGTCACCTCCTACACCACAATCACGACTACTCCTGTTCAAACTGTCACTATCACAAAAACTATCAGTCATGAAGTAACCCCTCCAGCAAATACGACTCCCAATCCAAGCACGGGTCCACCAGGAGTACCATCTTCACCGATCGTCATTTATACCCCTTCCACTACTGCCCCACCCGAAACCACCGTCAAGACGACTACAATATCTGGCTCTGAGATACTTGTCACCAGTACTATCACACCAAGTCAACCTCTACCGCAGAGCACTATACCTTGCGAAACGATCACTAAAACTATCACAACTTCAGGAACTGTCGTTGTCATAACCACTACTATCACACCTAGTCAGCCTCCTGCCCAGACTGTCACATCAATAGTTGGAACTCCAATAATTACGACTGGTAAATGATTTCCTTGATCCTTCACACCCGTTTTATCATAAGATCTGACCAACTCAATTCTAGTACCTGGATCTACCATCATAACCACTATACCTGACACGATCATCACTTCAAGCATTCCTGGATCAGTCATTGTTATCACGAAGACTATCCCACCAACTACTGAAACCACTGTCATTCCTTGCGATTTGACCATCACGGTAACTCAGACAGGAACCGTAGTCAAAACAACTCGTCCTGTCTCTACAATCACCTTCACAGAATCTGGACACATTGTAACTTCCACGTATCCACCATCAACCCTATACGTGACGTATACATCGAGTATCTACACCACTGTTGTAACAGCTACAACGATAACGAAAACTATTTCGGCAAGCACGCTAACAATCACTAAGACTGGTGAAATTGTTCAAACCACTGTTCCAGGCTCTACCTTCGTTACCACAATTCCCGGGTCTGTCATAACTTCAACAGTCACGCCTATTCCAGCAACTACAACCTCGCCCTCGTCAACATGTCAATACGATCCATGCCTCAAACAAATGCTAGAATCCTCAGCCGTGACTTCATTCTGCGCTACCTATACAGCAAGTGTTCACACGATTCCAATTTCCCTCCCAGCCTGCGTCTCTGAATGTGACACTGCACCAGGTGCTCTCTCATCTGCTTGCTCATGTCTAGTCGGCCAATTCACTCCTCCAGCTGTGACTTCCACCCCTGTCACCATCACAACTGCCTCAACAATTTTTGATCCATCGTTTACACCTACGGCTTCCTCCAAGCCTCCATGCAAACACTGCACAGAGGTTCTTACTATTCCCCAACCCTCCATAACTCCATCAAATGGAATTTGTTCAACTGGTCTGATCCTCTCCACAATAACTACAACTACTACATTCATCCAAATCCTTACAACGACAAGTAGGATTCCAGTCTCACCACCAACGGCTCATATTTCTAGCTCCCCAAGTCCTTCAAACGGTACGGTCTCAACGGCAACGCTTTCTTCTGCCCTTTCTTCCACTGTTGTCCTCTCCTCATCTATCGTTCTATCGACATTGATTGCTCCCTCTTCTTCTGCGCAGAGCACTACCACGTCATCATCTTCTTCTAGGGTCGCATTGTGGTAGATTCGAAGTTTATTGACCAAAGAATTAGCCAAACAACGAGATATAGGCGCTAGGAGGCCTGCAAAAAGGGAACGAACCATTGTTTGGACTCGGGTTTGAGCTAGTGTGCTGTTCCAAAATCGTCTCTTTCTTTATTTTTATCTTATAACGTTGTATTCGTTTTAATTTTAATCTGGTATTGTCAGGTATGAAAGGTGGGAATCGTGTGTTATGATTATGGTGGGAATTGACATAGATAAATATGATTAGATTAATTTAATGATTGTTTTCTCTGGAATTTAGTTTCTGAATTCAATGTTGACTCTTTCGAGGTTTGTTTTGAGTCTGAGAAATCCTTCTTCCCATGTTTCCAGTCTGTGATCTCGTCCAAACTCATTCTTCTCCTGGAGACATAACATCGTGAAAGGCTATCCCAGGATGAACCATATACCAAGGAAACAATCCGAGCAATCTTCTAGTTTATATTGAACTAGGACGCGATGGCGACTATTCTCTAAATTAAAACTGAGATGATTCTATAGGGAGCTGCCGACAACAGAGGATCCACGGAGAAGTAGAGAGCATGTAAGCTCAGAATACCGGCTTGGCTGGGGGTTTTCAAGGATATCATCTAACTTGATCAGGTTGAAGAATGAAATTTCTCGAACTGGGCTTTCAAATCATTTTTTGGCGATTGCTTGACTGTTTTGGGAGGCTACTTTGAAAACACCAAGACACTTCAACTCTTAGCAAAGCTTATATGATAATTAGGTTGGATTTCGATTCGTGGTGTAGGCCTGATTCTCAAATTTACAGGGATGCACACAGTGTGGCCATCCACTCAGTAACCCATAACATGCTTTGGAACATAAGCCTCCTCCAAATATTCACTTTCCTGTTCGGTAAGTTGAACACTTAAAGCTTTCACACTATTATCCACCTGCTGTTTGTTGTATAATCCGCAGACAGGCGTCATTCCTCCCTTTGATATAATCCAAGCAATTGCAATGATGGCCATGCTAACACCCCTCTTACCAGCCAATTCTTCCACCCTTCGTACAATTTCTTGATCAGCCTCAAGATGCTTACCACGGAAAAGTAGCTTCAAGAAGACATCACTCTTCTCACGTTCATCAGTGCGATCTTCCCAGGAGTGGGCGAGCACACCGGCGGCGAGTGGCGACCAGGGAAAAAGGCCAATCTTGGCTTCCCTGCAATATGCGTTCATCTCGCGCTCCTCTTCGCGGTAGAGCAGGTTGTAGAAGCCTTGCATTGAGATGAACTTATGCCAGTTGTGTTTTTCGGCTACGTTCTGCGACATTTGGAACTCCCAGGATGCCATCTACAACAACAACAACAACAACAACAACATTAGTCAAATTCGTTTTAGTGATCCGAGGACCTAGAGAAGACTCACAGAGCTACCACCTATATATCTAGCTTTCCCGCTCTCGACGATGTCATTTAAGGCTTTCATGGTTTCTTCGAGTGACACTTCGCGATCAAGACGGTGAGTTTGGAGAACGTCAATATAAGTACCGAGGCGGGCAATGCTGGCGTCTACAGCGTCGAAAATGTGCTTTCTTGATAGTCCGACTTGATTCACCTGAACATCATCGTTTCTTCCTTGGCCAGCGGCATCAACAGCTCCTCTCGCAGGATCGACGAAACGGAACACCTTGGTCATCATGACAACTTTGTTCCGAGGGATATTATACTCTTTCAAGAAGACGCCAAGGATCTCCTCTGAGCGTCCATTGGAATATACATCGGCGACATCGAATTTGTTGATACCAGAATCATATGCATGCTTGAGGATAGGGAATGCCTCTTCTTGGGTCAGGACCCAGGGTTGCCAGCTCTCGTCACCATAGGTCATACAGCCAACTATGATCTTGGAGACTTTGAGGCCGGAGCTTCCAACTCTATAAGAGACGTTAGTTTCTGTCTGAGCATTGATTCCTTGAGTAATGAGCTCGAGCATACCTCATGTATTGCATTTTGTTAGACATAACTAATACTACTGAAGTGGCAGGAAAGAGATGATATTTAGTCAATGGAAAATTAATGAAATAATGGATTTGAACTTGATTCTATGTGCCTTGTGTGGTATCAAAACTTTATATATTGAGAGATGATAAGGTAGAGTACAACTTCGCATGTTGTCAGTCACTTGATACACTTTACTATATCTACCTACTGTAGCTGCTGAGCGCAGGGTAAGATCGCCATACATTACGATCTTCATATCCAGAGCAAAAAAATTAAATGATTCAAGAGATAAATCTTCCGAAGAGAAGATGCTCAATTAGGAAATTTTTTCGTAAGCAACGTGCGTCAGTAGCTCGGTCCTAAATTGTTTTACTGCTAACTACTCGAGTGGGTCCACAACTCTGAGAAAGAGGATCTGAAAAACCTTAATAGAATGGTACAAGCACTTAACCACTTTTTCTAGCCTCACAAAGCATAAAATTAGGTCTCACTTTCTTCGTCTTTAAGGTGTCATGGCTCCCTGAAGTATCTCCGCCGATATGTCCGGCCAGAGCAAAGCTTCACTGGTCAAGGTACAATGTCTTGTCCATAAGTAGCCCAATGTTACTTGCTTAAATTCAAGGTGATCCGTATCGACCAACACCCTTTTCCTCCTGTCCAGCTCTGTAACAGGTATTCAAGTTTCCCTTCTTTCATTTCGAAGTTATCGCGTTCAAAATGTCAAACAGGTACGCTGCAGCTCACGAGCGACTCCTCGGCCCGGGAGATCAGCGTCCAACAGCGTTGCAAGTTGTCAAAGATGAGGAGCTCGAGGGAAAGCTCAAGGATAAAGTTGTACTTATTACTGGGTGCTCTGCGGGTTTGGGTGTAGAGACTGCGCGTGCAATGCTTACAACAGGTGCTACTCTCTTCCTCACAGCTCGGAATACGATCAAAGCACGAGCAGCCCTCGGTGAATTTGCTGAATCACCACATGTACACCTCTTAGAGATGGACCAGACTTCGCTCAAAAGTGTACGAGCATGTGCTGCGAGTTTCCTCGAGCAGAGTAAAACGTTGAACATCATGATCAACAACGCTGGCATCATGGCTGTACCTGAGACTATGACAGAGGATGGCTTCGAATCACAATTCCAGGCTAATCATCTGTCCCACTTTCTCCTATTCTATCTTCTCAAACCTACAATCCTCGCTTCGGCAACTCCCGAATTCGCTTCGCGCGTTATCAATCTCTCCTCTTTGGGTCACCGTCGTGGTGAGCCGGATCTTGATAATATCAACCTCACTGGGTGCTACGATAAGTGGAGAGCATATGGAAGCAGCAAAACATGCAACATCTGGATGGCCAATGAGATTGAACGGCGATACGGTTCAAAGCATCTGCATGCCTTCTCTTTGCACCCAGGTGGTATTGTTACGCCATTATGGGATTCCATGAACGCTGAAGACATTGCGGACCTAAGAAGCCAGGGGGGGTTGATGAAAGTCTTAAATCGCCCGCGCAGGGTGCCGCCACAACGGTATGGGGAGCAATCGCCAAGTGCTTGGAAGGAGATCGTGGAAAGTATTTGGATGATGTGCAGATTGCGGGCCCATGGACTTCAGATCAACCATTTGCACTACCTGGTTGGGCTCCTCATGTTTATGATAAAGCAAGAGAGGGCAGACTTTGGAAGTTGTCATTAGACATGGCTGGGTTGAAAGACACTGATCTCTGAACCTGTGTTTTTGAATATGAAATGGCCTCATGTTTTGTTTGAGATCATTTACTGTTACCGCTACTCTTATATATTATATCGCACAATAGATAAACACCTTTCTATACTACTTTGCCGAATATCTTCTCTCCAATGAGGCGAACTATATCTCTCAGACTTACTAATCCAATACTCTCAATCAAAATACCACTGTCTGGTATATTATTCTAAAGTTTAGTTTCCAATTTTATCAAAAAAATCATATTACAGATATATCAATCTGAAAGATGTAGATCGCTTACAACCCCGCTACTCTTGTTGTTCGCCAACTGGCTCTCGTCTAAGTTTCATTAGTTATGGACATAAGCAATATTTAATAATGTAGCTCTATTATGTATATATAATTTGTGAGGAATTTAGAAGCGGATTTTAATTAAGTAAACCTCGAAGATTGATATTTTAATTTGGTAACAATAGGTGTTTACAAAGGCGAGCTTAGCTAATCTCGTGAATTAGTATTTCCAGTAAGCTAATTTAATACATGTCAGATTGATTTGCAGGGTAATTGATCATCAGAAAGTTCTTTGTATACAAAAGAATGCCGTTGACCAAAGTGCAAGCTTTCACATGCCTACTGAGTTTATGAAATGAATAAAAAAATATATTTGGGTCAACTTGAAACCCCCAAGGCAGTATCCAGTTAGTTTCTCAACACCTCTTTACTGCCATGTGCTAATATAACACTAGATCTAAGGTGTAGAAATGAGAAAAAGCACAGTATAGATCATGAAGATTTCAAGTCTTATTAATTGATCGAAGAAATTGAGTATCCACATAGTAAAATATTTACGCCTGGAATCGCAATTAAACATTTCTTTCATGTAATCTTGTCTATATGGCGCTATCTTTCTAATGTCCGACCATAGACTGCGCGGCGGCAGAATATCTGTTACCATGCGGCTTGGCATCATCCACAATCTTGCGCATTTCTTGCAACTCGTCCTTCGTCAAATCAATGTTCCGTGAAGCAAAGTTGGCCTCCAGTCGCTCTGGCTTGGTTGTACCTGGAATAGCAATCATACCCTGAGCAGCAACCCATGCGAGAGCTATCTGGGTGATTGTACAACCCCTTCGAGTCGCGAGTTTCTTGATTTCCTCCACAATAGCCTTGTTATTGTAGAAATTCTCTCCTTGGAATTTAGGACCTAGAAAAGATTACGTGTCAGTAAACACTGGGAAATTGTAGTGAACAGGGAATGTAGTCAAGCAGAGACATACTACTTCGACGGAAATCGCCCGCAGGGAAATCATCAGGAGTCTTGAATCGAAAGTCGTCCACGAGCCATCCGTGACCCAGTGGACTATAGGCAACGTAGGCAATCCCTAACTCTTTTGCAGTTTCTATTAATCCATCTGTCTCGTGAATAGTCTCAAAAGCAGAATACTCTGCCTGGAGAGCATCAATTTTTGCAACTACGAATGTCAGTGGTAGGAATCGACAATTGCAAATGGGAGCTTACTCGAATTTGCTTTGCGCAAAGTGGCAGCAGAACATTCAGAAAGGCCGATGAACTTGGTCTTCCCCGCTTTACGAATCTCATCGAGAGCTGGAATAGACTCTTCTAAAGGAGTGTCTTTGAAATAAAAGTTAGCAGACTGAGCACGAAATTAAGTTGGGACAACCTACTAGGATCAATACGATGCAAATAATAGAGGTCTGGTGTGAAGCCGAGTCTCTCAATGGTGCCCTCAATATACTCCTTAATATGAGAAGCAGAATTAGTAACTCCCCCGAGTCCACCTTCAGCTTTCCCCATACAATCAAAACCACATTTTGATGCAACTATAGATAAGCGTGGTCAGTGTTGGTTCTCCAATGGCGATGGGTTGTAACGTACTGAAGACTTTATCACGAACGTTGTGCTTTCGAATGAAGTCTCCGAGCAGTTTCTCGTTAACACCCGCTGCGTAAACAACCTAAATTCTCATTTAGCAGTCTTCCGACGCAGATGCAGAGATATCTTAAACCTACAGCAGTATCCCAGAATGTGCATCCCAGTTCAATGGCTTTAAGAAGGACTGGCTCAGCTTCCTCCAAGCTGAGGTTACTTCCTAAACCAAAGCTTAACCCCATAGCACCGAAGCCCGGATTAGCGACCTGGATGTCACCGAAGGGAATTGTTTTGACCATATTGACTTTTTATAGTGCGTTTTCTGATTGTTTAGTTGTTCGTTGTGCACTTTTCGGAATCATACGAAATTATAGATATGTATATACTGTAAAATAAGGAAGTGACAGAGAGCCAGGTGAGGTCTTAGAGACGGACTTTATGGAGATAACATCGGAGTCGATTGAAACATTCTACTTGATTCTTAAGTCAGTGTTGTCCCGCTCGCTTCACTTCCTAACATCGGATATCAATAAAGCAGCATTGGTTCCATTTTGTTGTTTCGGCCGAAAGTGGCTTGTGGAGATTCGTAAAACCCTAGATAGCTTACGTAAGTTACCTTATTTCAACATGCAATATTGCGTGCCGTGGTTTATCAGTGGATCGGTGGGGCCATTTCTCAATCTCAAGCCGTCTGCATCAACGACTTTGAACAACGGTTTCTCATGTAAGGCAGATGTCGACGCACTAAAGGGAACCCAGACTACATAATGAAGAAGTACTTATTAGTGAACGAGGAACAGAAGAGATGTCATCGGAAGAAAAGGTAGACAATCAGACTCAATGCAATAGTTATAGGTATCAAAAATTAGTTGATCCCTAATAAGACTAATCAATCATTTGAAGCTATAGCACGTATGGAAAGATTGATCATCATGTGAGAATTGATCAAATTGACACAAGTATGATAGATTCTAGAGTGTTAAGTTCTCCTGAATGTTGACATTGTACCGGTAGACGAGAGACGAGAACGAGATGCGAGGGGTTGAAAGTGGTCTGCCCATTGGTGGGCAAGTTGCCATATCTGTTCTAGAGCAATATTGCAACCATGGCATCTACGTCACCAACGACACTGCATTGCCGCATCCCGATAAGGTTGCGATCGCGCACCAGCATGACCCAGGACCGGATGCGGAGATAAGTCCACCATAGATTCCCCGGCATATTCCACTTTTACACTACCTTCCCAGAGTTTGTTTGCTAATTCCTTCCTACGTCCAATCCTACCTTTCCTATTTTGAGTGCCTCATCTGCTTACTGCTTGCTTACTATCTGTTGCTTACTACTTAATTACTGCTTATGAACACCCCACACCTAGGTGGAAGTAAATCACAAGTGCAATATCCACATCCTTCGAATATGCCCAAACCACCATTCGCCGCTCAGATTACCCTGGAGTATACGCTGCAGCAAGATGCAAACAAAGGAGTAGAGGATGTTCGGTCTGGCATGTCCAACGCGGCTGAGCGAAGAAAGGAACAAAATCGAGTCCATCAGAAAGCTTGGCGTAAGTACTTGTTCCACCTTTTTACAATAAGTCCTCGCACGACACAATAAAGCACTGATGATGTGTGCGTCTCTAACTTGCAGGGAAAAGAAAGAAGCTTGAGCGATCAAAGTTTCGCATAGTAAAATATCCGACCGATGTGTCGAACAGTTCTTCCGGGCAAGAGCTTGCACCCTCGGAGACTAGCTTGTCGGGCTCTAGTGGCTCATTAGAGGATAGCTCGCTGATGGTAAGAGCTACGGGCCAACACTTCTCCCATTCGCACTCAGATATAACTGCGTGGCAAGAGGTCGATCTGCTTAATGTCTTCAATTCAGCTGCAGGCCTTTCTCAAATCAAAACTTGCGAGCGTTCTCGAACAGCTGTCGCATGCGCACAAGGCAATCTGGGAGATTCTGTAATTATAGAGTGGTTGCAAAAATGGCCACAAATTCTTAGTTCTCATCACGAACGATGATGCAACATCTGCATTTTGTCCGCCGTCTGGTGATGTGAAAGACATCCTCGCACTACCGTCAACATTGCGGCCCACAGATCTTCAAACCCGGATTCCCCATCATCCTTAGATTGATTGTTTGCCTGTGCCTCAGATGCGACAAAATTTAATCCCAGCCGGAAACACATATGATGTTATGGACCTTTGTGGAGACCTGGTTGGACTTTTCAGTGCTGGCACTGGGAGAACAGGCATGGTCATCTGGGGAGAGCCGTGGGATGTGGCTGGTTGGGAAGTGACCGAGGGATTCTTGGAGCGTTGGGGATGGACGATCAAGGAATGTTGGGATTTATTTGAGTCCACAAATAGATGGAGGGCAGAACGAGGTCAAATGGCTCTACAATTTGACAAAGTTTTGATCTGAAGACTTTATCCATGTGTTTCATGGATGATATCGCAGACTCTTCAAGAGAGAGGTAAGCGAACTGGTTTGGCATATGCGCATTTTTATCATCTGCTGGCACATTGGGCTGTTCTTGGATACAAATGTGATTTTGTTGAAGCAAAACAAAAAATAGAATTATGTATTGACGGTAGATGTCTCTAGACTGAGCTATTTATTTAAGGATATGTTATGAAAGGGATCAAGCATGATATGATCAATTCCAATTTTGGATGATGCGCATGTGCCAATCCCAGCGTTAATTTCTCGCCTAGAGAGGCATGTACTTATTCGATGGAGCGTGAATAAGCGATACCTTTTTGTGAAATTGATCATCATTCTGAGATGATCAAAGGTTTAATTTGTTGAGTTACTTTGTGTTAGATGGTGTCACTCATATAGTTTCCTAGTGTTGTGGAAATTTCCAATCTTTTACATTCGTAAGCGTCCCTGCTCCGGTTTTGAATTATCGAATAGTGGCGAGTCATGAGATTGAATAGCTCTATCTTGCTTCACGATTAATTCGCTCAAGATCTTCCCCCTTGATGGAATTCAAGTTATTCTGTACCGCATTATCCACACCGGATTCAATATCATCGTTACCATCTACGAGATCAGACCAGCCTGAAGTATCACTTCGCGAAAGAAGACTGGAAGCTATGGCAGTAACATCGGCACGCGGTACCCTCCCTGAAAATCTGGTCTTGCCTAGATGAATTTTACCCCTGGGAGCATTGGTGAGCAAACTTGGTCGTAGGCTAATTGCTTGAAAGGAAGATTGGTCGTCATCGTTCCTCTGCTTAGCCATGGCGACCAGGTACTTATCAGCATTCAACTTAGCCTCCATGATCTCTGAATAGGCTCTTGTCTCGTCGAGAAAGTTTTGGTAATCAGTGCTGTCCCACCAAGGCGCCTTCTTTCGGCGCGAGGCAGAAATGAAATCATGAGAAATTTTGTAACCTCGGGACAGCCAACAAATTCCTGGACGGTTTCCTTCACTGCATTCCGACCGACGACGTTAACATTACTCATATTTCCTGGTGAATATTAAAGCAGCTTAGCAAAACTATTCGTAGAATAATCATAACATTCCTTACCTGCCGCGAACACAATGCAGTTAGCCTTGACTTCCTTGAGGATCCTATTGGTGTTTTCGTCCTTCGTACGTGCAAGATCAACAACGAGGACATCGGCTTTTGCGCCTCTTTTTGGTCCTTACTGAAGAATTTCTGCTTCTTGTCTCTGATCTCTGATGACACTGGTAACGTGCCAGGGTTTCATAAGCATCGACTCAGCAATCAGTCAGCCAATGCCACCATTTCTACCAAAAATCAGAACGCGAGGCGAGGCCATAGTCTCAATCCAACATAGAAAAATAGCTATAATTAGGATCTGACAGGTAGAACAAAGTGTGTGCAGATGGCGATAGGGAAAGAGAAGGCTGGGCGTGGAAATCACTTGATTTTTGCCATTCCATGACTGTTTTAGGGAGGAGGGGCACTTTTAAAGTGATCGAACCATCTCGTTCTATCGCTTCATTTGAATTGAAACAATTTTCGGGCGAAGCTTTTTCGCTTAATGTCGAGAAGAAGAAGATGAGAAGAGAGTAAGGAAAAAAAAGTAAAGGAAGGCTCACTGTACAATGTAGGTACCTATATTAAGTCAACATGATATCATCGAGTTATTGAATAAAAACTCTTTATTGGCTGAGGTTGAATGTTCAATCGCCCTCTAGAATGAGATTGGTAGAGGGGCAACCAATCTGCTATGCCGATAAACGTGGCAGTGTTGAAAAGAGCAAGCTGAACAGTCGTTCCCACCCCCGCGCATATTAGCTCCGCCCGCAGCAGCTTGCATATAATATATTTTCTCATTCTTTGGAAATACAAATATTACTCAAGAATCATTTAATCATATCACGAAATCCAAAAATGTCAATATCTTCGTCATCATATTCTTCATTCGTTTCCTTATTCCGAAAAATCAATGGCGTTCGTCCGTCCTTTCAAGAATTATTGTACACATCACATGATGTCAAAACACTCTTACCGGCTTCATTATATTTATTGTTCTCCTCATTCTTTCGAAAGAAGAACATCATTCTGCGCAAGCTTCGAGCGTTGTTGAATACATTGGAAAATCCAATTTTATTGGTACTTTTATTACAATCCATACACATTTTATTCTCTGGCTATCATGCCATTATTCGATACGATTTTGCAAAAACATCGAGCACATCACAAAAGCATAAACAGCCAAGGGGAGTACCTTCATCGCTGTATCGACCTTTAAATCGAAATCTGGATGAAATTCGTTTGCTTAGGCTATATCAACGACATAATCCATCAGATTTGCCATCATGCACACTTTTTCAAACACAATCAGATTCACAAGACCACCAATCTGACTCAGTACTACAGTCAAGAATTCTATTCCAACAGGAGAGAAAATATAATGCCCTCTCATATGCCTGGGGAAGTTCAGCTCGATTATCACCAATCGTTGTGAACGATGTCGAAGTGATGGTTCATGCCAACCTTGCAAAATGCTTGAGGCAATTGACAAGCAACATGAAGGCTGAATCACAACAATCAACATTCCTGTGGGTGGATGCAATCTGTATCAACCAGAATGATTTAACAGAGCAAGCAATTGAAGTCAAGCGTATGGGAATGATTTATTCCTCTGCCGAAACAGTCATTGTATGGATTGGGGCACCCAGGATTGAAAGCGATGCGCCTAACTTGCGATATATTCTACGCAGATTAGACCGGACTAGACAAGATATTGACCCCAAATTGCTCGACTCAGAATGGCCGGTCTGGTCCGATAATAATTCCTCGCGGATGATAAATCAGTTCTTTTCGAAAGAATGGTGGCAGCGAACTTGGGTCTTTCAAGAAATCGTACTTGCAAAAAACATTTTCTTACATTATGGCACTGTTTCTTTCACTTGGGACACAGTCAGTAGCTCACAGCTACATTTTTATTATCTCCACTCAAATTGTGCACTTCCACCGGGTACGATACCTGAAGGAGTTTTCAAGGCTATGAGGAGAGTTCTGACCATCAATTTTGTCAGAGATAGCAGAGCGCGTGGTCTCAAAGTTCGACTAACTCAGCTATTGTGTATGGATAGGAGGTCGTTTTGCTCCGATCCACGAGATCGTATATATGGGCTTCTGGGTCTTGCAGAGGACCGCGATGTCGTGAGCCCTGATTATACGAAACCTATTCGGTGGGTCCTCCAAGATGTAGTACAAAGTCTCATAAAAAAGGGCAAATCCTTGAATGTCATCTGCATGCTACCGAAGTTTCATAAGATGGATGGTCTACCCTCTTGGCTTCCTGACTTCACCGCATCTTCACCTCCGCGGAACTTCATGAGTTTCCTGTCGAAAGACCCAAATACGTTTCATGTATTCATGGCATCCGGAACAATGCCTTTCTCTGGAGTACAGGTAAAAGCGGGTGTTCTCTCGGCAAAAGGAATAATATTAGACGTTGTTGATGGCATGGGTTCAGCCACTGTTGTGAGCCGATCGACTCGTCCCTCTCTGCCAAGTCACGAAAATCTGCAACAATCAACTACAAATAACTCACGCTACCCTAGCAAGAATGACCTGTTCCATGCTATCTGGAGGACGCTAGTGTCATCTCGAACAACTCATGATACCAAAGCAACTTCTGCGAGCGGAGCTGTATATCTCACATTCAAGTCAGTGACAATACCAAAGGAAAATTGGCTATTGGAAGACGTATGGAAGTGGAAAGAATTAGACGAGATCAGGCTCTTTTACGCCAACAATGCAATGCTAAAAGTCGCTGGAAAATCCTTGAGTGATTGGATAAATCTTGCACTTCCAGTATTTGAGCCAAATCTTGACGCTTCTGTCAAGGGCGTCAAGAATGAAATTAGGTATTTACCATACCATGTTAAAAGTACTCTACGAAATCAAAGGTTTCTTGTGACGGCATCTGGATATATTGGATACGTGCCGAATGAAACAAAACGTGGGGATACAATATGCATACTGTATGGCATGGACGTACCGGTGGTTCTGCGAAAAAATCAGGATAAAACTTTTGAAGTCATTGGGCCATGCTATGTTCATGGTGTAATGGAAGGTGAATTGATGAACGATCTGCAAAATGGAGTTTTTGAGGAGATTGTTTTCGATATTACTTGATTTTATTTCACACTTTCCGGGACATGGCGTCTGTTTTGGTACTTGATTTCATTATTGCAACCGATCTCTCAGGACCGAGATTGTTCTTTTTGTATGAATATAAAGTGTTTAAAAGGGGGGGATACTGGAGGATCAATGACAGTGGACGAAATTTTGAATTACTATACACTTTCCAAGATCCTGGAAAAACTGGTTACTGAGAACTTTGGTTAGTTGCAAGTATGGACACCCTCTTTACCCCGTACATAATTCTCAAATCTGATGACCACAAAAATGCTCTGAAGAAGTGCATAAACGAGAATACTACAGTGGATTTCATCCAGATCCAGCAGATATTGATGTGATTAAGGGCTAGAGAAGAGCAACGGGAATCAAGCTCATATTCCCGGAAAGCTTGATTTGATACATATCCTCTATTGCATTACTTGCCCTTCTATCTCAATATATCTTTCTCGAATCTGTAGTCTCAGCGCTGATGTGACCTCAGCGTGCTCTACGTGCTATCATCTAAACGTCATTTTCAACGTTTTATATTCTTATTGATATCTGTATCAAACTTTATACAAGAAAATAAATCATTTATAAATTACTAAGTAAAATTGATCGATTGTAAATCAGGAGTCCACTACTTTTTCCTAGCACCCTTGAATTTTCGATGATAACACTCCAGGTCGATTAAAAAGAATCACTCTGACATCAGACTACCCCTTCATTCTCGTTTATTTAGAACATCGATTTTCTCTCCACAATAATGGAGAGTACTCCACCTTTTCCTATGCCTAACAATCCTCCAACTTCAATTCAAATACCAAAAAAAACTTCATGAAGCACCAAAGAATATACCAAAAATTTGACCAAAAGAATAACAAAAGAAATCGACGTCGGCATGATTCGAACATGCGCCCCCGAAAGGAATTGATTTCTAGTCAATCACGTTAACCACTCCGTCACGACGCCTGTCAAATTGTGTTTGTTTGATGAATAAGCTGCTTCACCTATTGTCTACATACCACCCAAAATTCGAGTAACAATCATCAGAAATACTTTCTGAAGTATGTGTAGAAGGTTACTCGGAAGCATCGTAATCTTACAATATGCAAAACCCACACCTTTTTTCTTTTCTCTTTCTCAACTTTTCTCTCTTTCTTCGTATATCAAATCTTGGTTACACATATCTTGTCCATGTTAATAATTCTCTACTTGACAGTATAGATTGTGAAAATCACCTGCACACACAGATCCACACATCATGGATTTAATCCCTAATGTATTCGCTATGCTATAATCAATTTTTTTAAACAGTAATTAATATATAATAAATACGAAGGTTGAAGGCGTAAGTCGTATAAGCCTCATTTTTAATAAAAGTTACTGTTTTACGAAATTCCAATACTGCTTTTACTAATTTCACTAGATATTCAGCCATTCCCCCCAAATTTCGAATTCTGAACTTCTTTTATTCGAATTTTCAACTCTTATAATTTTAAAGCTTTTAAAGCTTTCAATAAGTTCCAAATAAACTCAGAATAGTATTTTCAAAAAGAAAAATATGAATTTCGATAAATTTGAGTGATTTTGCTAAAGATAGAATAAATTTACAATACTTAGAGTTTACTATATAAATTTTCAATCAATATAATGATATAATTAATCCAAACGATAAAAATGGGGCAAAGCTCGATCGCTTTTTGGTGTATTTTACAATACTTATACCATTAACCTCTGTATGATCATAGTTTATCAACCCTAACTTCTTCTAGAACAGCCGTATAACTAGAGGTTCTCGTTGACAAGCTTGGATGTGGTCTGCTGTGGCGATGGATACACATGATCATTGTTGACCATTATATCTGTAGCCTGCTTGTCCTCAATCGTGCGCTTTCATTCCTCCGCGAAACGAAGATAATATGATTCGGGGCATCACTCAGGTGTCTAAACATGCTCGGTGATCATTCTGTAACTCTCAGGTAGTGATATCGCATTTTTTTCCCTCGTGATGATAGTTTTAGATGCCCAGCATCAGCATGACATTGCTCAAGTTTCGAGCCTTTGTTTACCTTGCGGACTGCAGATCGAAGTAGTTGGAAGAGTCTTCTACGAATTTGAGTCGATCTTCGATGAACTCGAGCCTTTCGCCAATCTCATCAATCCCTCCACGAAATCTGTATGACTCAGATGTTTAAGGAATTCTTCATCAGACGTACCCTCCAAAGGCGTTACTTCGTGAATTGAACTTTCTATCTTCTTCGCTTCAATTCTTGCTTTCAATTCATTTTCCAATTTCAAAATACTCCGTTGAATGTCCCGCATGGTTTTATACCCAGATGGATATTCCTACTTCCGCAGTGCTTTCTCGAGAATCTCCAAGGATTGTAAATCTTTCTCGCATATATGCTTCAGGCGTTGTTCTCATATCAACCGTTTCTGCTTTGTTCTCAACAACAATTCCTGTCTCATGATGTTTTTGGCCTTCAGTTGAATTCTAAGCTCTAATATGACTTTGTCAATTGAATCGTCATCTCCAAAATGAGTTGTAATCATATTCTCCCTTATCCATCTTCGACCCATGGTCGACATGCCAACAATATGATCGACTATGCCCTCCAAACTATCGTTTCCAGCTTTGAGTTGTGGCCAAGGCATGCGCAAATCCCCTTCCAACGAGAGTTTGGTGAAGAATTCGTTCACAACCACAATTCCAAATCCACTTCTCTTGGCTGACCTCAACATGTACCGAAACCCTGCATCATCTGTGACTAGAATTAACCAAACAAAAGGATTAGGTTCCTTCTCTAACTGTGTCATCTTCCACTTCTTCCACGCGCGTCGTAGAGCTGCATCTGCTTCTTGGAGAGCTGTACCCACGCTTTCAATGTGGACGCCAGCTTCTATTAATCTTGTACCACTTTCAGAGAATGTGAGATGAGTACCAAAAGCTGTTATATTAATAAGCTCCCCGAAATGCCCAGCGAACTTCTTCAACGAAGTTACCACGTCGTCATAAGACGGAGAAGTTCTTTTGTTATCGGCATCCCATAGAACTACGACCGAATTCTGCCTTGATATAGAGGCGTTTTCTTGATCCTTAGATAAAGCTTCCGTGTCGGCCAATGCAAAGATCTGATCCGGCTTGAATTTTGACTTCAGTCTCCTTTGACGTGGTGGCCCGCAGACTTGAGCTTTATCACCCTGTTTTTAATTAAACTTTTCCCTTGATTCGGCACGGAGGTGTTCTTATCACTTCTATCCAGCCTTGAATTTGAATAAAATTCAGGGCATGCAGTCTTTGATCCAAAATTTATAGTTGTGACCTTTGGCTCTGGAAAATCCACTCGACGTCTGCGTATGTCAATGTGAGATAATGAACCCACGTCCAAATTTAACTTCGAATCCGGGGAACTTGATATACTATCAGAAAAAGATGAGAGATACAAAGCCTCTTTTGGATTTATTAGCTCCAAAGATTTGTTGGAAACTTCTTCAGAATTGAAAGCATCATAGCATCTCTTCTTCTGATAAACTGACAACGTTCACATCTTCCCAAAAGCGCGGATGGATGAACACTTCTCAGACGTGGTGAGCCACCATGCAGAATAGAATTTGAGGATATATCCTTAGCAAGTGTCCTGAAGAATGCTGAGTCCAGACGACATTTTGATAAATTGCTGTTGGTCTCACCACGATTATCGAACCTCGGGTACAACAAACAGAAGAATGGTTTGGTGTTGGGAAGCAGAGAGGCGTGGATTTGGTTTCTGGGACTCAATTGAGGAATCATTGCTCATCTCATGACCGTTAGACTTTCCTATCTCTTTGACTCTGTGTCACGGAGTCTTTTCTGCTGTGACCTTTATGATATCAAGATTCCCGTAAAGAAAATGTGGCGCTGAGATTCCGAGAAAGAGGAATACCCCGGATTTCGGCGCGGCCGCTAGGTTTATGTTCACATTACGTGATACATATGATCTAGCTACCTTGGTAGTTTTGCATCTTTGACAGACACATTGGGTTTACATTTTCTTCACCACCCTCTAATCGTGCCATTGGAACAGAAATGTTTCCTAACTTTCATGAAATCAAATTTCAAATTGAGAACTACTTGGCCATGCTACTTCTAAGTCGAGTGATTTAGGCTTTAGGAACTCCTGTTGTTATACGTGTCGTACACTGCATGCAACTAGAGATTTGATGGCCTCGAGGCTTGTCGATGTGTATCCTTGAGATGTCACATTGCATGATTGAGCAGCCAAGGCATTCTTATGCAAACTTTTTCCTCCTCACTGCAGTGCGACGAAATTCATGGTGTTTAGACATCCGAAGCGAAGATATTGATCTCGAAAATGAAGAAAAGGCTGGAAAAGCTTCTTTCTTATTTTTTTTTCAATATCCGAGTGGTTTCTCTCAATTTGGTGAAAACCGAAAACTCCATGTCTTCATTGTCAAAGAAGTACACAAAACCAAAAAATTTCATCATGCCTGAAGTTCACTCATACGAATCTAGCAATAGCAGAACTTCTCTACCATACCATTCACTTTTGAATCCGAAAATAGAGAATAATGAAGGACCATACCTACGAGATGGCGATGCGGCTGCTTTGCGGCGAAAGTTTCTGTATGGAGTAGCTTTTGGGCTTCTCAGTGGATTGTCCATAATTCTGGTTATCTATGCCACATTTTCATACATTTCTAATTGGATTGTACCACAGACATTCCCTCCAGATTGTAGGTTAGGGATAGAAACTTCCTCTTGAAAGATTACGGTCGCTTTACATATCACGTACTCATTTTGAGCAGTTCCATCACATCCAGTCATGTTTGAAGAAGACGAAAGATATGCAGCTGCTTCTAGTCCAGAAACCGATTCAGCATGGGATAGTTTAATGCCAGGTAAATTCACCCTCAGAAGTTTTCCGGTCAATATATCTTCAACAAAAGCTAATTTAATGTCACCAGCTGGACGAGGTTTCATTCTTGTCGAAAACCCCGAGAAATATGGTCTTCGACCAGGATTACCATCAGCAAATGGGCCAGATCGATATTCGGTTTCTGTATTCCACCAACTCCACTGTCTGGTAATATCATTTTCTCCTTGCTCTAAAATCCATCCAGATCACGATCTAACACCCACAGGGCATGATCCGCGAATCCTACAACTCGGTTCTCATGGGAGTTCGCCCGCACATCCACGGCGATGAAAATCTCTCAGACTCAGCGGCTCAAGAATCGGAAAAAGAACACACATCCCACTGCTTCGATTATTTACGACAAGCAATGATGTGTTCTGCAGATATGACTATCGAATGGGCAATGGAGATGCCGGATGGGAAACCTCCGTTTACAGTTGATGGGTGGGGTATCACTCATATGTGTAGAGATTGGAAACATGTTTTGAAGTGGATGGGAGAGCATAGGAGTCCGGTCAATAGTTCGGGGATTGCGTAAGGGCTTGGGAGACGACGATGGGCTATACATTGCTATGGATTGGAGTTTATATGTTCGACGGATTCTTTTAATTTATTTTCACTTGCATCATGAATACCAATCCATAATTTACTTTACATCTGAAATTCACGATAATCATGAGCAAACCTTCCACTACCTCAACGATCCATCGCCTCAATCGCCTTCATCGCTAATCATCTCAATTCCGAAAACAGCTCTACAAATAGTGGGGTACATATCACTTCCTCCACAACAGCTCCAAGATCTTGCAGTGTCTAACAAGTACAGCTAACTACCGTCCTACAAGCAAATACCGAGTAGGGATCACTTGCATATCTCACACACCCGAAAAAGGTAGTCCAGCAATTTATCCGAAGGGCAGGTGCCAAGACATTCATCGCTTGGCATTCGGGGACTAGAGTTTTATAGGAAGGTGACATGTACTGATAGCGGACCCTAGTATTTCTTCACAGATATACATAATCGAAAAATGATAGAGTGCTGGATTTCCATTTACTATTGCAGTTTTACGCTGCATCGCAAATTTGAGAGAGAAATCCAAACACTATGAAATAAGACAGACAAAAGACAAAAGAGGTCGAAAAAAATGTTGACACCCCGCTCCACCTCTACGAAACAATCTTCATCCCTCCTCATCTCCTTCCTCTTCCTAATAATCATCCTCACAACTCTTATATATTTTCTTCAAACATCCTCTGTATCCTTTGTCTCTCCCCCCTCTTCATCTAATTCACATACCTCCCCATCATCTTCATCCACACCCTCTATTCCGGAATCCCTCAACCCCTCATCACCTCTCTCTAAAACTGTTATATTCTCCGAACATTCGACATATGAAAACCTCTCTCATGAATACGATCATCTTTGGGATGAATTACTTCCACAAAATGGAGGATTTTTGAGGGTTAATGACGAAGATATAAAGTCAAATGGGCAAGAAAATACGGAAGGAAAGAAAGGAGAAGTGCAAAAGGGGAAGAAACATAAATATGGAATAACTATGTTTCATTCTCTCCACTGCTTGGGAATCATGAGGGGAGGAGTACAGGAATTGTTCAGGGAGATGGAGGAGTTGAAGATGGAAGTTGCGGAGTTGAAGATGGGAAAGATGGAAGATGATGAAGAGATGGAAGGCGATGAAGAGAGGGAGAGCAAGATGAGGAGGGAACAGAAGAAAAGAGCAGGAGGGGGTCATGGGCATGGTCATGATTTTGGTCACATGGAACATGGGGATCCACTACATTGGTTGCATTGTTTTGATTATTTGAGACAGGTATGTACAGTTCTCATTCACAATCTTCTTGACTTCTTTGGGGACTTTGGAAACAAATCTGGAGGTCATGTATTTGATTAGCGGAGAAATTCCACGGATGTTTGTATGGGAGTATAATTGCTAGCGGATGGAACGAAGTAGGATATCATGGGATATAATATCTTTCTATAAAAGACTGAAGAACCTAGCACTGACTTCACACCAAAATTCTAGACAGTACTATGCACGGCTGATGGAACACTTGAGCCGCCAAAAGCTGATTCAAAAGGGAAGGAAAATGTCGACGGGATGATGGAGAGGCAATGCAAGGACCCTGAAGAGCTGTGGAAGTTGAGCGTTGAGTCTTTTGAGGCAACTAGTTAGATGGTGGATAATCTATTTCTATCCATGTTCTCGTTATTTGCACTCTCACGACCTTTGAAAGCAAGATACTTTGATTACGGAATTTAATCGCAAATCTGCACACTTGAAGATGATCAACCATCCATTCTAATACCTCTTGTAGCATCATTGAGGAATATCTTGACAATTTTTAGCAACGCGTGAATAGTGGTTTAATAAGCGATTCCGATTTGTGAATCCAATGTCAAGTAAAAAGAACATTTTTTGCAATTACTCCCTTACCCCTTGAACATCGGGAAACTAAAAGGGATACGCATAGTCTCCACAAACGTTTAAAAGAGGTTGGAACGAGAAAGTCCTCCCCGAAAACGACCCGAAAGCTCTCTTAGAAACAAGTGATGCTGTAGAGCAGATCTAAAGTATCATAATCGCTTCTGTTGTGCAATACTTAGTTAACATCATGCACATCTAACATGCATTTACACCACATCTCACGCACCACAATATGTATGGCCGTTTTCTCACCGCTGCCAAAGTGGCTCCATACCTATGTTCCAGAGTTCACAATTATTTACTCGGCCAGACCATCGTGTGATTACCGGCTTGTCTAGACTCGGCGAATGAAGTGGTTGTAACCTTATTCCACCATTCATCTGGTCGATTCCCTCATAAATACAGATGCCCAATTTGATGAATGACTTTGAATACTGCTATGTCCGGAGGAACGGCAATGCAAGTCGACTTCTCTGTTAACAAGAGAAAAGTAAAAGTGCGAACAACACGCTAGATGGCAATTCATTGGACGATGAGAGAATCGGGTCTTGTGATATCCTTCATACCCCTCTGTATATTGTGCGAGGTGATAAGTGTACCCCTCACTCAAGCAGTTAAGCAACCCGATGAGACTCTTGACACCAGTTCCGACACCGTGAGGATAGAAAACAAGACCGGGAATGAACTACTACCGGACTAGATGGACTGTGTAAGGATCATATATCAGAGCATTTGCTATATAAACCCGTCTCATCTGTCAGCCAGCAAAACTATCAAAAAGGTCAGCTAGGTCAAGAAAACCTCAGAATAAGCAGCCTTATCGAAGAACACCCGTCCATACAAAACGACCTCACACCACAAATTCGCCACCATCATGCATTTCCAATCCCTTTGTTTTGCATCAGCCACGCTGGTTATCGCCATCATGGCAGCCCCAATCATTGAATCCAGCTCACTTGGTATGCCTACCGCCCATCCTATATCTCTATTCCACTGACATCGATGTGACAGCCGCACGTGAAGCTGGTGTTCCTCGGGGTTTCTTCAATAACAATGATGTAGGATCAGAGGTGAAGCGAGGATTTTTCAACAATGCAGATGCATCAGATGCTTCAAAGGAGAAGAGAGGATTTTTCAACAACAACGATGCAGGGTCAGATGTGAAACGAGGATTCTTCAACAATGCAGATGCCTCAGGTGCTTCAAAGGAGAAGCGGGGATTCTTCAACAACAACGACGTGTCGGATTCCTCAAAGGCCAAGAGAGGATTCTTCAACAACGGGGTCTCAACGGCGGAAGTTTCAAAACGCGACGAGGAGGTGGATGATGATGGATATTATTACACATATACAGATAGTAGCAAGTAAAGTAACATAAATTCATTGACTGCTCAGTCGGAAGTGGACGATATGAGGGAATAAGGGGTTTTATTGCCGTGGGAATCAGGGTGGTTTTGTTGGGCGGACTCAAGGACGCACGCGACCGTGTTAATACAGCATTGGATCTTGTCTATTTTCAACAAATGACAATTCTTATTTCTTTCTTCGTGTGGAAATGGATCACCCTCAATCGTGACAATGACACATGTATCTCGTTGATGATCAAATGTTCGCGAAATAATAAGGGGGAAGTAGCGATTAATTTAGTGATGTTGAGCAACAAAGACTCATATTCATAGACGTAGGATGAATACTCATAATTCATCAAATTGATATACAGAGTTGAGAGGCTAATAGTCTAAACATGAGATGAGCTTAACTGTACGCCTTTCTCCCTTTTCCCAAACACCTTTACATCCATCCCTTTCAAATATACAGTTAAAAACTTCGGCATCAAGAAGTTTTTGCTGCAAGCGGTGACATCCGGCTTGCGAACTTCACCTTAGCAGCTTGTGGACTTTGTGATGCTAACTTTCGTCTCAAAATAGCCATGGTTCTTTTGGGGATCCAGACTCGACTACCCAAAACGACGACCCCAGTCAATAATGCCAGACTTCCAGCTTGATGGGCAGAAGCAAGTGGAGTGGGTACCAAGTATATCAGAGTGCTAATTCCCAAAGTAACTTGCAACATCAAAAGATGAACTACACCAAGCATTCCTTTTGCTCCACTTTTTGGGAGAGCAGCTTTGACTCTAGGGTTGAAGCGTGAATATGCCCAGAGGGCGAGAATAGCAGTGAACGAAGTGGTTGCTAGTATACGGTGGTCCAACTGCACTGTTGATGGATTCTCGAGCATATTACGCCACCACAAATCACTACGATCCGGTTGTCTGGAATAGAATTCGGAGAATAGTTCGGACTTTGGTGGCGCGAAACCCTTGCCCATTCGAGGGAATTCGTTATAAATAAGGCCAGCATCAAGACCCGCAACCAATCCACCGGACATAGCTGTTGTGAAGACGAGGAGAGCAAGACCAGCAACGGATTTACGGAATACTGATAGTGAGGACGAAGATAGACGAAGGAGATGAGCATGCGCCTGAGCGGGTGTAGAGTTAAATAAAAGTTTGCGATCGCGAAGAATTGAGAGACCGTTCCAAAGCATTGCAGTGTAACAGATGAAAGCAGTACCGAGATGTGTGGTAAGCCTGTATTGAGAAACGCGGGGATGAGAGCCGGGGGCGAAAAGATCGTCCTTCAATCCTGACTTAACCATCCACCAACCAATAGCTCCCTGAAAGCCAATGAGTCCCGATATTCCCAATAAACGAAGAGCCATAGGCTTTGAGACTTTACGACGGGCGACGAAGTAGACCGCAGGGACAACAAAGGAGAGTCCAATAAATCGTCCCCATAATCGATGAAACCACTCCATAAAATATATCTTTTTGAATTCTGCCATAGTCATATGTGGATTGAGAAGCTTGAATTCAGGCGAGGCTCGATACAAGTTGAATTCACTCTCCCAGTCTGCGGCAGAGAGAGGTGGAAGAGATCCAGTGACAGGTTTCCATTCTGTGATACTAAGACTTGAGGGGAATCAGCAAAACGCTCTAGGTTGATTGCATTGGCAGACCAGAAGAAACGACAAGACAGATGAAAGGATCTTCGTCATATACACTTACCCAGACTCTGTCAACCGCGTGAGACCTCCGAATACAACGATTCCAAATACACTTGCAGCACTTCCTAATAGCCAATAACCCACTGATTTTGAACTTGTTTCCGGAAATCTGCTTCGCGATGATTCTTTGTTTATTGCTTGACTTGATTTGCTCAATGATTCAGCCAGCGAACTCAACGGAGAGGCTCCATTGGCAGATTCAGTAATCGTAGTTATATTACTATTGAACCGTATTGAGCGGGAAGATATGGATTTGGCGGGGAACTTTGTTTGTCGCAATGTAGGACGAGGTTGTTTTAAACACTGATGACATATAAAGAAGTCCCTAGATAACCTAGGAGTAACCTTTCGCAGTCCTGGTAATATTGAAGCCATTGATCAAAAATTGAGGCGAAGAACACAAAAAGAGAGAAAAGATAGTGGCATGTTTTTGGAAATATATTTACCTCATTATTAGTAACCTTGACTCAATCTCGCTCCAGATCTCGAATAATTGTGGATTACCTCAGCCATCGAGAGATAATTATGGTCACGTGAATTGGCGAAACCGTTTTCTCCGTTCCAAAAGTTTGGCGGGTGAACCATTCGAGTAGTCATCAATACCAAGCACAATAGATCGACAGCAAGGGTTCAGATCAATTGAATCCGATTAATCCGAATTGATCATTTTAATTTGACACCAGATTCGCATATCCTGAGTACGACAACAACGGCGACGACGTCTCCAATTTTAATGAAAGGGGAGGCATTTGTGTCGTGTCGTGTCTATAAGTGTAACATAGAATCCGAACAGTCTCAATGAATTATATTTGTATATTTCATTGACATTACACACATATATTTGACACTTCACTCTTTTACCCAAGGCATGCAACAACTGTTCTCTCCTTTTATTTAATGCTTAATTAATACCATGTTCTCAGCTCGCAACACCGATACCCCAAACCCATTTCGACCCGCGCTCCAATACCTTATCAATCCTGCGAATTCAAATTTACCGCGAACTCGTTCGAATCATCGAAAAGGTTATTCAATCAGTAGTTTGGACTCAGATGGGGAGAGCGACGACAAGATGTCTTCTCGAAATGCAACGACTTCATCTGAACTTCATCCATCCATCCCGCTCATAAATATATCTAGAAGTCCTTCTCCTTATCGCCCAAGAGCTGCCTCGGGTCCCGACCCGACATCAGATAGCGACGAAGAATACGATAATTGGGGCACATCATCCAGGCGGCCTATTCTTTCCGGGGTAGAACCAAAATACACAGGTTGGCGATATGCGCTCTACAGTGGAGGACTGGGTCAATTTCTCTTCAACACAACACTAGGCTGGCGGTTTTATGTCGGAGTTCTAGTATTTTGGCTAGGCGGTTGTGGCATAGGTCTGACTGTCATGAACAGAATAGTTCTTTGGAGTGGGTACCTACAAGAAAATTACACTTCATATACTAAGCTTATGATCTTATTAGCCGGAGTTTATAAGTTTCCCTGGCCTTTAACGACTACATTCATCGAATTGTTGATTACCCACGGATTTTTATGGCTTTCGGCATTCCTTACAAGATTAGCAAGTCCAGTGTGTATCACTGCTGGCGTGTCGAGTGCGGTTGCGCCAAGTACACCTTTACATAATTCAAACTTACCAGGGTTTAGAGGAGAGGGAAAGAAACAAGGGTTACTTTCGACTCTGGGAAGGTTGTCATCTGCAGGTTCCGGAGGTATTGCTGGTGGTGGGCTGTTCGAATTTGACTATGCTATCGCTCGGCAAGTCTTGCCCCTCGCCATTATTTTTGTGGTGAAACTTATATTGAGCAATATCTCTTTCGCTTACGCCGAACTTTCCATATATGTCATGGCTAGGATTGGAATTATTCCATTCTCTCTACTATTCACTACGATCCTTGGACAACAACAGCATTCTGCATCCACTATTTCATCAGCTTTGATTGCTACTCTGTTTCTACTACTAGGCACGATGAAGGCTGGTCTTCGTGCTCCATGGGAAAGTATAGTTGCTGGAGTCTTTTCGTCCATTTTTGTTGCGTTATATCCTGTTCAGATCCAACGTACATATAAAGCGCTTGTCGCTCAACTTGTTCCTCAAGGTGATCTCATAGGAGGTTTTGCTTCCACTAACGGCCCATCCGACTTCTCTGGTTCTCGCGAAGAAAATCGAGCATACTGGCGTCTGCTACACTATACATCCCTTCTCTCCATCCTCATTTTCATTCCTATTCTCCTCTTGTCTGGTGAACTGCCAGACGTCTATCGCAATTGCTATTTCCTGGATGTATTCTTTCATTGGTTGATGGTTCTTTGTGGCGGCACTGGATCATGGGCAGTATTTTGGTGCACAATCGCATTGACTAGAGCAACTGGTCCCCTTACGACAAGCTTTTTGTTTGTGCCAAGAGCTGCATTCTTACTGCCAATCATGGCTGGTTTCAAGCTGCCAGCTTCCAATTGGATTGGTTTTGGTATGTGTTGGGCTAGTTGTGCTTGGTTTCTAATCGGACGGGTGAGAGAAGGGAGATCCATTGAAAGATTGAGGTGACGAAATTATTTCCAAGTAACCTCACATGATTTATTGTATAAGTGCGGGTCATGGGAGTTGGATAGATGTCAGTGTAAATTAACGAGAAGTTTCATAGAATTTATATTCAAGGCCTTGTGTCTGCAATGATTCAACTATTCGGAAAGCCCTCAGCAAAGCAGTGTTGCGCCATTCAATCCTGAGCTGCAGCGTCCATGAGAGCTTTCACGGTGGCATTAGTAGCATTTTTAATTGCTCCCAGCAGGACATGCGAGGTAGAATCAACAAATGCAACAGCGGTGGCATTTGCGGTACTGTTCTCTCCCCCCCCTAGTCCCTCTGCCGAGCATATTCCTTTCCCATGACAACTCGAAAATCGGGCCACAGGCGAACTCGCAAAGAACCAAAACCATATCCAAGCGATAAGTGGCGTTAAAACACTTCTTAAACGATGAAACCTCAATTGATTTAACACCTCGGTCAACCGAACGTCTGGAATCTCTTCCACATCATGATATCTGATGTCACGAACCCCCATCTTACCCAGCAATATAAAATCAAATAGGACAAACATCTCCCAGGAAAGTAAGAGTATGAAACTGTTTAGCAGCGCCATCGTCGAAGGGCGGCCAAATAAGTAGGCCTGGTCATCTTCAAGAAGAACAATAAGGTATACGGTTGTAACGATGAGTATAAAAGCGAGAAACATGTGGAAGAGTGCTATGTCATTGGGATTTTGAAGTTCTTTTATCGTGGCTCGTATACTGGCATTGCGTCTTGCATCGTCTTGCTCGACGGATGGATTCATAGGATCCAATGAATCTAAATGTGCAGCTGCTTGAGATGCAGTCTCGGCTTCGTGGTTCGCATCTGCCCCCTCGCCAGATGCGGCACCGTGATCAATTTCTGTCTTGGCTGAAATCTGGTGTATCGATTGGGAATCAGATTCTGTAGCAAACTCGGCTGTAGATGTAGGTGTGAGCTGAAGAGAGGATGAATCTTCACTGTCTTGTTGATACGGATCTTCGATGTTATTAAAATCACCATTGCCTGTTACTGAACCCTGGTTCTCGATTTCGGTGCTAAAGTTGATAGAACTAGATTGAGGTCGAGATTTGAACACAAATTCAGACTCAAATCCCTCTTCTCCACCGGATTCAGGTGCAATGATGGATCTACGTTCCTTCAATGATTTCTGAAGTTTGCTCTTTTGTTCGCCTTTGTCCCCTACTGGCATCATGGAATCTGTTTCAGATTCGGGTTCGACATCGGCGTCAGAATCCCCATCAAAAATAACATCGGTATCGCTTGGTGGTGGGCGGCGAATTCTCTCATATTTACCATTTCCATTTTCCTCGTCTTTGTTCTCAACTTTGGTCTTCTCTGCATCGGTAATCGAAGATGAGGTGTCAAGATTTGATGTTTGAGTATCCTTCGCAAGTGCTGCAAGATTCAACGGGCTAGCCTCGATTGAAACATCAGGTGCATTGGTTATGGCTTGTTTGGGTGTTAGTCATTTTATCTTTATATTGTGAGGGACGATTTGTTCTAGGGAATGAATGTGAAAGGGAATTACTTACGAGTATATTGAGAATGACTGCTGTTATGGTCCGTCATGATCACTACGTATTCTTCTTCGAACTGATGATTCTTTTGAAGCAACAATTATTTCCTTTATCTTTTCTTATGGAAGAAACATGAAACGTGGTTTCTAGAAATAGGATTGAACCTACTGAGAACTTATAGAAGTTCTTATCTTCGCTTGAGAGCCGGAAGCGTCATAGTATAAGACTAAAATCACACTAACATTCACCAAGTACTTGACAAGTTGGAAATGGTGATTATGAAATCAGAGTAGTCTGTTTCTAGTGTAGCCACCGAACTAACTTGTGCTGATAGTTCTTGGAATTTGGCTAACCCAAATTAGAGTTGGTGATTTGCAAGATCGAGGTTTTTTCTGAGGCGGGGTGCTCTTTGAAGCTCATGTAGGTGGAATTGCTTCTCTATAAGATGCAATGGCACAGTGTATCGGGAAGCTTCTCTGATTCCTAGGCTCCTCAAACAGCTAATTCGGCACTTTATTTCACATTCCACCTTCTTCATGTCTTCAATCTCAGCCCCGCCATTTGTCCGATGCCAAGCTTCACGCTAATACTACCGGCCTCGGGCTGAACTTCTAGCTTAACGGTTGCTAGATGAGTTCATCCAGCCTACTGGCCCCACCGACATTTCTAGTAAGGTCACGAGGTTTTGAAATTCGTCCCCGCTTACTCATTCGAGGCTAAAATTATATCAATGGAATATTTGGTTTTATCAAGAAATCTTCTTTAGCGGGCTCAGTGAACTTTGATCCGAAATTGGAAAAAAGATAGAGAGCCAAATATCACCGAAGGGAAAAGATACCAAGGCCTCATGGGAGACACAAGATCTAAGAAAACTATTGTATATGCTCACCGAAGACCTGATTAGTAAATTCAGTTGAGCGTGGAGAAAATGCATGAATCCTAAATTTCGATCCTGAGGAAAGGCTTCTACGCGTGCGCCTACATCCACATTAGCAAATCTCACCGGAAGCCGCTGTCTTGTTCTCGATCAACACTTTGCGACTCGATACGTCTTAGCTGGTGTAGAGAGGCTAGAATAAATCAGTTACATCACTTCTATTGTATTTCTGACATGGATATAAGATTCTCGAAAATAGATTGGATATGGGAGTTGAAACAAGAAGAGATAAATTGAGAAGTGCTCGGCCGACATGAAGTTCTATGGTTGGTAGAACATGAGAAAACTTACAGGCATACAAAAATCTTCTGAGATCGAGATTTATCATCCCTGTTGCTTGACTGAAGAATCGGAAACCAGAATCTATGTTGCAAAACAATGCAAAGTTCAGCATTAGTTGCTTTTTTCTCCTTTACCCACATCGCTTCCCCAGCGGAAGGCTCTTGTGCCTCCCGGTGTAAACTTTCGGTTGAATGATTCGCTATTCGGAATTACTCCACGCGTTCCGGAACACAAGAATCCGATCAGCCTCTAAGTGCCTGGTTACCCGACATTTCAATTTCATGATTGCTTCTTTTCAAACCGTTCACAGATTCATCAGTGACCTATCAAATTACATCCTCAATATAGAGAGACATTGTGATCAACAATTTATCTTATGTTGTTTAGATTCTTCATTGTACGATTCTTTCATCGCACAGACATCGCGCTACCTCTGGCACCTAATTTGGCATCGTAACACCCGAGAAATCCTTTTCACGGTAACCTATAAAGCTCTATTATTTCTCGAGTTATCTTGACCACATACAGATATTCACACCGAGTCATGACATTTATTCTCATAAAGTCACATTTCACACATAATCACCATGCCATTATGCGCAAAGTGTATAAGATTTCGCACTTGGATCACTTCCAAGACGATAATCCAAGCTTCAAAGCCTCAGAATCAGTCAAGCTGGCCCATCTCATGGAATGGATGGGAACCCCATTTGCATCACCATAAAAATTTAGCCAGCCTCCGGCTTTCTGCTGATAAGAGCTGCCGGTTATGCCTGATGTTATTGAAATTCCTGAACGGCGATCATTACCTAAATCTTGAGTCCTGGCGCAAGTTCTCACTAAAGAATTCCCATGACTTGTATTTTAGCTTCAAGCTTCTTCGTGGGCGAAATGGGATGGTGATGTATGGAGGGCTCTGTTTGCAACTGTACGTGCAGGGGGATAAGCACAAGATCTGGCCTTTGAAACATCATCAAGCACCAGATCCATTGGCATCAAACACAGTTGAAATGGCAAGAGAATGGCTCAGAGAATGTGCGGAAAATCATGATGGATGTCGCGTACGATTCAATTCGAAGAGCCTCCCATCGAGGCTGATCGACGTTGGGTATTCCGATAAAAGCGGTGATTTCAGTGTGCCACATCTTATAGACACCCATGGATCTTTGCCTTCTGAGATGAAAACTGGGAACGATTGGCAGTACGTCACTTTGAGCCACTGCTGGGGAAAATCGACGCACTTGTCAACTAAGAAAAACACTTTGAATGAAAGGAAATACGCAATTCCGGTGAAAAGTTTAAACAAGACATATGCAGACGCTGTACGCGTAACTAGAGAACTGCAAATGCGATATTTGTGGATCGATTCGCTTTGCATTATCCAGGACTCCGATGAAGATTGGATTGAAGAATCGTCCAAAATGTGCTTCGTCTACAACAACGCTAAATTCAACATCGCCGCTGCAGCAGCGCTTGACGGAGATAGCGGCTTCTTACCCAAGAGATTGAGTGTTAAAATTGGCCATGTTCTTCGCTCAGACAGAAAGACTATAGCGAGATCTTTGTGGATTCGACCGTGTATTCAAACTGGAAACGCAAATGGAGAAGTGGGTATTTCTCTACCATGCCCACTTTTTGGCAGGGCATGGGTACTTCAAGAAAGTATTTTAGCGGCTCGGACGATGATATACTCACCTGTTGGCATGCACTTCCGATGTCGCATGAGCAAAAGATCCGATGAAGACCCAGTGAAAGATGCAGGAGATCTTGATATCTTTGTTGGTAGTAAGCTTGCTACCTTTCCTTTCCTAGCTCTGAACAAAGGACAAAAGCAATTTTATTCTCCCCGAGAAATAGACACCTGGTACCAACTGCTAGAGGTATATTCAGGAAAGCAAATATTGCATAGAAAGGACAAGCTCCCGGCAGTGGCTGGTTTGGCGTATCAGCTTGGATCAATAATAGGAGATACGTACCTTGCAGGCCTTTGGGCGCGCGATTTTCCGCAAGCCTTGTGCTGGCTGCCTCATCGACCCAGTTCTGGATGTGTTCGTCGCTCCAAATTGCCGGCTGATATTGAATATAGCGCCCCTTCATGGTCATGGGCATCGTGTCATACCCTATTCAGCTATGCTCCCGTGGCTTTCAAGAGCGCCAAACTGCTAACAGAAGATATACCACCCGGTTATTACTCTTGTCCAGATTACGAGAACACAGATATTTTGTGGGATGCAATGTTGGTAGGTGCCCACATGGACTTCGTTTCCAATCGCTATGGGCCAGTGAAAAGTGGATCAATCACTGTCAAAGGTCATCTTCTTAAAATCGATATTTCTTGCTTCGTAAGTCCATTTCGAGAAAACGTCGCGGTGTACAACGGTTTGGCATTGGGGACGTTTTACGCTGATGCAAAATTGGATTTAAGCAAAAAATACTGGGCCCTTCTGTTAGGATATGAGCGTCGCAAGACCACCATCAAATCTTGTAGTTCGACAAAAGAATGCACTTTGGTGCTGTTGAAGCCGATGAGAGATGGAATGGAGCGAAGAATCTGCCTGGGGTTGATTTTGATGAATTTCGGATGTGGCTCATTCAAACGTGTTGCATACTTCCAGAAGTTTGATGCAGTCTGGCCACCTGAGACCAGAGACGTCGTAATCTGGTAATCTGCGGAGGTTATATGAGAATTCTCATCATCGTTTTGAAGATAAGAATTTCTGTTCGCTGAGAGAGGTGAATGTGATGAGCGAGTTAAGTTGTAAGATTGTAGCTAAGATCAGTCTCTGAAATAATGAGCTCTTGTCTGTAATGCTAAGCATTTCTAATTAACCTTAAACCGTCGTACAATCGTATCAAGATAGTAAAGGTAGAACAAAGACTCTATTGCCCAACGTTTGTAAACCTCAAATAAGGCTTTACCTCTCTAACCTCTCCAAATTTCTTCCGCGCATCTTCCGTCTTGACTGTTGGTGGCACAATAACATCATCTCCTACCTGCCAGTCAATGGGTGTAGTGACACCTTTCTTATCTGCTGTCTGCAAGCTATCAATGACTCTCAGCACTTCCTTGGTATTTCGCCCACAGCTAGCTGGATACATCATTGTAAGTCTAATCTTTTTGGCAGGATCGATAACAAAGACGGAACGAATGGTGAATGCAATGCCTTTTTGATCAATGTTGGTCGTGTCTTGAGCGTCAAGCATATCGTAGAGATAAGCTACTTTGCGGTCCGCATCCGCGATGATGGGAAATTGCAGTGTGGTCCCAGAAACTTCGTTGATGTCTTTGATCCATTCTTTGTGGGAAGGGAGATGATCTGCGGACTATTTCAAACCAACCTAGAGATTAGCACGCAATATGCTGAATGGAGTTCCTATAAATGCCATAAAATGATAGCATACCAACCCAATCATGTTCACATCTCGCTTCTCAAATTCGTCCTTCAGTTTCGCAAAAGCACCAAGTTCGGTCGTGCAAACTGGAGTGAAGTCTGCAGGGTGGGAGAACAAGATTGTCCATTTGTTGCCGATAAACTTATGGAAATCAATAGGACCTTGGGTTGTTTCGGCTTGGAAGTTGGGTGCTGTGCGTGGGATAGTTGTTAACATAAAATTGAACCAAAGATAAAGTCCAGCTTTCTGAAAAGTATTTAGCAATTAACAAGACCATACCTTCGGAACCCAATCTCAATCGTGGTTGCTCAGGTAAAGTGTTTGTGGCCAGGAATCGTCGCGAAAGAGGGGCAACAACTTGAGCTCTGAAGGAGTTCTGAATAGGAGAAGCGCGGGGTAATGCACGAATTGTTCTTGGAACTACACGAGCAAACATGGTGGTCATCGTGATCCGGTTGAATAAAAAGGCAGCAGGTTTAACTTTCAAGGAAGTGAAGCTGTTGATGTGTGTTTGGACTCGATATAATAAGATGGCAACGGCGAACAGCTTGAATGATGTGTGACGTGATTACTTCAGGGGTAGGAAAGGCTAAAATGCAAGGCTAAGATAACCAGGATGTGGGGTAAGATTACTTTCTCTTCAACTCACGACCAAGGGGACATCACCAACTACAAACTTCATTCTATTTCAAGAATCTTTACAATGATGAAATGATTTTCTCTTGACTTTAAACACCAGAGCACCAGGAACACGCTCGAACTGGGTATCTATATTCAATCTACGTCCAATGGGTTAAGTTATCGTATGTACTTGATGCATATTGAGGTTTTCAGTGATTATTTTCAGAACATTATGTGTACAACGTTATATATATATATGTATCTGAGTATTGCATCCCTTGTCACGTAGGTATGAAGCCTTTCTTCTACATGGACTCCGAAGGAGATACTCTTAATAAATATTTCAGAAATTTGATGCTAGTGGCAACTTAATTTTTGGACAGAGCGTTCGTGAGTTCAAACTGGCGAGGAGCTGTTGTCACCCTTAAATTTTTGATCCTATGATGCCAATTCTACGTTCAAGAGAGAAGCTGGTTTTGTTTGTTTTTTTGTGCTACCTTGCTATCGTTGGAATCATACCCTTTGTTGCATCAGATGTAGATTGCAGTGCAAGCTACCGGAGGTCATTTTCTTGATCTATTGAAGATTAAACAGATGCGGGATTAGTATTAGCATCACTCACCAAAATTGGTTTATTCTCCCGAGCTCCAGCAGAGCTTATAGCATCGAAAGTGGCACTTTTCGTACATGTTGCGTGATATGCATTCTTTGCCGCTCAATTGATAGATACTGGCTGCATTGGAGCTTACGCAAACTGATTACAACGACAGCTGTCAGATATCACGAGTTTTCCTATGGCGAAATGAATTTGAAGGTAAATCTTTCATTTCTACATCCATTTGTCGATATGCCTAGTTGCGCATCCCAATGAATTCTACCGTCACGGAAAGACCAGTGGTCAATGTGCTGTGTGTTGAAAGAGGATACATTAGCGAATCAAACTCTTTATTTCAAGCAGTATAAGACTGGCTCCTTGTCCTACTCTATTTGATGTTGATCGTCATATTCTCACACACTAAAGTTCATCTATGGATTTGGAACAAGGGAGAATTTAGCCCTCTCATAATGATTGCGCCATTTACTATGCAACTGCCTTCTGGAGACTTATATATGCCGAAAATATCCATAGCCAATCAGGTATATCAGCAATCTTACTGTTTTTAATCATCAGGGAGATTCTGATCTGATTAATGGTGCCAAAATTGAAACATTCAGGGTCGGTGTTGTTAATTTTCCTTCCCCCCAGTTCTTGGCGTATAGTAACTCCGGCTTGGCGGAAGTTCAAAAAGTTCAGCGACTTGCGACAAATTCCTAAATAGTTTACTGCACCATGAAATTCTTCATATAAGGACTTCATCATGCATGTTGGGGGTGTGTGGAGATGTGGAGATGCGTGGGTCGGAGTGGGGGTTCCTCTGCAGCGTTGGAGACGTAGTCGTGGAGTTGTGATATCTTTTTACTTACATATGACTGTTATTTGCATTTATGATGATTGTAACCCTAATTCCATTGCTATCCTCTCACGTTGCTAACAATTTTATATCCGCATTGAGAGAGCTCGAATGTCTCTTCGTTTCTATTCAAAACTCCAACATTCATCCTCGCTCACGTGTACTCATGTAATCCACTGCTTTGATTTCAAATTCAACAAAATCATTCAATCTCCCATCCAATCTCCACAATTCGTCTCCCAATATTGTGAGATTACGACTCATCGATGTCAAATGATCCAAACACCAGTCCACGCGCGACGACTTGCAACTATTAAGCTTGGAAGCATAGATATACCAGCTAAAGTCTCCTCGGGTACCATTTTCTAGGAATTTCGGACAGCATTTGAGGGGATTTGGGTTCACTCGATGACATAGATCATATCTGATTTTAATCGCGATTTGGTTTTTGCTTGAGGTCTACCCGGTGACGTTTCTTTCCAATGTACCATTCGAAGTCGTGGGGTCTGAATGGATGTTGTTCCCGATGGGTAAATTGGTCGCTTCGTTTGCGGGCCCCTCGGTTGAGACCGTAGCTCCACCAGCAACTGTGTTAAAACCAATCCCCCCCTCCCCCATCTTATTGGCTTCCTTATTCTCAACTTTCATCTCTTTGACTTCCGCGTTCTTGAATTCCTTGTCTACTGCCCCTTTCATTTGAAGTCTTGCCCAACAGTCCTGACAGATGCATTCAACTCCAAGCTCGTGCTCGAGATCATCCTTCGACTTCTGGCAGATCGCCTTCATTTCCTCAATTTCTAAAGGCGCGCCTTTCTTCTCTTTCGCAATCTCACTTTCATAAAGAAATCTTTGGAATCGAATGTCGTCTTTGAGTGACGCAGACATGGCGAGAATCATGGCTTCGATAACAGCAGTCGAGTCGTAATCCCATGGCTCGCTTGCATCGTTGGCGTGGTTGGACATCGTAGATGGATGAGTCTTGTGTGTCGGGGAAGGGGACCAGGCATTTGAATATGGGGAGAATCAATAGGGATACAACCTGGGTATGAAGTTGTTACTTATACCTTATACATTAGCTATGCTCGAAAGTTCGAGATTTCTCTCCAAATAGCTCATTCTATCTAGTAATTCATGCCTAGCCCATTGCTGCTCTTTTCTTTGTTTTCTTGCACCAAATGAGACTTTATTCTTGTCAGGTGAAGCCTTGAATCAACATATGCGAAAGAAAACGTGTCAACTAGTCTCATTGATCAGTTTCCTGTGTGTTGCAGGTTCCGGAGTACCATGTTTCAGTGGCCAGATAACATATGCGAAGACTGTTCATAGAAGTGAATAAATTCACTTTTTCTAGTGGAATGATAAGGGGAATTCGCTAGGCTGAAGCACCCAAAGATTTTTGGAAAGAAGATATAGCGTTGGTACTCTAGAGAATCAAATAGTCTCAATCTCTTGGTGAAGGGTATTTTTGTTTGCTGTTGACATGTCAATATAATAATCGAATGTGTTACTAGTGTTATCTGAGCAAGAAAGTGAATATTTTTGGCAAGATTTCAACAGCTCACGAATTTGTCTTCGTTATTTTGGAATAGAATCATCTAACTCAAGGTGAACTGCAACAAAATTAAGGAAAACATAAAGGTAGTAAAAGAATGACTAGCCATCTAGAAGTAAATGGTTTAATACCTTCTCTGTAACATGTTTAAATAACCCTGTATGCCCCATCATCCATTTAAACAATAGTCTTGCCTTTCATTTAGAAGATCAAACTAAGTTTCCGTCATCTTCGACCGAAAGGATTCTTCAGCTCCTTTTCTCGGCGCTCCTTGGCCTTCTTTTCTAGACGACTATCTCTGTTATGTTGTTTGTCTGGACTATTGGATCTTCCAGTATCAGTACGTTTAATCTCAAGAATCTCGCCTTCCTCAAGTTCCTTAATTGCGGGATCTTTGCGCTCTCTGTACTTATCACGTTTGACGCTAGCTTTTTGAGGCATTCGGTTCTCTTGACTGTTTCTTTGGCTTCCTTCTCGCGTAGATTTTGCTCCAGTTTTGGCTACAGGCTTTTCTTGATCGTTGCCTGAACCACCAGCAGGAGCCAGTGGCTGATTTGTTTTACGATCTTGAAGTTCAGTTGCGCGTACTGGTCTTTTTCCTTCTTGTCTGCTACCTGAAGGAGATCTCGCAGATGATCTGGGCATTGGAAGGGATTGTCGGTTCCTCGAAGACTCCCCTTCTTTCCTATTATCTCGCTCATCTGTTCGTATAGACCTACTAGTGTCGCTACCTCCAGTTTCAGTTGTGCGTAGTGCCCTTCCTACTTCCTGCTTGGTAGAAGAAGACCCCCCATCAGATGGTTGTGATAGTAGGCAGTCTGACGCATTTTGTTGCTTCGCGACCTTCTCTGCTCGATTTTGTAGCACTTCAAGACTTACGTCCTTCAAAAATTTGGTATGACGATTCCGGACGGACCCATGTGTGTATTCATTGCCCTCTCCCCCAAGCTCCTTACACTTTTTCAAGATAGCCTTCCAATCTGGGTTGTCATCAATCATTTTTTTTAGTTGAAAATCAAGTTCTGGTGGGTATTTCGACAATTCAGTATCTTTGGTATACCTAGAGACCGGTTTGACCAAATTCTTGGGTCTCGCCGCCGGCCCTTTTTCGGGATAGAGTTCTGAGAAGCCATCAGTTGTGTAATAACCTTGAATCGCAACTAAGGTTCGTGTCCAAGGTTCTCGAGGTTTTGAATCTTTTGGCTTTCCAGGAATAGTTACTAGATATGGATTCTTTCTGCACCACTCTTTGATTCTATCATTTAGATCATCAGTTAGTTTAACCCAGATTTCCGGCGCTACATTATCGCCTGATTTTGGGCCGTGACGACGGAGGTAATCTTTCTCTAAATCTGTCCATCTGCGATAATTTCCCGACATACCTGCAGAGTTTGAAATTGAAGGCTTGGGATTCGATGTATCTCGGCTTTTGGTCTTTCAAATGTGTCTTTAGTTGCGGGATCGAGGCTTATATACAAAACCATGAACTTTAACAAACTAGGCAGCAGCGTTGTCGGCCATCAGAGGTCGCCAAAAAATCAATATCGTACCACATATAAACTGGTTCTAGAAAGAAAAGCATCTGGAGTCGTCAGAATTCAATAATTCCAGTTGGCGGCCAGTGGTCGACTTGAAGGCAGACAATATGTGTAATAATTCGGGAGTGTTCTTTGAAGTAGGAACTGGAACTGGATATTGAAGATCTTGAATTCCATTGAGATAGGTGCATGGTAGATTAGGCGATCGGATATGGAAGCGCCTTTTTATCAAACCTTGCGATGTTTTATTAATACATTCATATCAGAAATGAATATCGCAATTAGGACGCATTTGTTTGAAGAGTATCGAGATCAATTGATGATTCAAAGGATCTCACTATCGAATTTTGTTCTGGACTGTCAAGGCCCCCTTGAGTAGTCAGTCTGCTGTGACCGCTGAAGAAACATCATTTAGGCATCAGACCACTTAGAAAGCGACCGCACTGCTTTTTCGAGAGAGAGAAGGGGGGGGGGGGTTGTGGAAGAAACTGGTCAGTTGTTGCACATTGTAATTGAACGCATCTGTGCCGAATTTTAAGAAGCAAAGACAAAAAAAGTCCTCATTATCTAACAATACTACCTAGTCTTTATCGACAGCAACTAGCCTGAGCAGACAATCCCGAACATCTTGAATTCATGTTGCAAGTAAAAATCAACTCCGATTCAGAATTTCTCAACCTGTTACCCCTCGCTGGGACGGAACATCGAATCAAGTGATGTGAAAGAACGACAAACCTGGTTTGCGAGGCTATGGATGAAGAGAAAGCTATGTCTTCCTAATTTCAAAGCTCGAGTCTTCCTGACTTGTTTCCAAAAATTCCTCAACATCTAGGTCGTCCCACCGACTTCCTACATAATGTTGCACCACTAATTAAGTACGGAGGCGCTAGCAACACAAGAAACAAGATCTCAAATGGAAGGTCAAGAGTCTCTGCATGTAGAACTGACAAATCCGTGCCTTCAATAGGGCGTCCCATAGGCCGGAAATGCGGTAGAGCTGTGTATGTGTGATAGCCTCGGCATGAAGAAGTACGTGAAAAATGAAGACTTTCCCAGCACACGAACACGGATCCTGATCTGCTTCAGGTTGTCAATATAAAGATCCAAAGATAGATATGATATATGCAAGAACAATTGTTCAAGTACTGATACGAGAAGGAATTGTGGCTATGCCCCCACTTACCAGCACCCGCACCCGCATATAAATGCAACGTTAATCACAAACCCCACAGCCACGATACTGCGCCTATCTACCCACAGAAACTCTACGGCATGGGTATTCTAGATAATAAATAATGAATCTCGTTGTGCATTTTGGTTGTAATATCTAGAAAACTTAAACTTGAGACTGGCTGGTTCTAGATTTCAAGCCGAAAATGAATCGACCACAACAAAATCGGGTGTCTTCCGGGCCGGCGCCTAGGAAAAGACGATACAATGTTTTGTTCTTTGGAAATACTGGGTCTGGAAAAGCTGGCATGAAGAATAAGGTAAGGCCCGAATCTTTGATACTTCATTAGAGGGGGGGTTGACAGGAAGATAGATTGTTTACAATGATTTCCGTGTGTCCAGTAATCCTTACGATCCAACACTCGAAGATAGTCATCAAATAAACATCACTATCGGTTCCGAACAGTGTTTCGTAAATATTATGGAATTGAATTACGATGATCGATATGCCGGTTTGTTTGAGCCACTGATTAGAGACGCCGATGGGATAATATTGATGTATTCAATCTGCTCGCCCGAATCCTTCTCTGTTCTAGAAGCCCTCTGGACTCTTGTGAAACTTGTGAAAGTTCCAGAAAAAAAGGGGTTATATGTGGAAGTAGTCGGGACTATGAGTGATATGTGGGAAAAAAGGAGTGTCAAGACTGAGGATGGGAAGGCATTAGCCGAAAGGCTAAATTGCGGGTTCTCAGAATGTTCAGCAAAAGAAGGCGAGAATTGTGACGTTCTAATTGAGAATTTGATTAGAAAAATTATTGTTGGGCGCGAGCAGGAGCAGATTTTGAGGGACGCGAGACGGAGAAAAGAAGACGATGAGAGGGAGGAAAGAGAGAGAAAGAAAAATGGGGTTGTGAAGAGGGTTTTGAAGAGATGTATGGTATGGATTTTCCATCGCACTTGACTAATACACGAGGGCTTGCTGACCAAAAGAGTAGGAAATAATGACCATGGGAACCTAACTCGAGACACTTTTGATACCACAACACGAAATAATGGAACATTAAATGATTAATCAAACTAAAGATACTGTACTCGACTACATTTGCTGGATGCTGTGACTTTTCACTTGGACTTGATAGTTGAGATGATGTTCGGATTAAAGATAAGACCGCTATGGCTAGTCTTACGATTCAAAGTCCAAAATTATTTCTCTCGGAGGGAGATAGCTATAAAATGCTTCTTCGCTGCCTCTATAATTGGTTACGAGCTCAAGAAAAGCTCGGGCTAAGATGGTGCCTAATTCTCGACCCGCTTAAACCTCCCACCACCACTTGAAAGTGTTAGTACTGAGTTTGTCGTGTCATTTGTCCGACACATTCTCCCATCAGCTGCGATACGCCATGCCTCACTACCCACTGCAGTTGTGGCGTAAAAAAATTGCTCTGGATCCCACTTATTTTTTATCCCTAGTAACTTGCGGTAATTCTTCCCATAGAAAGTTTGCTGCCAGTCTGGTTGTCTGAAATTACCTTCGTTCAAATAAGTTCCTCCCCCAGGAGTGAGCACTTCGAATTGTGGGATGATCTCATTTATCATATGATATTGAGCAGCTACCATCTCAGATATTGGCGCAGAATAATTCCACGGTATAGTCAAGATGACATGGATGAGGGCATCACGCCAAGCTGGAAGTAAAGCATTATCGACAGTAGATGTAATATGAGGAGATGAGACATTCAGAGCTACGCCTGTGTAAGGGATGCCCGCATTCGTGACATTACGAATAGTTGCGACGTAAGCTTTGTTATTCTCCTGGACGACACTTCTTGATATCAATCGACCACCACCGGTATTGACTCCTGGTCCACCCCAAGGACCATAAGGTAGAGGCCCAAGAGATTGATTGTAGTGGTCAAGATATGTTGGGTACTGTGTGTACGCGACTGTAAAATTAATACCAAGAGTTGTGAGTTTGTCGGTGAAATTGGCCAAGAGAGCTTGGACGTCAGCTTTAGTCTTGTTGTATGCCGTCATACCAATGATTCGGAAAACTGAAGACGAAGCTCCATAGCCAACCATAGTTCCTGCATCGACCATTCCAGGAAGATAAGTATGAAAGGCTTCGACCCCTTTCCAGAAAGTTTCAATACTCGTGTTGCCGCCGGTTGCCGAAAATGCCAAAGAGGCACCACTGACTACAGTGTCAGGATATACTCTCACGGTTAGAGATATGATGACTCCATATGTACCACCTCCACCGCCACTTAAAGCCCAATAAAGGTCTTTGTTTTCGGTTCGTGAGGCAGTGACTACGTTGCCACTGGCCGTTACAACTTCCCACGAAATCACTTGATCAGCACCCATACCAAAATTGCTAGAGAGTGCCGAATGACCACCCCCTTGTGTGTAGCCTCCGGCGATTCCAACTGTCGGACATTCACCACCTACCGTTATAAAACCTGCATCATGAGCAGCCTCTAATGCTTCAAGCCCTTGAATGCCAGCACCAATCTTCATGACCTTTCCGGTAAAATAGTCAGATTTCCAGTCAGAAAATGATATATCTTTCAAGTTGTGAGTCCAAACAGCTAATGAGCCTGCACCAGTTGACTTGCCCAAATAACTTGCATAATTTTAGCTAACGCATAGCATTGGAGTTCTCTAAGAGAGAAACTTACTCGTGACCAGTATTCCGGATTACAAAACGGATGTTATGATTCTTAGCGAATTGAATGGCAGCAACGGCATCATTGGGTGTCGACACATTGACAGCATAATTAACCAAGTTTCCCAAGCTACAAAGACTTTGTTCGGATGAAAAAGGGTTGCAGCTCTGATTTCCAAGTGTCGCAAAGTATGGAGCTATCAAGGAGGAAGATGAATTCCAACTGGATTTGGAATTAGAAAGTTCATATGGTATAAATGATAACGCTGCGAAGGACTTACTGCAGACTTGGGTTCGCCCAGTTCGCTTGTAAATATGCGCATTCCGTCGCGCTGTAGTTAGGTTCATGGCAAGGGCCTGCGATGGGCACGGTAGCTACAAGCCTACCATTGACTGTACTGTTGAGATTGTTCCACTCTGTTGTAGATGGCCATGATTGGTCTCCAGGCAGCGCTCTACAATTGGTATTTTGGACAGTCTGCGCAGATGATGTGCAAAACAAGTGGATAAGAAGAAAAACAATTCTATAAGAAGCCATCGTCTGTATCTTGATACTCTCGTTCCTTCCGAAAGATAAAAGGCTGAAAAGCTGTGAGAGAAGTACTCACGAAGAAGTGAATTGTGCCTGTATATGTATTTTCTCGTGGTCTCATTCTTATATCTTCAATGAGGGGTATTATTCAGTTACCTGCAGGTACTAGTACCAAGAAGGGAGGAAAGTATGGATTCGGATCCACGTCATGCCGCCTCTTGAATATCCCGTCCAATAAAAGATGACGGCTTACACGTGTCTATGATCTGGTCCGCATGGCCACCCACATCGTATGAAGCCCAAAATTCAGAAGCAATTTAAGCCCTGACGATTGATGAGTGTAACACTGTATTTGCCACCCTTTCATGATTCTGTCGCCCCAAATGAAATGAATTATATGTGTGGAAAAGCCGAGGTCTCTCATCATCAACAACCACGATACTCCGATACCCCTGTATCGTCAATCCATTTCCTGTATTCTGCATTGTCAATAATGGAAATGATACGTTATTTCAATATCCCAACCGGTGTGAACACAAAGGTTTTACACTCCAATCTATTTGATATTGAATAAAAGTATTCTTGGAGAGAGATTTAATGGCGACAACTCAGTTGATCAAAATTCTTATATGCTAATTTGAAAGATACGAAAACAAATGCACGAATTGATTCAAATTAGAGTGTGAAGCAGAGCTGTCTTTAATATCCTTTTGGTAACCTTAGTGTTCGGATTTTCTGGACAGTCCCCAGCATGATATTTTTGCCTGAATCAGAGCGCGCGACGAGAAGGTCATTTCCTATCTTTCTGAAATTGCAAAAACCCCATCGGTGAGATTTTGTGGTAAAATTCATTCAAAGATAAATGAAACTCAATAGCTTGTGAAGTTGGACTTTGACTATTGTGATAGCAAGAAAAGCTTTCTAAACCCTGCTTGAAAAGGTAAACTATCTATAGAGTCTTGAGGAGTACTCACTCACCCAATGGTCATGATGAAGCTCAAGCTAATTCGTTATCCAGCATTTGGACTGCATATCCAGCATTTGGACTGCAATATCATTTATTGGAGGTCAAATCATCAAAAAGAGTTTGATTAAAATTTTGAAGGTTCTGTAGGGAACAACGTGAGGATCTAGATGTGCAATCTGTTTCGTTCACGACATGCACACTTCTGTACTTAGCAAAGTGCCATTCACTGCAATCATCCACACCAAATAGTATCATTTATCCTCCATGTGCGCAAAAGAACAAAAAGCTGTATTCCGTTCGCGATTGTGTATTTTCAGTCAAAAACGAGTGTCGAGTTGAAGGAGCAAAGTCTCACACTTCAAAGGTGGTTAAAGTGTTGTGAGATAACCTCAAACCAATGATAAACCACGTTTGAGATAGCCAATCGTGAAGATCGAAAAGCTTTCCCAGTTTTAGGTTCATTTTATCCACGAACATTGGGAGAAATTTGAACAGCTGCTAACAATAATACAACTGAAATACAATTTCGAGATCACTGAATGTGATTTGTGTTTCACTAAAAATCTAGAATCATGAAAGACTTACTTCCCCACAAGATTACCACAATGCGGGCCTTGTACCTCCGTGAACAGGATGAGTACAAACGACCAAATCAAACAAGGGCTGGGCAAACATTCAGGTTTAGTGTTACCCCGAATCGCATGATAGATTCTCCAATCACCAAGCCTATAAGCGAGCGAGGTCCGGGGGCGCCCAGCTACCCCTCAATCTCAATTGAGTAAAGCCTCCGCCATAAAAAGTAATCCTTGTGAAACGAATCGTCTTGTGCTATCTTTGAACAATCATTTGTTCTTCATGCATTCCGAAATCTCGAGTAAAGGCGGAGAGTACTGGTTCCGTTTTCTTTTGGATGGTCTGAGTTGCGGTGTAGTTTTTATCTTGGGCGTCGTGAAGCTTTTGGGCCCAGAGCTTGACTGGAGATACATGAACAGATGAGTTTGTACATAAAGTATCAGGGTTTTCTCCTGATATATGGATGGTAATCCGAATCAACTTGTTAATAATAGTGAATTGTGATGAAAGACGCCCGATGTCATGATTAGAGTCGTGTCTGATTAGCCGCAAATATCCAACAATTCAAGAACACACTTCTACTTCTTGAATATCTGCGATCATCGACACATCTGTTCTGGTAAACGTTTGCTGCTTATCAGGGAGTCAACGTCACTATGACCGCGGATGAAAAGACAGGTGTTGGGACGCACCAAGAACATGTAGGTTTCATGAGGAAAGAAAGGAACGATAAAACTGATGATTTGAGCATAGAAAAATGAAAAGCATGTGACCCAAGTTAAAGTGGTGAAAGGCGATGAGGCTTTCGCGCAAGCAATGTTGAAGGAGCCACCAAAAACATGGTCAGGAAGATCCTTCATACTGTACGCTTGTGCGCTAGTGGCTTTCTTTTGCAGCACTTGCAACGGATTTGATGGCTCTATGTTCAACTCTCTTCTCGCAATGGAGCAATTTAGGACGTACTTCAATGTGGCTAACGATGGTGCTTGGACTGGAATCGTCACTTCTATGTATTCGATCGGCAGTGTGGTAGCTATTCCTTTTATCGGGCCGGCGATCGATACTTGGGGAAGAAAGATCGGAATCTATATCGGTGCTTCATCGATTGTGCTGGGAACTATAGTCCAATCTACCACACTTCACTCGAGTAATGTCATTGGGCAGTTCATGGGCGGCAGGTTTCTGCTTGGATTTGGTGTGGGTATTGTTGCATCAGCGGGCCCAATGTAAGTAATAACGATACTTGGACAAATCTGGGAACTTTATTAGCTAACTCGTCATAAAGTATGTTGTCGAAACATCGCATCCTGCCCACCGAGGTGTTGTCACTGCTGTAAGTCAAGTGCATCTTTGTAAAGATAGAACATTGTGACTGACTCGCCTCATAGTTCTATAATACCTTTTGGTTAGTTTATCTCACAAAACAATATCATCCAGCTTTTCAAGGGGATGCTATTCCATTTCTCCATCAAACACCTTATGGATCCCATGCTAACATGTTCTAAGGTTTGTTGGCTCAATTCTTGCTTCGGGATCTGCACGAGCAAGTGCGGACTTATCCGGTAACAGGTCCTGGCAAGTTCCAGTCTGGCTACAAATGGCATTCCCGGGTCTTTGTATTATCTTAGTATGGGCCCTTCCCGAGAGTCCACGTTGGCAATACGTACATGGACAGCGAGACAAGGCGAAAGCGATGCTTACAAGATACCATGGAGAAGGAAACCCAAATAGCATTTGGGTCGAAATGCAGCTTCATGAATATGAAGAGTATCTGGAACTGGATGGTGCAGACAAGAGATGGTGGGATTATCGAGCACTGTTCAAAGATAAAGCTTCAAGATACCGTTTGGCATGTAACTGCACAATTGCCATATTCGGACAGTGGGCTGGCAACGGTATGGAATCAACTCTATCTGTTCGATTTGATTGTATTGACTTCGTGCAAAGGTCCAATTTCATACTTCATTTCGGCTGTTCTTGATACAGCAGGAATTACGGATTCCATAACACAACTGAACCTCAACCTAGGTTTAAATATCATGCAGTTTGGCTTGGCTTTGTTTGGTGCTTCCCTCGTAGATAAAGTAGGTCGTCGTCTTCTGCTTCTATTCGCAAACATTGGATGCGCTATAGTATGGATCGGAGCTACAGTTTCATCGTCCAGCAATGCCAATACAGGTAGCAAGAGCAGTGGCTCTGCTGTTGTGGCGATGATTTTCCTCTTCGACGCAATTTTCAGTGTAGGTTTTACGCCGTTGCAAGCATTATACCCTGTAGAAGTCTTGAGTTTTGAGATGAGGGCAAAGGGAATGGCATTTAGCAACTTTGCTGTGTCGGCAGGTATGTTGTCCCTGTACTAGCAATGCCTTATATTCTTGTGGCAACTAATGACTTTGATAGCGACCCTCGTGAACCAGTTCGCATATCCTGTGGCTTTGGAGAAGATCAAGTGGAAAACCTATATCGCTTTTGTGCTTTGGTGTCCAATACAGGCGCTTGTGATTTATTTCTTCATCCCTGAGACGAAGAATCGTACTGTAAGTTGACCTCGAGATTTAAACGGGGAAATGAGAATAAATCTGACACTGCACCTTAGTTGGAAGAACTAGATGATATCTTCCGAGCCAAGAACCCAAGGAAAGCATCTCTTGAAAAGAAAAAATTGGCACTTGACGATAGCGCAAATATTATCAAAGTGGAAGAAGTTATTTGAGCGGAGTTGTTTGAATGGGCTTTGCAGTAATGATATCCCATGTGGCTAGAGAGCGTCCTTCCAATTTTTTAAGTCTTCTTTGCGTTTGTATTGAACACCTGGGCAGAGGGAATCATCGAAAATTTTCCCGATTATTAATTTCCATAGTTGAGAGCAGCAGAAGATGTTGAAATTCAAGCAAATCAATGATTGGTTCGAGAATCCCATGCAAGAAGTAAATGTTCAAATTCATGATTGTAGTTGTCATCTTTTGTCTTGTGGTGAAAGTTTCTTAGGTACCTAGATAGCGCTAATATTTAGCGCCATGACACAATATCTTATGTAACACTGAACTGTACTGGTGTACCTATTTTTGCTCGTGTTCGCAACGCAACACCTTAACAATGCGCCAACATTGTGTTCAACCTAACACGACAGGTACACGTAACGGGGACTCGAGCAATCTGTTTCAAGCGTACAGAAGTTCAGACACCCTTGATTTCTCCACTGCAGATTTTGGCAAGTGCTAGTCATCACAATAGCTGATCTTGTAAAACCCCAGCAAGCTCTTCAAAGCGCATACCCAAAGTATTCACTCTATCAAACTCGAGCAATCCGCGAAGCTTTTTGAGCCCTCGCGATTCATTGACTATAAGCTGGTTGACTGTAGATAGAGCTTGCGAGGTCGTGAAAGCAAATCTATCTGCGCATGCGCCGCCCTGGACTGGTCCTTCCATGAGCTGACATGGCACATCGATGTTTTGGAGCGAACTACAAGAAATTTCCACGAACGGGTTCTCTAGATCACATATTCTGGGGATATATCACTTCATTGATGATCTTTTCTTGTGGTACGGAGGTTTACATAGGCATTTCGGTGGAGGCAAAGAGTATTTCCACCAGCCTTTTCCTCAAGGCAAGTGCCATAGGGAAACACGAGGACATTAATGAAGAGGTCGACTATAAATGATATCCTGAAATAACATCGCCACTTTTGCATTTGTTCCAGACAGGCAAGAAATGGAGTGGAGATATCAACGCTTGCATTATTTCCGCTGCAATGTGATGGGGGATAATTATGGTCCTCCTCGTCCCCACCTTCCCTGTGCTTCTTGAACTCTCCTCATCGGGGCACAACGCCTAGAAGTTCCAACATCAGCCCAAAATCACTAGCTACATTCACCACATGAACCAAAAAGTAAAATTTACACCAGCTCAGTATCTATTTTCTCTTGTGGTGATGAGAAGAGATCCTTCGACTTTTTACCAGTTCTTTGCGCATCTTCAGATCATTTAAATGGCAGACATTATACCATCTATTTCAAGTCGAATGAAAAACATCATTCAAGCTCTTCTTCCCTCCGCCGCAGCAGCTGCTGCCGATCATGCTGAGCCAGAGCCTGAGTTCATCAATCTATCCGTATCGGACAACAATCTTCTGCGCTCTGATTTGATTGAGATTTGCAAAGATGCTATCGCACAAGATCTAATTGCGGAGTTCAGTAAATAGCTATCATCAAATGATTCGACTTTAGATGCATAAGCCAATCACTCACTTCTTCGTTTCATTTAAACAGATATGATGCTCCTTGCCATCTTTCGGAGTGGCCCGAATTGGGATTCGTTCGTAGTATAGCTTCTTTGTCAACCCTGGGCTTATCATTCGAGTCATTGTAGACGAAATTGAAAATTCCATTTCCACGAATGATGGTCGATACATAGCATTGCCCCCTCTTTCGTTTGGCTTCCGAGCCACACTGCCTCCATTCGACTTTCCTTTTAGTGCCTTTTCGACGTGATTTCCTGATTGATAGAACCAAAGTTTAGCCTCTTCAAGTTGATTTGTGTGGTCAGGGACCATGGATGCATACTCGTATTTTCCCATGTTGAAAGTTAGTTTGATATGATAGTGTTGGTAAGTGACATTATAATTTCGATATATCTTATTATTTGGAAAAATCCACTTTGTGAAAAAGCGCTCATGAAGGAATTTATGCGTGTTGAATTATTGGCAGTATCGACCGACAACACCTGTATGTCAAAATTCGATCCTTTCACTGGGGGAGACCCCAATTGAACCTTGTTATGAAACCATAGCTTTTTAGTATGTCAATAGGCACTTCTCATTACGACAATCTAGTCGACCTCCCTTCAAGAAATTCTCTCAATCGCGAAAGCTCGAGAATTTTCAGTAACCGGACAATGAAAAATCTAATGCGGGTCTGGGGGAAAGCTACTCAATCATGGTATTAGGACAAGTCAAGACGAATGCAGAGACACGAAAACTAGACTGAACAGAGACTCGTAGATAGCAAGCACGTAACCCTGCAATGCGAAACTATATGTGAATAAACACCAAGATAGAAGCGCCCCATAGTTCGAAAAAGACGAAAAATAATACGCTCGAAAAGTTTTGAAATAAGCTTTCTTGGCTATCTCTTAGCTGCCTTGGCATCGGACTTCACATTAATCGAATTTAAAAAGATGTTGATAGGGACTTTAAACATGTGTAAAACAAAATAGAAGTGACTTTGTGAAACTAAAATGATTCAAGATTTAACAAGAGTGGTAATATTACACAATCCAAACTAATGCTCCAGCCCATATCAACGCTGTCAACATTAATCATAAAAACAACCATAAATGTTTAGAACTTGTTGACCTCATCATTGACAACGTTGTTAATTCCCGAGTCCAATTGGGAAGGTACTCCCTCCTTGCTCGCAAATGAGTCGACGGCTGTGTCATAGAATGTTAGAACTAATTAGGACAAAGTAGACAAGAACATACCGGAGTCTGCCATGGTATCTTTGGTGCTATCGCTTATGCCATCGCTGAAATTGTTGCCGCTATCATTTCCGTTGTTTCCACCCTGCTGTTGCATTTCACCCTCTCCGAACTCTTTGATATCTTCTCCGAGACCCATGATGATTGGTTGAAGTAATTGGTGGTTTAGGTGACCTAAGGAAAATGTCAATATAAGCTGAGAAGAGGCATAGATAAGCAATACAATGGGGACCTCACTTGTGGATTGTTTAAGGCTTTGAGTTAGAAATCTGCGCGTATTGTGTTGATAAAACAAGAGGTGGGAGCAGAGGAGGACGGATGATCGAGGCATTTTACATTTTGCTGCTCTTGCCAGAACCTGAAATCCATGAAATAAAACTTGCTTGTCAGCTCGTCCTCATGAGCTTTTGCACTCAGTCTCACTGTTACATCACAATAGATGCATCATGATGCACCTCACAATTTATCAATCTCCATATTTAATCTCTCCCCCATCCCGAAATCTGCACCCGGTACCAAGTCATTCTAGAGCTTATGGGCCGTTTTGAGTTGTTCCTGGACTCACAGCATCAAATGGGAATTGTTCAAGGACCCATAGCCAAGATAAACCTGTTCTTATCTGGAAAACCCCTGCGCTCTTGCATGAATTAAGCGTCATATTGATGGAGCAAAACACGGTCCAGGTCGCTATCTAGCTTATTGATCTGTTGTGCTTGCGAATGTATGGGGAAGAACTTGTTACAGAGTAGAAGCAAACGGGTTTATTTTCCAAGCTCTTATGGTCTTCTTCTTGACGTAAAGTGGGCGTTCGGGTCGCTCCTACTTGGTGCACTGGCTAGAAGGGAAGGACTTCTGTATTCTTAAAATAGATGCCGAGCTACTAGCTGTCCTTGATTGATGAAATGGGATGGAACTGAGTGAAATGAATTCCCCTACCTACCTACCTACCTTTTAAAATCTCCATTCCATGACAACTTTGTTCTTTGCAGAGTTAGCACATGGGACGAGTGAGAGGAGAGGATAAATCCAATATCACGTGATCTGTCACTCCGCTACCTCTTTCTCGTAATGCCAAGCCATGTGCACTTCTTCGATAAGTACGATAAGTACGATAAGCAATGCAGCTGATCAGAGAACGTTCACCAGGTTCACATCAGCCATTATCTTCATCCTAATTTCGCATTCGTGTTCTAAATTGAAATTGATATTGTTTTCCAAGCATTATTAATCATAACTCCATTGCAAGAAGCACAGTTCTCTTCATCTCCTGATCTATCGGCCTCACTGACCGCTGTCACTCTTCAGCTTGCATCAACATTCTAGATAACCTCAAGGCATCATGGAATACAAAATGGAATCCAAACAACCATTACCAGTTTTCTCCCAATCGATAACACCCCGCATCATCATCCATGGCGGTGCAGGTAATATTCTCCCAGCGAACCTTCCACCGGCGAAGTATAAGTTATATCACGACTCACTCCTTCGCATCATTTCCAACACTCACTATTTCCTCACGTCGCCATCCTCCTTTCCTCTCCACAAAACGTCTTCTTCTACCACTACAGCTCTCGATGCTGTCACCTATGCAGTTACTCAATTGGAAGACAATCCTTTGTTCAACAGTGGCCATGGTGCAGTTTTCACTCGCGATGGAATTAATGAACTGGAGGCATCGATAATGGTTTCAAGTGGGAAGAAGAAGAGAGGAGTAGGACTTATGGGACTACAACATGTCAAGAATCCAATAAAGCTTGCGCGCGAGATGTTGATACGAGGAGAACAAGACTTGGAGGGTGGAAATGGTGAACATCGAGGGCCGATGAGTGTTGAAGAGGACGCATTTAGGCAAAGCCACGGAGCACAAGGACATTCACAGCTGCACAAATATTCCGCCGAAAAATTGGCAAAAGAATGGGGATTGGAGCTTGTAGATGAGAAATACTTTTTTGTACAAGCAAGATGGGATGAACATATATCAGGGTTAAAGAAGGAGAAGGATGAAAATGGAAATGCATCTTGGGATGCCCAAGAATTTATACCACAAGGAACTTGTGGTGCTGTGTGTCTTGATGCGGATGGGGTGCTGTGTGTAGGTACTAGTACTGGAGGCATGACAAATAAATTGACAGGAAGAATTGGGGACACGCCAACGCTTGGTGCTGGTTTTTGGGCAGAGGAGTGGGAGGACACATCGGCGCACGATGACATGCATCGACTTCAACAAATCCGTCGAAGAATGTACAATCAACGGCCAATAATTGCCTTAGGTGATCAGCTGAAAGGGATTTTGGCAGATTGTTTTCCAGGCTTGAGTTTAAGATCGTACAATCTAATCCACCAAGAAGCGCTGGAAGATGAAGCTATGATGTCCAGGAAACATATGAGGGCCACCGCTATGTCGGGTACTGGAAATGGTGATTCTTTCCTTCGCCTTGCAGCTGCAAGAAGTGCATCGGCAATTGCTCGATATCGTCCCGATACTTCCCTTCAAGCCGCTATCACAGAAGTAACTGGCCCCGGTGGAGATCTAGTGAAATCTGCAGGAGACCGATGGAAGAAGACGGGTGAAGGTGAAGGAGGTATTATTGGAATTGAATTACACGTTGTAGTTGACAAACTTGGCCGGAAGAGAGATGCAGTGAGTCATGTCGTTGCTGATTACAATTGTGGGGGTATGTTCCGCGCCGTTATCAATGAAAATGGAAAAGCTGTAATGAGAGTCTGGAGACCTGGACAGTATGATGGCTTGGACATATATGCAGGTGAGGGGAGAGAGTATGACGTCGCTGATTGGATTGACGCCAAATAAAGCTTGACGTAGTTGGTCCTCAAGAATAGTTCTATCAATAACCTAAACGGATTCTGTAACCAATGCTCGCTTCCCTACACTAGATAAATCTTCAAAGCCAACCATTTCTAGCGTTTTATTCTCATGTATTCTCCAGTGAGGGCTGGCAAAAGGGAAGTAAAAGTTTTTGGCCAGGAATCCTAATCCTTAAATATCATCACTTGCAAAGCTGTTCATATTCAAAGAATAACTCGAATGACCAAACATTGCCCATAAATACACTTTTAATCTCCTCCACACTCCATTACTGTATGTCTTCTAATTGACTATTTCGAGCTCAACCAGCCGAATAGTTCCTTCTCAACATTCCTGTATTGATGATCGCCAAACAAACTCGTTTTTGTCTTGTGTTTTTATGGTTGTCTACCTCCATTGTCAAAAGTATCTAGTAGCTACTCTATCTGACTTCAACACTCTACATAACCATGAGTGATACGCATCGCTACCTCTCGCCTTTTTTCTGCACATGGCAAATTCTGTTCGACACTCTGACCTATCTTCCTATAATTTCCCAAACCTTTTCTCGGACATTATTCATCCTTGAGGCTTGTGGTTACCATGGAAAATGCACAAAATATTCATTGTTTATCTTTGAGAGAATTGATCATGCCATGCCTCTCTCGTATTTTGTTTAATTTGGTCCCGAGAAGTTTAGATCAAAGTGGACATAACTAAAGTCACTCTTGAAATGTTGCGCGATTTCTTCACAAGAACATATAGATGGTGCTATTTGTCACGACACAACCATCCCGTTTGATACAAAGACATCGGGCTGGCAGCTATGTGCGAGATTATTTGCTCGAGACTCCAAACAGAGGTCATAGATAGGTTATTCTGTCCAATCATCAAGAGCGAGTGCGAGATGTTGAATATCTCGTCAATATTTATCTTGCAGTAGTCGAGATCATCTGCCTGCCATAGTGCTTCTTCATGAGCATCTAGACCCTTTTAGCCGTGCCAATTCTTCTCACATAAAGGGTTGAGAAAGGAACACTTCTATTCTGCACATTTCAAACAGTGTCACTTCCTAAACTGGTTATGCCAATAGAACTCGGATCCGTAAGCCATCAAGCGTGTCTTGTGTCAAATTCTTTGATAAGTCGGGCTGTAATTTGATTGTTGAGCATTGAATTGTATCCATGTAGAACTAGCAACCATTTCAAGCTTGTGGTAGTGGTAGAGTAACTATGCGCTTCTAGTTTGATGACCTCCCTGTTCTAGCTGGGCTGTGCTAATATTTCAAGATCACAAGTAGCTAACACCTCTTCCAAGATCGCATTATATTAGCTTCAATGTTACCCAGTCAACTCATTTGAAAACTCAAAGTCTAAATTCGCCTACAAGGCTGGTATCATTCGAACCCCAGTATAATGCTAAGCCAACTATCCTGCCCTCGAGACGTGACAATAATGCCTTCACACACACCTCATTCACATATGTATGTGTTTTAGCTTCCTTTCAGAACGCCTTCATAGTATTTTCATCTCATGTAACCCACCAAATAACATTCTATTTCCTTGGCAATTCCCTGAACACCTTTCTGAAGATCAGCCGACTATTGTACAGATTATTAAGCCTGATTCTTTCGTTGTCTGTTCATGTCAAAAACAATCAGCAAAGTTCTTGGAGATTATAACTTTCCCACTTAACTCTTCAAATCCTTGACAGCTGGCCAAGATGAGGAAATGACTTACCTAAATGCGCACTATCACTCGCTTGTCCACACGGTAAATGCGCCGCTGGCGCTCCAAACTCCTTTTCCAAGAATCGGATACTTGGAATCGAACCTCCTTCTCTGATATAGAGCGGCTTCCTCCCCATGCCTCTCACACTTCCATCACCCAATCCCTTTCCTTCTTTACTTTTACTAACTACCTTGCCGCCTTCAACTCCGTGCCCTTCATTTTCTTTCTCGTTGCGGCTATTGGAAACATCTTCCGCGTCTAGTGTTAAGGATGCAAGATCTACCGGTGCAGCCGCTAAACTCGTATGATCACTTCCACCAGTTAAACTCGAAGTTGTCGCAGGTGTGGGTTTAAGACTTGGCGATGCGCTGACAGGGCTTGTGGGTGAGGTTTCCTTCTCCTTCTCAACATATTTAGGACCTTGTACACTACTCCTTCTCGTATGGTCCGTAATTGGTCCCCAGACTTCCATGATAGCCTCTTCCAACGTCCTAAAAATCTCATTTTCGGGATCACCGAGCCAAGCATCTGCTTGGTTATCAATAGTGATTGTGAGGTTGTTGTGCGTATCAAGCTTTGCGAAAGCATCTTGAAGAAATTTTGTCAAAGATTTAATAACATCGTCGACTTCCTGGTTGGGAACCAAACGAAGGGAGATAGCTGCGCTCGCGTGGGACGAAACCAGAGAACCATCTGGCCCAGAAACTTTATAGCGATGGACAGTCAGGTTTGGTTCTCTCCATCTAGCCATAATGGATTGTTTCAGAGTGGTCGCCGGTCCGAGTTCTGGATTACGACGAAGGAGGGTCGATACAATATCATCGTAACGAGCTTCCTCGGCTGGTGTGAGTGGAAGAATTTCATCATAAAATCCAGGAATTTGAATCCTGTTATGCAGCCCCTTTAACTTTGCGAGGATAGCTGTCAAATCAAAGAGTGGTTCATCCATCATAAAACTTCCATCAACTCCACTATGGACATCGGGATGCTTGCTATTGACTTTAACAGTAGCATGAAGAACACCTCTGAGGCCATATGTCAAGCAAGGCACTTCATCATCGAGCCAATAACTATTGGCAAGAATGATATAATCAATGTCCCCAATCAATTCTTTATACTTTCTCACAGCATCCTTGAAGCCTCTTGATCCACTCTCTTCTTCTCCCTCAATCAAAAATGTAACATCAGAATCCAAAGCCTTCTCATGAACCAAATCAACAACTCCATACAGAGCAGCCATAATTGGACCTTTATTGTCACTGACTCCTCTTCCATAGAGGTATCCATTTACCCCCTTCATTTGGAAAGGATCGATAATCCATTTCTTTTGCTTATCATCCGCGGGAACAACATCATAATGTCCATAGAACAAGATCTTCTTCCTCTTTCCAGCAGTCTCCGGGTTTCCCTTGAACTTGGCGTAAACAATTGGGTTATGATGAGCTTCAGTTGTTAACATCTCAGTGACAGCTCCATGTTTCTTAAACAATGTTCTCAAAAAGGTAGCACCTCGTCGACAATCCTCGGCATGATCAGGTCGTGCAGAAATCGTCTTGAAAGCCACAAAATCTTGCAATGATTTGATAAGTTGGTCATCTTGAAGTGACTCGCGTTTTGGGTATGTGCCCGTATCACATCCAGTAACATCCCATATCGAAACGGAACAATCGTTCGCACCAGTTATATAAAGTTGTTGACCATGATGGGTAGCAACTGCGGAAGCCAAAATCCTACCTCCGTGAGCTTTCCATCGTTTGACACACTGGTATTTTTGACTGAAATTCGAGGAAGTTTTGTATTGACCATATTGTACCGTGCTGTATTTCTGCAAAATGTTAGCCACTTGTACGATATAAATCCACAGAAAACAGGAGAATCAAACTCACTCTAGCATGCCCGGTACTTCCACCACTCCAGAGGTATCCCCATCCCATCTGTAAAGTCATAACATCCCCCCTATTTGCTCTGATGACTCTCAGCTTCTGTCTCGTATCCAGATCCCACAACTCAATCACTCCCTCCAATTTGCTACTGTAGAGAAAACTTCCGTCCACCGCCAGACTCAGAACACTCTCCGCATCGTCTTCCCCTAGTTTTTCAATCTCCTTGATCCCCTCGTCTTCATCCTTGCTCAATTTCCACAACTTAATTGTACCGTCCCCTCCGCCTGAAATTAGCATATCCTCATCCGCATCAACCTGCCTCGAGACTCCTCGAACCATGAGCATACAATAGACATATCCAAAGTGAGCATATTGTTTCATATGTGCCTTGTCAATTTCCAATACATCTCCCTGATCCGCAGCGGCTCTTCCAGCCGGCCTTGGTCTTGGTGTGCTTGTCCCTCCATGTTGCACACTATCGAAAAATCGATGATTTCTCCTGTCTGGGTGACGTTCTGGATTTGGTGTAGGTCTCGTCGCGGAATCCCTTAGACTAACCCATTGTATACTCGTGTTTTGAGCTCCCAAATACACCGTTTCGAATTGCGGGGAATAAGCTACCGAAAATACATCGCCGACGTCATAGGTACTGTAAATATGGTATTTGCGGACTAAAGTGGTAGGACACCATGCATTGACAATGGCATCACCAGCAGATGAGAACAAAAGCTTTCCATCCGCGGATAGGAATAGGGAGAGTACACTGCGGGTGTGTGCTTGGATGCGCGAAACGAGCTCGTAGGATGTGAGGGACCAAACGACTATTTCTCCATCTTGGGTACCGGCATAAATATATTTTGAACCTACAGCAAGAGTGAGGATCGAGGAATCATTTTCGAGGTGGTGGAGAAGTTGAGGAGATGAGGGGTCGAGGTCATCTTCAGAACTGGTTCTTTGGCTAGGATCGTGGGACAATGAGTCAATTTGATAATTTTCGTCTTCAGTGCTAGCTAGAAGATTGTTAGTTGTTGGCGAGATAGAATTATCTATTTGTGAAGATGTAGCCGTCGCTGAAGAATGAGTATTTGCGTTTCTTGAACCAAAGATTGAGGTCATCTTTTAGTTGATGATTGGAGGGGAAGGGGGGGGAGTAAGCAAAAGAATTGGAACTATTGCTTGCTAGGTTGATGAGCGTAAAGTAGTGATCGACCGACCGACCGACCGACCTCAGCCCGAATTTCAACCCCAGCATGTTGGTTGGTGAACCACAAACCACACACCAAATAAAAGTTCGCGATGCTAATATGATATGATGAATGTCTTTAGGAAAGATACGAAAAAACGAAATAAAAGAGAATAAAAGAAGAGAGCTTGGAAGAATTATTCACTCACCATGACTTTCAACATCACTATCTTCTTCCCTTTCCCAAGCTTCAATTGCTTCACGTTGCTGGATATCAATGCCGGGGCCACTCTCACCAACACACCCAATCTCCTTGGGACTATCCATAATTGAATTCATCCTCGCACAACAATTCCACCTTTCCAAATCCAAATCAATATCAGTATCAATATCAGTATCAAAGTATCGATAGTATTGATCTGTATTCTGGTACTCGTATGTATTCTTATTTGTCGGTACACCTTCAATACTTTGTTTCTGTCCCGACGGTATGTGTGTATCTTTTTCATATATTAGATTTGATGTCGAGTTCACGTTTCTGTCGCTCTTCCCGTCAATCGTGAAAAGGGAGGTTGCAATGAGAGATCCCATATTGTAAAAAGAATTGTTATACAACTGTATTTGATTTTAATTCCATTCAATTCAGGTAAATCACACAATTCAAACGGGTAATGGGATAATGTTTTTGAAGGAGGATTGCGTAACTTTTAATCACTATTACGCCTTTGAAAATAACTGAGACCGAACGCGCATTCCTAGGAGGTACACTTCACTCGTAAGGGGGTGACTCTACTTTATAGGAGTTTCCTATATATCAACACTTCGCTCCTTTCCTTTTCCCCCTTTTCCCTTTCCCCTTATAACCTTTACCCAAGCTCTCAGCATCTCTTACCCTACTTCTTGACTCATGTGGATTGGTGTCTCCTAATGAGAAATTGGAAAAGCAATATGCATTGGCTATCACTTGCCCGTGCCGCATAAGGGATCCATATCTATTCGACCTCACTGTTTCTCCTGCGTCTTCTTTATTTGTACCCAATCTGTGTCATGCGTTGATGCTACACCGCATTATTGGGTCCTCGCCGTACGCATTGCCCGCATAAGCTAAGTGGTCATCATAACGTGTTAGTATCATTCAAGTGGTGGATTTGGGTGGTACAAGTTCAGCCTTGGAACGTGGCTGGCTGTCGCTGTACTCCCCTCTTTGTAAAAGTATCTATCATGATGTAACGTCGAGACACTTTTCATCCTTGGCCGATTGTTTGTTCTGTGCGATCTTTGGCGATAGATGACTCAATCGATGTATGATAGAGCAGAGGAGTCAGTAAATCAATGAAATGAGCGATGAGATATAGTCATAATCGATATTACTCTACATTTGTAAGTATCCATGTATTTAATGTAAATCATCTGTCTGTCTCTCTTCCACGTCTATCCATCCACATAATTTCTACATCACAACAAGAAGTGCAGAGCGAGACCAAGGAACTTCACTTAATCCAGCCAACACCGAAAATGTCCGCTAGAAGGAAAGAATTCCATCAAGGAGCTTCCTGCGAACTATACCACACGAACTTGTCTTTCCAAGAAGATCTACAGCCATCTTTCGGCCCATCCAGATCACCCAATCCAAGCCAACCTTGCCCTCCTCGACATATAGGCTCCTGCTTTGAATCACCGAATCCAGATGATTCTTGCACTTATCCTAGAGACTGTTCCGAACCGGAAGACTATTCGCACCCCAACAACATTTGTCCGCCACGATGTATAAGATCTTGTATTCGAAAGAAGAATCAAGATGATTTATACAATGATCTTGGAGCGTGTGACGAAGAATCAGCGATTGATGATGATGCTCCAGGAACACGAATTCCTATAATCATCCCAAATACCGCCAGAGACATGAATGATAAACGGCATTCACATAACCAAGTTCAAGATGATGTCTATTTCCCACTGCCAATTCGTGCGGATCAGCGTCGCAAAAATCATCGCATCAGTCAAAATGACGAGGGGGAAAATATACCGCTGCCACCATCTTGCTCCTCATCTAATAACCCCGATTGCCTACCTCAGAATCCATTCTACAACAGCTCCAATGATCAGATTGATCTACTGACCGAGATACATAGACTTCATGAACGAATTGATTTACTGGAGAGCAACATTCCGGGACATGTGGAAACGACAGCTTATTGTCGATGCAGTTGCCATAGGTCAACACGACCTATGACGCCTCCACCGGATAATTATTGGCATGAAAACGAGCCACAACTATTTCCAGATCCAAGAAATGATTGGGATGAAAGTGGTGAGCCTGGTTTTTCCACTCCAGTGGTGTGAGAGTAGAGTACTCGAGGTGTTGAAAATTCGATGAGAGAGATTCTATCGGGTTTGAGGGAAGTGCGTCCTAATGAAAATTCGCGATACACAAGTTCTTCTTGATCGAAATGTTGGTCTGAGCCTACGTCAAGGTATTTGAGTAGAGATAACCCGTTGCGGGCAGAGTGGTGATGTAGGACGAATGAGATTTAAATAGTTTGATGCACGTAGAATGAATAGCCGTGTTGTTTTAGTCTCAGTCCATCCACTATATGTGATTCGAACTCATGCCAACTCCTAACAATTAGATTCCATTCGCCAAAGTCACCTGTCCAGGCTATAGATTGTATCCAAATAACCTCACTCATTTCTCTCTCCCTTGTCCTCATCTTTACCCGGCCATAGAACTTGCTTCAAAACCACAGCTCTAATATGCGCCGCAAAGACGAGTAACCAGACAATTACGAGAATAATTGTTAATCCACTTCCTACCCAAAGCACGCCCTCACTTTTGAATGCTTTCCCGATATTGATGATAACAATAGTAAATCCCACATTTGGGAAAACGAAAGCATACCACACAAGATGGAAACTCATCTCTTTTGCACCCGCCAAAACAGACACCATTGAAATGCAAAAGAACCAAAATGCTGTAGCCCATAAGAATACTGCAGCAGAGACTGCAATAATTCGGAATATGTCGGCAATGATATCTGGGTTCGTGATTGACGATATTGTAGTATACCCCGGGTATATTTTGGAGAAGTTTTCACTCATGCCCAACAATGCTAACCCAGTAAAACTAGGTGGTCCAACTGCAATAAACATTCCCGGTCTCGTGTTGGGTTCTGGCAAGCCATTTGTCATCAATCTTCCAATATAAGGTCCATACATGAAGACCGCGACAAAAATTCCCAATCCTTGAAACGTAATTCCAGCAACTAGCATAGGAAGTGCATGTTCAGGAGTTTGTGATCCTGTTGTAACGGAGGCGAGGGTTCCGCAAAGCATAACGGGAAAGATAGGAAGAATCCAGGCGGGAGTCATGGACTGGAGCGTTTGTTGTTTGGCAGCAAAAAGATAGCAATATTGACCGACAGCACCGAAGAATGTAAGGGCCGTATAGATCCAGAATATGACTCGGAGAGCCGTGATGAGCCATGGGCCACAGTGGGGAACGCCATATAATTGCGTGTTTGCAATTATACTCAACAAAGAAATCCAAAATGTTGGGAAAAAGAGGGATTCGGTAGCATCTTGCAATGAGGCAGAAAATGCCTTTGGATATAATATGAATCGTGCCGAAATCCCAGAACATAAGAGAACGAAAAGACATAAGTCCAAAATGAAAACGATGTCCCCCAAGATAGTTAGGCCATTGAATTTGTGTGGTGTGTTTGCGAGCAATAGAGCAATTCCTCCAGTGCTCATAGTAAGAGTAAACCACGCCCATGTAAAATGATGAATTCTCTCTCGAAATGTGATTTTGCCATTGTTGGCAACTGTCAACTTTTCGTTCGTGGCATGGGCAGTTCCGTCACTATCCTTGAAGATATTATCAGTTTGTCCTTCGAGATCATTCGTGGAATACGTCCGAAGATTAGCATCCCAATTCGGACGGTGAGTAGACATACTGGCGGTTTATTCGATCTAAACAGATATGCCAATGTGTTGTGAAGCTAACGATGATAGAAAGCACACTCTCGCCGAAAGAAGATGCAAGCTATGGGATGGAGCTTATGATGGAGACCAGTAATGTTTTCAGTCCAGATATATTAATTATCCATTCTGCAAGCACCTAGAGACATCGACAACTTGTCGTCATTTTTATGTATGTATTTGTCACAAAACAGTTGCGGTATCGAGCTACTCTCAACCTACTGATTCAAACAGAGTAAGGAGAGCAAAAGCAAAAAGAAAAATCATCAAAATACATAATTGCACCGAGACCTTTCCGACACTGACGTATAAAAAGACGGAGATCTAACCGTGCGTTGGCAGCTGATTAATCTCCAGTCCTACTCACGTGATACTCTCTTGAGCTCTACAATCATGAATCATGATATTGGGTGTTTGAACATAATCTGGTCACTCAACTATTTTTGTACTCGTGTGTGTTATTCATACCTACCTACCTAGGACCGATGTTTCGGTTGATGGGTTTGTCTGTCTGGCTGTCTTTGTGGTCTTGGCTGAACGGGCCCATAGATCACACATATCAAAAGTTGGGTTGGAAACACCGCACTAGCAGAATTCAGCAACCAAGTACCCGGTACCTTTAGCTATTAGAGCGAGAGAGATGGATATGACGCAATCATTGATCGAAGCATTAATAATGATTTCCAACTTTTCATATGAAATAACATCTTCGTTGGAAATGATTGTAGAACAAACAATCAACTTAAACCAGAACCATCAATCACGAGATCTATCACGGGATCAGCCAAACTATTATTCTTATATATTTATAAGATTCTTAACCTTGATTCTTGATTCTTCACGTACAACAGTCTCGAAGAAAGAAAGTCCAGAATCCATCTTCCGAAATTCCCTGTCCGTATACGAACAGACAGTAAACATTTCTTCTGGATTTCCACATACCCTATACAATGACGCCCTCACTCAGGAAAGCAGAAATAGAAACCCCAAAAAGCCAAAAAGCCAAAAAGCCAAAAAGCCCAATTGCACAACCAATGTTAAGTTTTCAATATACTCGTCCTACCACCAACATTTTTAATACTCGTCGCCTCATAGCTAACATTAAACTCTGTCGTTTTTCTCACCCCCTTTCCCATCTCCTCCAAGATGAACTCTTCGTCACTATCCCTAGGCGTATTCGTTGTCGTCTTCCCAGTGACACTCTTGATCCTACTGTCCCTTACACTACCATCATGACTTGGGAGTGCGTTCTTGGTTCCATAATTATCTTTCGAGAAGTTCACACCATATGCTGACGTTGTCGTTTTGTTGCGCATCAACCAGGGACAAAATTTTATTATGGGAGCTTTTAAGATTGGTAAAGAAGCGCAAATTATGGAAACATTGACTTCGAGAAAGGTCCATGAGTTTGACGTCGCTTGATAATACATTGTGTCCGTCGCAGTAATGGCTGGTCCGACTGTGGCCATTCGAACGACGGTGCATGCAATGACACTATTGGACCTATTAGTTTGATGGTGTACAGTCGGCAATTTAGCTGTGAGATCACTTGGTGCTTACAAAAACCCAAGACTAAACATTAACACCAATCCAAACTTTTGACTTAACGGAAGTTGAAGTCGTCGAATTTGATAAATTGGTAAGACAATAATTATCAAATCAGTTACTATCGCCATTACAGATGTGCTATACCAAACGTTTCCAATTTGTATACACGAACCAGGAAGAGTTTTATTCCACGATTTTTCGATGGGACTGTACAGTTTGATTAGAGAACATTCCACAAGATTGGAGTCAGACAAGAAGAGACGGTCACTTACTTGCATGACCAAATGGTGGCACTGACTGCTGCAATGCTGTATACAATGACTATTCCAATAGTGACAAAAGTTGCGATTCTGAAATTCTTCGAGGGAAATATCCGTAGGTAAAAAAGACAGATACTTATTTTCGTGAAGCATGAAGCGATTTTGTACAAAAGTTGAGCAGCAAAGAACCACTTCAAAATATTAGTTGGTGCTGGATTAATTGAGAATGGATATGAAAGGAAATAAATTGAACTAACTTTAAGGGCCTCGATCTTATGCTCTTTTGATACTTGCTAAGGGATGTCAGTTATGAAAGTCGTTGGAGATTCGGGGATGTGTAGATTCATACCGAGGTGTGCAGACCGAAACCATGTTTGGCTTCCATATTGAACGTCACTGCCATTGCAAGTGCCATTAGCTATACACGATTAGGCTCTGTCATCATTGCTACTTCGCGCTGTTGATATCTCCTGGTAATCCCAAGCTAAAATGGCCGTAAAAGACCTATGTCATGACTCTCGGCCTCCAAAGCAGCAAAGAGCAGAAATCTGTACATACCAATGCCGGCACAATGAACCAATCATCTATCTCCAACTTCTGCATAAACACTCTCGTCCCTAACCTCGCGCTGACAAAAAAGAGACTTAGACAAGCAAAGGCAATCGCCAAATTCGCAAGCTTTTTCCCCCTAGGATTAGGGAATCCATCGTCGATTGCATCTCTAGCTAATAGGGTATTGAGATCGAACTGAAGATGTGAAAGAAGCATCGTCGAAGGGCTAGGCAGATCTGTGGGAGGCATGATTTGACAAATTTTGACCGTGTCGAGATGCCTTTTCCTTAGCCAAACAATGAACACGCAGAAGACGAGCGTATGAGAGAGGGCAATGATAAACGAATATAGGCAAGATAGTCTGAGCGATTTGAAATTCACAGTGCAACACCTAAAAGCACTGTCTATCTACTCGTGCTGCCAGAAAGTATACAACTCCGACACTAGATGCACATACCACAAGATGGTAAACTACAAGAGGACTAACCTGGTTTTCATAGTGCCGGAGTTGTATACTTTCTGGCCGCACGAGTATCCCTCCTTCGATCCAAAATCTGCTACGAACTTTCACATTAAAAAGTGGGCACAAGAGAAAGGAAAGCTTGATGATTACGAATAAGCAGCTCGACCATTCACTGAAGAGGTCCAGTGTGCCACTTTACAGACTACTGCAAGCACCTACCTATATGAGTACCTGCATAATGATTTCTACGCACATTCATATCCACATTACCCCCTCAAACATGCCCCGGGGCAAGAAATCACCTTTCACGGAGTGTACGGAGTATCTTCAAAACCTTCCTCGGGCGTCATCCGAATCAGTCATTTGCGCTTGAAGATCAGAGCTCGATCTACTCTTGCAAGGCTTGCTTGCACTCCCTGTTTGCCAAGTCGATGCTTCCAAACCACCTTACAACAGTGGGATCTCCCAGTGTTTTCGATCCAAATCAGTATCTTAGGGCCGGCACTTTGAAGCATCCTTATTTCTAATGGGCACTTTATTAAACTCGTCTACCTTTAGAGTTTCGTGGGGGATTGAATGGAAGGAAAAAAATTCAATTAGGATCCTGCAAGGAAAGAAGTTAAAGCAATCTACTACCTGCCCCTGTCCATATCCATGCTTCCCCGTCCAAGGATACTATTAAGGCAAGAACCGTTGCTTGCAAGTACAGCAAAACCTCTCCATAAGGATCCCCCCTATAAGGATAACCTCTCTATAAGGATATATTTTTCGGTCCCAAAAATTTTTAGGGCTAAAAATGATCTATATCCTTAAAACCCTTCCATTAGGATATCCTTATAATTTCCGGTCCCGGAATCACATGTATCCTTATTGGACCAATAGAATCGTCAGGATTAATTATTATATAATTAATATTTCTGGATTCGAGAAAGATTTAATTGAAACTCTAAAAATGTCACGGAATATAGCCTGATCGGGACTAATCGGGAGCGGATTACTACTGTATCGGGATTAATCGGATACCTCTATACAAGGATACCTCTATATATCCTTAAAAAAGACTACAAAAACCGGTATCCTTATGGAGAGGTTTTGCTGTAGTTCAATACTCCAGCAGAAACTTTGCATTTCCCCTCGATATAGAAAAGCTTGGTTAAATAAACTTCTTTTCTCAGGCTCGCTTGGAGGTGTCAGACTAATTGGTACTAAGTAGTGGGCCCGTTGAAGAATAAGACATGGCAGGGCAGGGACTATCTGGCGGGGTTATCCCGACAAATTGCTTATTAGATGAGAATCACCGAGGAGGTGGAAGACTGGGAAAATTATGTTGAAAAATTGAAAAGGAGTCTTGATAGAAATGAGAGGACTTTAAGTGGCTCTGGCATGCGTGGTTCATTGTGCGCGTTTCCCTCTTGCGTAGTAAAATGTGATTGAGAATTGGAATTTGTACTTTTCATTCACATATACTTTTGAAATGGTCACTTCGGTAGACAATCAGCAACCGAGGTTGTCGATCATTGGGCAGCAAAGATAAGATGGAAACCTTATTATAATGACATTGGATGAGAACTGATGATTTTCGAGGATGAATCCCAAAACGTAAAGCATTCTCAACTTGAAGGTAATTCTATAACCAATACAATACCGGTACTGACATGGAAAGATATCATCCATATTAAGCCGCACACTAACTCAAGCTTTATTTCACGGCCTGGAAGCTCGGAAGTGCTTCCAGGGTTGAATATACGGTATATAAGATGAATGAACAACGCACATGATATATATTACGCTTATTTTCTTACCCAACACGGTCTCTAAGGATTCTGATATCTAGAATATCTGTCTCTACCAATCTAACAAGTGGTTTCTAAAAGATGCGTCTTCAGCGCTGCAACTGCCGCATCTCTAATGGTGTAATCAATCAATTTTCCAGTTCCCGGAGCAATAGCATCCATGAAATCATACGATGACGATAAGCTACTGAACCCGCCAAACTCTTGTCTGACGTCGATGACATTGATAAGACCTGTAGAACTAACAGTGAAGTTACTGCCAACACTTATTTCTCCCGAGCTCGATGATGTTGCTGATGTATATTCAAGCGCAGCAACTTCGGCCGTGACGCCCAGCTGATTTGCGATGGCACATTTGACGCAGGCTTGGTTGGTAGAGTTGAGAAGATATAGATTAGCGGCGTACATAGCGCTAATAAATCGAGTCAATTTATCGACTTGAGTAGGATCTGAGAGTGCGGCTTGACTGGTGGTGAAAGCAGAGGAAGAGACAGGATTAACAAACTCGCTAACGGTTGCGAGAATATTGGGCTTCTCGGAGGCGTCGAGAACTTTTCCTTCGGCTGTGAATGGATATAGGAGCATTGTTGCGTACACTTCTGTTCCGTTGGGAAGGACCCCGGCGATGAGGTCTGCGTATCTGAGAGGGGTACCTCCAACGGTCTAGATTCGTAATTTTAGCTAATATTTCACAAACACGAGCAAAGAGAATGTACCATGAAGTAGTAATCGCCATTGGATAAGTAGAGACCATATTCGCTCAAAACTTTTTGTAGTAGGTATGCATATCCACTAACTGGTGAATCGACAATTAATGGCTTCCCTTTCAAATCTGTTACAGATGTGATATTTGGAACGGAAGCAAGAACCAAGTCAGGACCCTCATCTAATTGACCTAGAACCGTAAGCTCTTCGCCTGAGTTCAATCGCAAATTAACGGCATTGTCGATGGTTCCGGTCAAGATATCGAAAGCGCCATTGAGAGTTTGTGCATAAGCATAGGTAGAGTTAGGAACCTGAGTGTAAACGACATTCAAACCATAAGCCGCAAAAAAACCTAGTTGTTGGGCGACAGAGTAAGTAGCGGTTGGCACAAATGCACCATAATTGATGGTAGTCAAAGGTGTACTGGCGTTTCTATATCCTTGGGTCTTTAAGGCCGCTGCAGCCCCGAAATAAAGTGCGATTGGTCTGAACAACATCCTGAGATACTTGGGAAGGGATCAGATGCCGATGACTAGATGTGAAGATGCCTTGTGATTCTGTAGCGCGGAAATTAAATGATCTTGCACAAACACAGAACAAAGACTTGCAGACGGAAAACAGATTGGTACAGAAAGCAGTGAAGGACGAACAAGGAGTGTTGCGATCAAAATTATGTGAGCACTTGAGTTGCGATCTTATTGCATTCATCCAGTCCCACTTTCGGCGGTGAGCTTCAGTAGGATGTGATCGCTAGAGCCTAGTTTTTGAATATCCATCTTGCAAAGATTGTATTGGAGTAGGAATGATAAGAAGCTTGAGAACTCTCTACGGACTCTATAGTTTGAATTCCATAGTTGGATCGTTTTCCGGATTCACACGCGGAATCTCATATCTCACACCTATAGATTATTCCCTGTTGACTGATCGCATAGACCAGAAATCAGGGAACATTCACACGATTCTGGCATTTTCTCGATAATGAACGCCGAGGTCATACTATTAGGATATTGAAGAGATGAAGAAAGTGGATATCGAAATGAGGGAATTGTTGGTTTGAACTTTGAAGATTGTTAGGCTCGGGAAGTCAAGCCTTGCTAGTGCCGAATCTTAGTGCCCCTGACATCTCCAAGCGGGTGGCACCCCCTGCTTCGGTAGTCTACTTCCGATACTTCTTGAGCTTGCCCTGCGTCCCCCCAATTTCCTCTCAATTTGCGACAAACGCGCCTGCGGAGAAGAAGCTTCAACTGATCATTGTTGACTACCTTTCTCTCAAATGAACATTCATCAGCGTAAGTAACTGTATAAAACAACATGGATAACCACGGCGTGTAGATTGAGGACGAAGATCAATCAAGAAAATCTCAGTCTCATGAAAAAGAAGTCTTCCGGGAAATCTTTTTCTGATGTGTAATTCAGACTATAACAATCGGCCCCAGGCTCTGTATATTCTTTAATATCAGCGGAATCCTTGTACCTTGCACCAAATCGTTCGTTGAGATCAGAACGATCCAGAACAATTGTACCACGGACCTCTCTCTTGACTGGGAAAAGGCGAGAAAGGGACTCAAAATAGTGTATGTGGGGAAGTAAGGTTACCCGCTGTCAGTTGGATTTTAATGCGAACAGACCGTTGGATATGAACTTATGATACCACCAGCACCTACCTAGTAGGGAATTTATTTCTCATCACACGGGACATGGAATTTCCTATTTACTCCAATTTCTTTGACAAAATTTCGATCGGATCACTTTTCTTGATGTAACAGCGATCGAATTTTGGTGACTGTAGTTCCAATCAATGGCTTCCTTTTCTGTCTATACTATTGTTGGGTCGTTCATCCTGGTAATTAATATCATTTTCCATCCATTACAATCTCTATTTGCCTGCAGTCTTGCTTCTTGCCTTCACCTTTTCGACTATTTCTTTACCACTTTGACTTTCATAGCACTCGACACCCCCATTTACCTAGACTCTGTGCTATTTCTCTCCCGCAGCCAGTTTTCAATTTCTTGCCTTTTTTCTGCCTTATTTTTGACCGTTTCCGTCAGCTCATCTCCATCTGCTCTGTCTTTCTCTTCAATCATCTGTCTTCCCTCGTCAATACTTCTAGTCGAGGCCATGATGATTTAAATACTTTCCCTGTAACTTCCCCACTCTTAACATTCCAAGATGAAACACGTATAACTTGTCGAGAGATTATTTCACATCATTGTCATTGCATTTTCGCCATTACAAATTAATTATGCTAAAGGGCACCTTGGAAATGCAGCTCAATCTTATTCTCTACATTCGTAAAAAAGTATCGACATCCTTTTGATAATACTTCCTACATGCCACAAGTCTTCATTAAGCTCAAAATTCTGACTTGCAATCCACCGTGTATTTGACTTCTCTTCTCATTTAGTACAACGATTCACAAGACCAACTCTCTGGGGCATCTACATTGCCTGTTCCATCGTACTTTGCCTGGTTGGGAAATGCACAAATGGGACGCTGTTTTGCAACCGTCAAATCATCATTGAACTCAGTTGCGATGATGCTGTCAGGCGCAGTACCATTTTCAACCCATGTCATAAGAGCAAGAAGAACATCATGGCGGGGATCAGAATAGCCGGGTGTACTGTGAGCTGAAGTACTCAGAGTAGCGGCCTGATTGGGGCCTGCAAAGTACCAGGGAGCATTCATTGTAGAAGGAGTTCCAGTGCAATGTCTGTAGATGAGAGGTTAGTCTTTTGCAACTGAAGTACATAAGAATGGGGAGAAACTTACTCCAGACCAGGCACTAAGAAGAATCGGTACAAATTATCAACTTCTATACCCATCGGGGCCAAAGTTCTCGTAACATGATCGTGGAAATACACACTCGCACCAGGAGCAACAGTTCCGTCAGCCAATCCATGGTAATGGAGTAGTTTTCCACCACGATTATAAAAGGGCGAAAGATCGAAGTTGTTGGCTGACGAATTTCCAGGATCTGTAGCATCGGCGTACTCGACGGTCTCGTAAGAAAGATCGGCGGCGGTTAAGTTGGTAAGTCCCAAGATGTTTTGCATGTACCATAATTGATTCGCCGAACTTGATGCGCTACCATCTCCAATATTACCACCGGCCCAGGTCTCCTCACTCCCGTAGAGGACATGACTGAAAACGTAGGTTTGATTGACATCGACCCAGTCATTGTAAATGGACAGAAGGGTGTCAAGTTGTGGACTAGTAAGGCAGAAAGTAGTCTTGTTTGCCGTGCAAACCAGGGTCAAACGATTGAGGTTGCAGCCAAGAGGATCAGATATGATCGAATCAGTCAAGCCATCCTGAGGATCGCATTGACGAAGTACCTCCTCACCTATAACACTGAACATTGATGTTGGGATAGTATGCGAGGAATTGGCTGGTGTCGGGATATCGATCATGTGATCTAAGAGGGCACTGTATTGCAACTAGCGTATGTACTAGCGTATGCACTAGCGCTAGCACTTCTACTATATTAAGTACTAGCTTCCCATAGTAATAATGATCAAGCATGAATGAAACACAATAGACTAAAGTACTATACACTTTATCAACCCAAGTTGATACCAACAGCTGGTGATTGATAGAGAGTTTGCTTCAAATTCCAAAGCTGGTTATGAGTAGTCCACCAAGCTGGGCAACTAGCAGCAACTCCATCATAATCTTCTGGGAACATTTCTAATTCCTTTAAAGATTGGCGACCTCCTGTTGAGCATCCGGTGTAGTAGTTATACAAGGGAGCACTTCCATACCACTTTTCTGTGAGCATCTTACCAATCACAGTCATCTCATGGTTTGCCCGCCATGCCTAGTCAGTGATAGACTCAGGGTTTCCAGTCCATGAACTACTCATATCAGAGTCAGTGTGACCAGTATCGGTTTCTACAGCTGCAAAGCCATATCTCATACCAGTGGCCTAATATCAGAATGTACTAGTCAGTGGAAGGAAGGAAGAGGGAGGTATGCAGGAACGGCTCAAGCTTAACTTACCACATCGATGTAATTGATTCCCTGACCACTTTGAGCAGCTCCAAAAAATCTACTATTCCACTTGGTAGGTAACATCAATATGAAACTAAAATGAGTATTGACCTCAGTAGTGATGTTTAGTTGAACGGCACAGTTTGCAGGCATGCCAGTTGGGATTTGGCGGCTGGAACTCGGTGAAATAAATGTGGAATTGTCCAAGTAAGCTACTGCAGATAATACTTGTCCAGAAGTTTCATTAGCAGCCAAAAACGACTGGAAAGTTGAAATAGAACAATTGAACGTCGAAGCCATGCTTGTTGCAGCAATAGGTAGCATAGCTACGACCTGGTGTAGGAACTTCATGATCGAGAGAAGTCTCCGCTTAAACCTCGCTGAAATTTTGTAAATGCAAAGAAGGCGTGAAGTTTTCAAGAATCAATGTTGTTCTGCATACTTTATATAGATAATTCCATTCTCCTTGCTAGAGTCGACCAAGAGAATAAATTACACTCAAGAGGGTCTGTCAGACCACGAAATACGGGTACTTTGAGATAAAGTACCATCATTGGACCGTTATTGGGTTCTCAAGCTCCTCTAGACCTTATATAAGTAAGATCTATGCTTGATCAGTTGGTACCTGCATAGACGACCGCTTTGAGAAAAGCTTGATAGTTCCTTATTCTGACTGATATTACGGAGGTTAAATACTTCGGTCCCGAGAACATTAGTCTATAACCTTAAAAGGTGAATTTTATGAATTAAGCAAGGTCACGCGCGGCTTCTCTAAGGAAGGTGATGTTCTGATACATCCAGATTGTGCACTCGAGAATGAGAGAAAAACGAAGGCTGGTGCCATATGGGCGACGAAGCTTTAATAATTAATATGTCCACGGAATTAACAAAGCCAACGATAATAAAGCCAAGCCTACCCATGCCCTGAAGACCATTTCCAAAATTTCAATCATAAAAAGAACATTCTTTTTCACGCCTCCAATAATACAGCCCTCTCTTAAACCCGACACAATGTCCCTGTATCAAGATCATAATCCCACTCATCACTTCTTACACCCGCCAATATATACAAACTACCGGTAGGATCATACTTTTTCTTAATTTCCGCCAATCGATCGTAGCTTGTGCCAAAGAAATCGTGTTTCCACTCAGTGTTATAAGGATTACCCTCATTAATATATGCACCCATATCCGGTGCCCATTCTCTCCATAACGCTTCGTTATTTTGCTCCATCCATTCTGCTGCCTGAGAAAGCGATTTCTTAGGTGTCAAAGTGTCATCAATCGTAGCACCGAGTGTGATAACATGTAAATGTGTCTCTCTCCAAATCGGGTTCAGTGAACCACGCATTTCTTTTGGAACATTAACCGGGCCAGGTCCTCCTTGTAAGCCAACTATCATTTGAGATCCACCTCCGCCCTGGCTTGCTAGCGCGCGTTGTAAATATGCAGCTACTGTCTCCATTGGGAGATCAGAGAGTTGCGCGCGTCCAAGTAAACGAGTAGAAAGAAGAGAAACCTGTCCAGCTGGATCTTCGCCAGGGTCACCAGCATAGAAAAAGTCGAGATAAGTAGGGTATACATCTGTGACTGTGTAATTAAGAGAGAGCGATCCATTAGAAATATCCTTCATTTTCTCAATTACAGGGGAGATGACAGTGTCCATTTCAGAGGTACTGATGTTGTATCCGTAGAATGCTTGTGAGAAGTAAACACCAGGGGGTGTGGATTCTGAACCAGAAAGAGCTCGCGCTGAGGAGCCAGTAGCAGCAGTCATTACGCCTGCTAGACCAGTATCCATTAGGTCTGGGATACTTTGAAATAAGATTGCCAGGGCACTCCAAGCTGCTGTTGCAGTGGTAGTATCGTTTTCGGAGCCGAGAGGAATCACCTCGAGATTTACAGCTACAACAGAAGAGACTGCAGGATGTGCTTGTAGAACGAATTCAGTCACGACACCATATGTACCAGGACCGCCTCCTCGGATGGCCCAGAGAAGGTCAGGATTTTGCTCCGCGTTCGCCGTCAAGATTTCGCCCGAGGCTGTAATAACAGTAGCTTGATGGATTTGATCGGCACCAAGCCCGTATTGGCTTGAGAGAGGGCCGTGGCCACCTCCTTGGAGATACCCTCCTAGACCGACAGTTTTGGCATCACCCCCAACGATCGTTTTTCCAGCCTCATGTGCGGCTGTGTAAATAAGTTCTAAATTGTTTCCGCTCCCGGCAATGAGGACGTCAGCTGTAGAATTGGAGCCGGGGATGGGCCAAGAAGAATTGAATTCTCGTTTGAGAAAGTTATGGGTCCATATTGAGAGGGAGTTGGCGCCGCTTGATCTGTGAGTTTAGACATTGGTTAGATATTTTCTCTATTTTCTACTTGCTGTTTACTTTTTTAAAAGGTCAAATAAATTGGGAGATGGAGGGATCAGACCTTCCATTTAGATCGTGACCAGTTCCTTTGATTACAATTCGAATATTTCTTTTCGTAGCCCATTTCATCGCTGTAGCGATTTGATCCTCGGTAGTGGCATTGACAACATAAATCGGAGAACCGCCTATCTCACAGCTTTTACCAGCTTGATACCCCGTTGCATCGGTAGGAAGACAGGAATTATTGGCATAGATGGGATAATCGATCCCTTCTGGTGTATTGGCTTGCCATGAGGCCAGAGCCCAATTAGTCTGGACGGAAGAACAATTTTGAGTTGAGTTAAACGGGTTTCCAGTGTAGCAAGAAGAGGCCGGCGGAAGAGTCTTGATGAGGGTTCCGGAGATGGATGTGTTGAGTGCTGCCCAATCGGCGGAGGAAGGCCACGAGGCGTCTGCAGGTGTGATTTTGCATGTCTGGGTAGAACTGGAATTGGTGGCGAGTATGAGGGTTGGGAGAAGTGAGAGAGTAAGAGTTATGAGTTGAGACGAGTGAGAGGGTAACATCTTGAATGATGCGTGATGATGGGTGAATAGTATGGACAAGAAAACGACGAAAAGAAAGGAATTGAGAAGCATATATAACAACAGAAGTCATCGCACTTGCCAAGATGGAACGATACAAATTGTTCATTCGTCGCTTTGTATAAGAGATCTGATTGGACTAGAAAATCGAGAAACATACTACTAGGCCATGCATATCAACAATGTTCATCTCTATTTCCTTGAAATGAGTCGGTTCTATTTTTATACAGATAAAAAGAGATCTATACATAGGTGAACAGACCATCGCCATTGATTTTAGCATTTCTTCTCCCAAGAATTTGAGACAGGATGCTTTTTTATGGATCTTGTGGATGGTGCCAAGGGCGTATATGCTTCCCTCAAAGGGGATGTATATACGCCCTGTATACGCGAAAACGCTGTAGCTTCCCAATCGTATAGAATGCAAGTTGATTTCGGTCTTCTAAACTTATCCATGTACGAGCAGTGTACTTGAAATTACGTATGGTAATGTCGGCAGTTGATGATTTCCAACTTTAATTATGAGATGGAGAATATTATTGAATATATTGGGAATGAATGCATGGGTAGGTATTTACCGGTAGGCTCTTTTGCTTAATATAAGTATAAGTGAGGCTGAGTTATCGTGTATATCCAATCGTATTGTTCGTATTTGCACGGCCCTAGTTGCAGCGTATAGAATACGGCGGCCGCATTATGCACCTAAGAAGGTGGCTCTAATTTTGCTAAGTCATCCATGATTTCTCTCTCTAGAGTTTGGAAAAGTTCAGTCGTAGAACGAAAGAAAAGAGAAAAGAGGACGATTAGCAAAAAGCGAGGAATTAAAGGGAAGTTGAGGTTAGTCTTCTTTCTACAATTTTCTCACACCACCCGTTTCACGCAGGCAGAATGCGTTTGTGTTATCTCAATATTCAAACCCTCTTCATCGATAGAACGTATTTCATTGAATTCTAAATAATATCTTGATCTTTTTCATAGTGGTGATGTGGCTTACTAATGATCGAATTTTCTTCGGCTAATCAGGGATCGGGGGGAACGTTTATCTCCTACGGTGAACCTTCGGGAGGCAAAGTGAAGTGGAAAGTAACGTGATCTGTTTATCACGTGCTGTACATGACTATCTATCTCTAGGGGGAGAGTGTAATATCTATCAAAAAGAACGCTGAATGTGTCTTATCCTTTGTATACAGTACGACTCAACTTGTTTATATGTACTAGAAGTTATATACGACAATACGCTATATGTAAGGGATATACAAAGTATATTTATTTTAGATGTTTTTCAATATTAGAATTTGAGTTAGAATTTATATATGAGAATATATCTTTGAGTTATCTAATCTTCGTATAGTAATCATGCATTCGGAAAGTATTCGGTTAAATATAGACTATTAATCACATTGTATTCCACTTATAGGGCGTGCCTCGAGTAGAGTCTTGTATATTCTCTGACCGCACGGGTAGAGTTTCGAAGTGTATGGAGCGATACTCCAAACACGCGTATTCGCTTGCGCACAAACAAGTACAGGACAGGTCCCAAGTGATGATCCGGCTCTTGTAAGTTGAACTCTGCCGAAAGAAAGATTCTATAGCAAAATAGCAAAGCTCAAATGCTAAGCATCCGTACACCAGTAAATAGCCTTTCTTAGCAAAATTATAAGCTCAGCTTTTCACGGCATATTTATGAGTCGGTTTCTATTGATCCTTGATGTCAATGCAAAATTCAAATTGACCTTTCAAATCTCAAACGATACTAAGATAATATCTAGGTCTTCTTAATAAAGAGTCAACTCAATCAACATTAAAACTCTATCAATTAATAAATCATTTCCAATCCCATTTCTTCTCTTTACTCATACACTATATTTCAAAAAAATCAAACATAGTAGACTCAAAGCATTATGCACAAGAACACAGCCAGGCAGACTCACCGCCATCGTATGGAGAAGCAACTCTATCAGATAGTTCACTTTTTTTTGAAAAAGCAAAAGCTCGAGGCAAGTCCTGATACGACATTCCTTCGTGCGTGTGTTGGGAACTAATGTGCCATAGACGATGGGCGCATCGACCTCGATCTCACCTCAAATGTTGCAAGGAGACTTTCAAAATATCTAGATATTCCGTCATACTCTGAGTTTGATTCCAAGCTACCTGAAATCAAGGAGAATCGCCCATGGGCTGTCAAGCTCAATATTGTCATCCAAGTCGTGGGGAGTAGGGGCGATGTCCAACCCTTCATTGCTCTCGGCAATGAGCTACAAAGGCACGGCCACCGTGTGCGAATCGCAACACACGATCAATTCGAGGACTTTGTACGGCAAGCAAACCTTGAGTTTTATCCAATTGGTGGTAATCCGGCTGAGTTGATGGCATTTATGGTAAAAAATCCGGGCTTGATTCCGAGCATGGAGACTTTGAAAGGTGGAGAAATCCAGCGAAAGAGAGCTACAATTTCTGAGATGCTAGATGGATGCTGGAAATCATGTTTAAAGCCTGACATGATATCTGCCGAGCCATTTGTAGCTGATGCTATCATTGCCAATCCTCCAAGTTTTGCACACATTCATTGCGCTCAAGCACTCGGGATTCCACTGCATCTCTGTTTCACTATGCCATGGTCACCAACAGCAGCATTTCCGCATCCACTAGCAAACATAAAGACGTCCAGTGTGGATGTTGGAACTGGAAATTATCTTTCTTATTTACTAGTAGAGTGGATGACATGGCAAGGGTAGGTTCATCTCGCATTAAGTGCTATTATCAGAAGAAAACTACTGATGTTTTTCGGATAGCCTAGGAGACATTATAAACAGTTTTCGAAAGAGCATTGACCTTGAACCTATACCATACTCTGAGGGACCCACGCTTGCATCCTCCCTCAAGATTCCCTTCACCTATTGTTGGTCTCCTGCACTCGTACCAAGGCCTATAGATTGGCCTCCCCAAATAGATGTCTGCGGATTTTTCTTTCGTGATAATCCGATATATACGCCACCACCAGAGCTTGATGCGTTCTTACGAATGCAAGGACCACCAGTTGTATATATTGGCTTCGGTAGCATTGTCATCGACAATCCAGAAGCCTTGACACGGACTCTATTGGATGCGGTTCATGCTCTTGGCGTCAGAGCAATTATCTCAAAAGGCTGGAGTAATTTGGGTGGAGCTGACTTCGAGGATATCTTCTATCTTGATGACTGTCCCCACGAATGGCTATTCCAGCATGTTTCAGCTGTTGTGCATCATGGTGGTGCAGGTACAACAGCGTGCGGGTTGAGGAATGGACGACCTACCATGGTTGTGCCCTTCTTCGGAGAGTAGGTTCTCACGGTTTAAACTTCAAGAATATACCACTGACTAGTCATAGTCAACCATTTTGGGGAGAGATGATAAATGCGGCAGGTGCTGGACCGGCTCCAGTGCCTTTCAAATCCCTTGATACCAAGAACCTTGTAGAAGGCTTGAGATTCTGTCTGACAAAAGAAGCTGCAATTGCAGCAGGTAAGATAGCATCGAAGATGGAGAAAGAAGATGGCGTTAAGACCGCTGTGAGATCTTTTCATGCCAATTTATCTCTTGAAGATCTGCGCTGTGATTTGCTGCCAGATAGACCTGCAGCTTGGCGATACAAGCACAAGGACCAGAACATCAAGCTCTCCAAGTTTGCTATGCAAATATTACTCGAAAACAAGAGACTTGATCGTGAAAACATAAGACTGTAAGATCCGCACGCCAGTACTAAAAACACTCTTTACTAATGTTTCAGAATTGAAACAAAACACATAGAAATTTTGAACCGACGATGGGACCCAGTCACTGCCATGGCTTCGGCCTATCTCGGAATGGCGACAGACATTGTCCAAGCCCAAGTAGGAATGTTCACTAAACCTTACGAAGAATACAAGAAAGCACAAGCTCAAAACAAAAGCCATAAAATTGAAAACGAGAGCCGAAATAAACAAAGCTCTGAGATCTCTGATTCTCAAAGCTTGGAAGGTGGTAATTGCGCCACCACCCGCTCTTCCTCTATCCATTCTACAAATACATATAACAAGAAATCGGATACAGCTAGCTTAATGGCTCGCGCTTCAGGGAAAAGTGCCGGAAAAATGCTTGTTGCTACTGGTAAAGGAACTTTTGTGGATGTCCCTCTTGCAATGGCAGATGGAATGCGGGCAATGCCTAGCCTGTATGGTGGTAAAGTTAGAGACTGCGGAGAAGTGACGGGCTGGAAGAGCGGTATGGCTGTCGGCGGAAAGGCCTTTGGCTTAGGATTAGTTGACGGATTGGCAGATCTAGTTGTGCAGCCTTACAAAGGTGGAAGGAAGGAGGGTGTATTAGGTGTGGCTAAAGGTATCGGGAAAGGTACTGTGGGCATGATATCGAAAATTTCAGGAGGTGCCGTTGGTGTCTGGGCATATCCGGCGCAGGGTATAGCGAAAAGCATTTCTAAAGCGGTGCACACGACAAACAAAAGAGAAATTGAAGTCGCGAAAAGAGAAGAAGGGGCGTGGCTAATACAGGAAGGTCGACTGACTAACGGAGATGTGAAGAGGATAGTAGAAGCATTTGATTTGATAAAAAGATAAAGAGTAAGCATGAGGAAACTAAATATAGGCTTAATCAATAGAACTGAGAGTTCCTGAATTGTTGTAATCTCATCGAATTCAATAATATAATCTGTTTTCAAATAATAGATTTTTTTGGAACGGGGACAACCGCTTTCACCGACTAGGAACTAGGAGGCCGCTTACAAGAGCCGACTATTAGTCGTATTCGTGCTTCCAAAATTTACTCTACAAACGACTCTACTCTACATCAATACATATTTTGCCAATGTGACTTCCACCTTGCATGTAATCATATGCCGCAATGACTCCTTCTGCACTCAACTTAAAACTCTTCTCCACGGAAGGTTGCAATTCCTTGGCAACCACAAAATTCATCAACTCCTCCAACAACTGCTTTGACCCAACGGTGATTCCTCTAACAACACATCCTTTGGAAAGTGCAAGCCCAGCTACATCCGGCATATCTTCCTGCTTTGCAGCGGACAAGAAGCCAATAACTGCAATACTGCCTCCCATCTTAATACACTCTATACTTTGTCCGATAGTACCGGAACCACCATTTTCAAAGATGTAATCTACACCTTCTCCGCCGTTAAGACGTTTAGCTTCGGCTGCCCAATTTGGCGTGGTTTTGTAGTTTATAACATGGTCTGGCTGATATGTTTTTTGTACAAATGCAAGCTTATCATCAGAAGATGATGTAATGATTGTTCGAGCACCAGCAGCTTTTGCTAAGATCAACCCAGTAATTGAAACCCCCCCTGTACCTTTTTTAAAGTTAGTAACTAAGAGCTGTCTATAACAGGATATGTCATACCTTGGAAAAGGACAGTCTGTCCCGGCTTCAGAGGGTTATTCCCATACAGCGCGTTCCATGCAGTCACACCAGTACAGACCAATGCCGCCAACTGCGTATAACTCAATCTCGCACAATCTGGAACCTTTAGCACAGAACTTGCAGGCAAGGCTGCATATTCTCGTAGGAATCCGTCGACAGGACCTCCATGTCCATGATCCCAGTTTCTCTGCGGTCCATACAAATTAGTCCCGTCAAAAGCTGCGACGACACGATCTCCGACTTTCAGACCATCGACGAGGGAGCCAACTTTGACTATATCACCGGCAGCATCAGAGCAGGGGATGACATTGTCTTTGACTGGGAAAGGGTATGTGCCGTTGGAGATAGCTAAGTCTCGGTAGTTTAGAGCGACGCCACGGATTTTAACCAGGATCTCGTGGGCGTCAATTGTAGGGATAGGCTCGGAATGCGACTGAATGTTGTGATGAGAGCCTTGGGAAGCTAGACGAAAGACTTTCTGGGACGACATTTCTAAGATGTTTTGATTGAGGAAATGTTGAGTGTAAAGGTAGTTGGGTAGATTGTTTTTGTGATAAGAATTTGAGATTGCAAGTAAGGGATTTTGCTTTACTTATATATGCCATCACGATGTATTGAATGGCGTAACACGGATATGAGGTCACAGAAGATCGAGTATTACAAAGATGAAAAATATTCGAGTCAATTTTCCTCGAGTCAATCGCAGATTAGGACTTTTGAGGAGTTAAGACAGCCGGGTTAGACTTACCTATTTGGTCAAGTAGTATGGGACAGGGTATGTCTATTCTTGCCAAATGTTGGCTCACTGGACTGGTGAGCAAGCAGATCAAAGCGCACATAAGGTTATGCCGCGAAATCCGACGGGGTGATCGGACAGTGGGGTAAGTGACGTATATGGTAGTTTGTTTCATTACATAATACGCTCATCTTTTAACGAAAATGCAAGCGGTGCTTCCACTTTCCCTTTCATGATTGATTGCTCATACACTTATTCCACCAAAGCAACAATAAGCGTGACCTCGTGGTTCAACAACCTCACAGCAACTTCAGACAAGTAATTACTCTATCTTTGCCAAACTCCTAGAGTGTCGACTTTATTACTCCTTCGTTGATTCATTGATTGTTCACAGCGATCGCCGATCTCCTAGGAGTCCCCACAATGCCCGTTGACCAACCTGAGGGTTCTTTCGTCAACACATTTAGGAGACGCTCGCGGCGCGGTTGGTAAGTCATTGATCTCCCATAGATTATTTATGTGTCCTGACTAAGCTTATTATTATAGCTTGACATGCCGGCAACATCGGCTGAAGTGTAAATTGAACCTACTCCTAAGTCCTTATTCAAGTCATCATTGTTGAGGATATCGCCCCTGTATTCGTTGTAGTCTAAGCTGAGAGTATCCCGTTTAGGTGACGAGAACGGACCAAAATGTGGCAATTGCAGTCGCCTTGGGAAGCATTGTAGATGGGGTCTAAAGGCATCGTTTCACTCGTCTAGAATGACAAAATTATCTCCTTCCGACTCTGCAAATCTTTCAGAGATAGAGTCTGTAAGAAAGCCACCAAATGACTTTCAAGTATGTTCTTTGTTGTGTCCGTTTACTTCCTTACCTCCAGCTTATATTTGCAAGGCAAAACACAAATTCTCCTAACATCTAAAACCTCTAGTTTGTTGACGAGACGAAAGAGATCGAGGGAGAGTACGACAGACATGATGATGATGAAACCTTGCAGCTGCATAAATCGAGTCAAGGTAATGCAGATGATATCATACTTTTAGATGCTCATAGCCATTGCAAAGAAAACGCAAGTGATCGCTTCACGATAAGCCCAGGTACCCAAACTCCGCAGCTTAGTAGCTTCACTATGAATGGAGATTCACAAAAAAATCCAGAGATGACAATTGGCACCTCTCAATCATTACTTAACCTTGGAGATATCCAACATCTGAGCTCTCAATCGCCACCTACGAATAATTTCCTCACTTATGGTAATTATTTAGCGAGTAACAACACGTCGCTTGTACGTGTGTCGCCTGATATAGGTTATCATAGAAGTTCTTCAAACACTTCATCTCCATCTCAGGAAGTGGTAGCCTGGCCTATTAATAATCACATAAAGGCAGGCTTGTTGTCATTATACTTTCGAGAAACCTCAAAGTGGTGCGAGGTGACCAATTCTTTAAAACCTTTTTCTACATTGTACGGCCACTTTGTGATAGAATCACAAGCATTTGCGGCGGCTGCAGTAGCACTTGCCTCTATACAAAGTCTCAAATGGAACAGTAATTCTATTTTACTTGCTAAAGAGCTTTATAAGTTTGCTCGCGAAACACTTCAACGTCTCAAATCAGATCATCACGAAGGAGCTCTTCTTGGAACAACAATTCTCTGCATTTATTGGTCAGCTTCGGAGCAGCCTATCGAGGAGAGTTCCATACTACACGAATGCTCACATCTTTTACAGACAACTATCGGTAGCAAGATTTCGGATGGCATATTATCAGCATGTTTTTGGACTTTCGCTAGACAAGGTACAAAATATATTGAATTCATCGGCCCACACTAATGATATATAGATATCTGGATTGCATATGCGAGTAGAAGATCAACCTTGATTCCTCTCGACAAATGGAGAGTAGCACATGATGAAGCGCTTTATGGACTTAATCAAGATACTTACAGTAACCGAGCCATTTTCATTACAGCAAAAATCGTCAATGAGCTATCGAGAGACCCCGTTGCTCTGAACGAGGCCAACCTGCGCAGTCTTTGGGCAGAATTACAAACCTGGGTGGTTGAAAGACCACAAAACGTTCGATGCATCATTGAAGTTGAAGCTTCAGGGGACTCTCCTTTCCCAATTATTCTTTTTAGTAATACAGCAGCTGGTATGGAATCATTTATCATAGCATAGTTCTTTGACTTACTGAAAGATCGACAAAGCTTGCGGAAACATGTACTACCATGTTGCATCCATTTTACTCCTTGCATCGGGAAAAATATCTAGCGAATTTTCTGCCCTAGTAAGCCACCTTCCTTTCTATGATCTTAGTCAGTGTTCCACTAAAGCTATTATCTCATGTAGGTATCACCCGCCTGCCATGCTCGCCGTACTGTAGGAATCTCAATCACAAACAATGAGCAGTAAGTTTCAATTTGAGATTAGATTAAAGACGAGCTAATGCGTTAAAAGTGCGACTTTAGTCAATAGTATTCATCTCATTTGTATTGCTGCAAAACAGATACCGAGTAGTATTGAAAAGATAGCCGTTTTAAACCATCTTAAAAAGATCGAAGATGAGACTGGATGGAAAACTAGGAGTTGTATTCTCGATTTAGAACATCTATGGGGCCTGTAGATATTATAGAAAACTTGTTTGAATTAGTGTAATACTAGAACCCGTGAAGGCTTTTGCAAAAAAAGAGAACATTCTGAAGGAATGAAGGTGGAAGTTAAACCGCTATGAGTATCAAAGTAAGTAGTACCGTTAGGGGAGGGATTTGTTCCATCGAGAAAGAATGTAAAAGGAGTATAAATGAAGAGAGGATTTCAAAAGGGACCTTGGGAACGAGTTCAAAGTGTGATGGAAGCGAAGCGGACGCTTGACGTAAAGCGGAATTATTTGGCGAGAGAGAGGATGATGAATAAAAGGAATGGTGGATCGAGTAGGAGAGTAGATAGAATGGGAGGTAGCTGAAATCTGGAAAAAATATGAGTTGTTATGGGAGCCGGAGTAGGAGGTGGGGGATTCAGGTGGAGATGAAGATTAGAATGAATGGTGCTTGAAGGAATTAATTGAAACTGGGGTAGAATGAGATTTTGGAGGACTGAAGTGGGAATGGGGTAGAGAAGGCTGGAATTAAGTGAAGTGTTTTAAGTATATGTAGAGTGGAGGAAGTGTGTAAATGAAGGTAAAAAGTGGAAGATTGAATGAGTAGAATTGAAGTGAGTAGGCGGAGAAGATGTAGAGATTGAGATTGAGACTGAAATTTAAGACTACTCCATGCACGAAAAGACTAAGTCCGCAAGTTTTCGCTATAGTGTATCGGCCTTTGATTTGACAGTTCGATAAACGAGTCATAATGTATTCAAACAAAACTTTGCGCCTGGTCAGATGTCATCAATGGTAAGTCCCGTTTCATTGATTCTTGGTTGTAATTACAGTCAACAGAAAAAGCGGCTATATAATCTCTAGAGTTACTGTTTACATCATTTCCATTTCGTAACCCCTCGCTACTGGATTTTTCGCTTACACCAAATCCAATTGTACAAAAAAGACAGGACGAGTCGTATGACAACTGGATTTTTTCCTACATAATAGAACTTTCAAACTTCAAGTCAGCTACTCACAACATAAGCCGCCTCAATCGTACAAACTTTCCTGATCAGCCTGCTCTCCATCCTCTTGCTTGATGTATACATCACTCGAATCGTCCAATTCTCTCATTGCTGCCTCAATACTTCCGTTGTAATGCTCTTCGAAATATGGCTCTTGATCCTTTGGAACCACAAACCAGGGAAGCCGTTTTGCATTTTTGGCTCTTACAAGTAATTCCAATCGCTCGTTGACTTTAAAATCGAATCCACGCCAGGAACACCAAACCTTTCTCTCATGCTTTACCCAGATCAACTCAATATTGTTGTGGCGAATCATTCCTTGATACACATCTTTGTTCTTGTATGTAACGAAAACTGAGGCATCATCTCCATCTCTTGATTGTGATTTGATGTAGGCCTGGACAGTCGGGTTATCAAGAAACTTGATGAAATTTATAAAATCTCGTCCTTTCAAAGTGCTGACCAGTGATCTCCATTTGGATGCCTCGGACAATGATTCCACGCTCGATCCAACTTTGATGTCTACCACTACAATTACCGAAATTACCCATGCAAATATCAATCTCTCGATTAAAGTCCAGCTCGAAATTAGTTGTATACCACTGTCATTTTGCTCCATGACATCTTTGATTGCCTTATGCAATTCGCTGTTGTTTTCTGTGCATCGCTGAATCATTCCACCAACCATCATGCAGAAACACGCACGCGGAAGGCCAGCGGGGATTCTGAGAGTAGCAACGGACTTCACATAATTCATTAATAGTGGTATAGTTGACTTTCTCTCATCAAAATTGGCCGATAAGATCCCACTATACTTTGTCATCAACCAAGGTATATGATGTGATAACAATGCAATCACTTCCATAGGAGAATCCCGCTTGAGATCATCGTCTAAACACTTTAAATATGTGATGGGAAAGTACTGGCTTGGTCGAAATGGAATATCGTCAAATTCATCTGCCAGAGTTAAAGACCTCATTGACTTGAAGTTAGGGAATCCGAATCGCATTTCTGGTTGATTAAATTCGGAGGTGAGTTGCATGATGGAACTCTCATCTTGAATACAAAATGTTTGATTTTTGAGAAATTTCATTCTTAGAGAGTTCAAACTTCGATTTTTGCTCTCCAGATCCTCCTCCAAGACTTCTATCTTATCTTTTAGGTCCTGCAATATGTCGAAATCTGTGTCAACAGCGTCTGTTATAGGGCTCCAAGGCTCGGACTGAGTGCTTGCATGCCGGTTAAGAACTAGCGAAGACCTCACTGTTTTATCTCCTGGTTCGTTTACTTCGGACTCCTTTACCGGTAATGCTTTCGAGACTAGAGGTGATTTTTCGATTTTATCTTGGATTTCCCCACGTAGGCTCCGTAACTCTTGAGCGATGTTCTGTAAGAACAACAGAATGTTGCTTGCATTACAGGTTTCTAATGCGGTACCCGGATCTGAAAACTCCTCTTGGCACACCTTTACAATTTGAAGCAGTAAAATTTCTGAAGTTGACTGGGTATCCGGATCGGAAATCTCGCTTGCAGTTACCTTATCGAATAACTGCTTTGTTCTTTGTAGAAAAATAGATATTTAAAGAATCTATAAATATTTTATAATTTTTAATATCAAGTTATATATATATAAATAGATAGTTTTAGATTATGGATTGAAAACTAAGATTTAGAACATCTATGGGGCCTGTAGATATTATAGAAAACTTGTTTGAATTAGTGTAATATTAAAAATATGATTTTTATCTATTAAGCCGGTGCGCTAATGATTTTGTGGTGTCATAAACCTGGTTGAGTTTCGTGAATGAGAATCTTGACACCCCTTTTTGTGAAAGGATGATCAATTTTGTAGCCTGTAAGGATCAGCGCATCGAAAAATATAAGAAATCGATAGAGAATCTAATTTTGAATATATTGGATCTAATTACTTGATGCGATAATCGTTTTGGGGAGTAGTAATTGATAAATGATGTTCCTTGTTAGTTGTGTAGGGCGAAATCGGTGGGCTATTATTCAATCAAGATTACCGCATCACACAAGAGTTAGCGCATCGAGAAAATACAAGAAATCGATGGAGAATCTAATTTGGAGTATATTAGATCTAATCACTTGATACGCTAATCATTTCGGGGAGCGGTAATTGATAAATAATGTTCCTTATTGGTTGTACAGGTGGTTTGATTGGCTTGTGTAGGCGTAATTGGTGGAGGTAGACATTCAATCAGAGTTACCGCGACACACCAGGAATTAGCGCATGAGTAAATACTATGATTAGATAGATAAATGTATAATAACTTCAATGAATCTACTAAGAGCTTGCGCTAATCATTTGTTGGATCAGTAACTCATATATAGTGCCCAGGATGGAAAGCATAGATACGGGATTTCATGCCTCGACCTTGATCTGAGAATACCGGAATTTGTAAGTATTAGCGCATAGGGAAAATAGTAAAAGAACATCAATAAATGTACTGGAATTGATATGAATCTCAATTGAATTTTAGTGTTGTGAAGGGGTCCATCTAAACGGAAATTTATGAAAGGACTAATGTATGTCCAATTACCGCGCCATCTATCAATTAGCGCATCGAAAATGTACCTCAGAATAATGAGAAATATATTATGAGTGTCCTAAAGTCTATTTCATAGTGCGCTAATCCTTTTGTGGTCCCGTAATTGATTACCGGTATCTCTGATGAAATCTCATAGGCGAAATTCATCCATGCAGACACAAACATGTCATTAACATAAGCCATAAGCATTAGCACATCTTCATTATAGATAAATCCCATTTAGAATAAGGCATTAATCACTATGTAGAAGTATCAGCTTGCGCTAATACTTGTGCGCTTCGGTAATTTTGATTTTGTGATACGAGTGTGGATGTTTGAGCGATACTTTTTGGTGTAAACTATTAGTTTGATATCATTTTGAGTTTTAAAGCCAAACACATCCGGGAAACCCATACGACCCATTTTCAATAAGCTTTTGATCATTTTTGAGAAGTTGCTATGTGTATAGATTCTTTCTCGTTGTGGTATTCTTGCTTGAGTATTGTAAATAAAATTGAGCAGAGTCTGTATGAGGTAATCGAAACCTAATGGTGCAAGCTCTAAAGACTTTTATATTAATTTATATCAGTTAGTCTCTTCATCCTAGAGGTTTAAGAGTGCGCTAATTCCTGTGGCGTGCGGTAATCTTGATCAATATAATATTACTGCACAATACAACCACCAAGATGTTGTTGAAAAGCTTTCAACCGATTAATTAGGAACTAAAGTTTCTTCAATCTAAATAAGTTTCATAGTGTCCAACTTCTTTTGGGGTACAGTAATCTTGATTAGACATCACAGACGAAATTATGTGGACATAATCGACACTCACGACGATCTCATACTACTCTCGCCACAAACATTAGCGCAAGCTCTTATACTTGTAATCGATATGAAATTAGGTAATCAATATATGTCATATGTCATATGAGTATAATCTTCATGGTTTCGGTAATTTTCATGCCATGCCACGAATGAGATTAGGTGGAATTTATATGGGCAAACCACAAACCCAAACTTGAGAGTGTCAAGGGCATTAGCGCAAGCTGCAATGACTTTTTATTACTAAAATCTCAAATAAAAAACATATTCCATGAGTATGAGGTTGCGCTAATACTTATGGCGTGCGGTAATTTTGATTTTGTGATACGCATGTAGCTAAGTTGAGTTTGTACAGACGAAATCGAACCTTAAAGTTACGTACACCAAGGACATTAGCGCAAGTTCTTAGGGGATAAAATCTCTTTAGATTTGATTGGTAATTATTGGGTATGAGTATAAGCGTGCGCTAATCCTTGTGGCGTTCGGTAATTTTGATCCAGTGTGAGAGCTTATAGGTAGGTAAATAAGTCCACCGTCAATTACCGAACGTCACAAGGATTAGAGCAAGCTCTTAGGGGATAAAATCTCTTTAGATTTGATTGGTAATTATTGGGTATGAGTATAAGCGTGCGCTAATCCTTGTGGCTTTCGGTAATTTTGATCTAGTATTGGGTGAAACCGTGTCGAACGGGTAACTTGCACTCTCCTCATCATTATCACGGACAACATGTATTAGTACAAGCTCTAAAGAAGATCGTTCGATTAAAACTTGATCTAAAATCTCATGATAGAAGTTCAAGCACGCATTAATTGCTAGAGAGTCTGGTACTTCAAGAAATGTTGAGGAGGTAATTCGGGTGAAGGGCGGCAGAAGACAGATTTTAGATGTACATTATCGTATATCAAAAACATTAGAGCAAGCTCTAAGGGGATAAAATCTGTCTGAAATTAATTGATAATTACACTGTATGAGTATAAGCTTGCGCCAATCCTTGTGGCATTCGGTAATTTTGATTGTGTTAGGTGGGTATGTGTAGGTGGAATTAGTGCAGACAACTCTCCTTCCCACACAATCGAGTCTCAACGTGATTTAGGCAAAAACAAAAGGTATGACATCTGTTAGATAAGTGTCTCTGATTATTTAAATCTGATTTTCGCCTCCAGTAATCATTACGGATTGTGGTAATTGAAGGTGTTGATTGATGACCCAGACGCATGCGTGGATCCGATGACACGTAGGCACCGGAATGATGATTTTGTCAACCACATATATTATAACAACTTAAAACTTTGCACAGTAGCTATTAGAGATATTTAGAATCATTTGGTGATAGTTTAAGCTTGCGCTAATCCCTTCAGCTATCGGTAATTGCATGACTCAATTTTGGTGCGGACACCGAACTTACGATTACAGGAGGCAAAAGAGTTCGGACGATTTAAGAACTGGGAAAATCAATAAGTACCTCATATGGAATAGTCCCAAGCTTGTGACTATATGCGCTAAGAATCACCCGGTCGTGATAACTGTACCCAGCCCAGCCTCAACTGAATTTCGAACACGACGATTACCGCAAAGCACAAGGATTAGCACAACTTCTATATAGATAAATATCATCCCTTATGACTCATTTAACTCAATTTTGGTAGTAAGAGGTTGCGCTAATCCCTACAGCTTTCGGTAATTTGAGTCCACGAAATGGACATAAAACTATGAATATCTCGATGACCATCGACCACAAACAGACACGCAATCTCAAAGTATATAGAATCGACTCTTTAAACAATTTGAAATTATCTGATATTAGTTTTATGTCACGAAAGTGACTTTAGTGTAGAAATATGTGGCTCCTTCTTAGGCATACATATTGACCCCAAACTAAATTTAAATTACCGCCCACCACAAATATTAGCGCAAGCTCTATTTACATGTAAATGATTGCTTAGATGTGAAGGGACATTTTTGTGCTCGTTACGTGTTGCTCTAATGATTTTTGCACATTCTGCTTTCTCCCGCAGGGAGAGATTCGCCTGTACATCAAACTAAATCGAAGGTGACGTTCACCACAAACATTAGCGCATGCTCTATCGGGATAAAATTCAGCCTTATAGACTTTCGAAACATATTTGTGACAATTTCTGGCTGCGCTAATCCTCATGGCAGTCGGTAATTTGAGTTATCTGAATTACCGCCAAATCTACTCGAAACCAAATTTAAATTACCGCCCACCACAAGGATTAGAGCAAGCTCTGTATATACAGAGATGATCATTTTAAAGTAGTTCTATCGTTCTATGCTAGTCTCTTTTTGCGCTAATCCTCATGACATCCGATGATTACATCCGTCTTAACAGGTATTGAATCGACATGACGGATCAAGGATGAGAATTACCGACCACCACAAGAATCAATATGATTGATTGAGACTGTCTATTGATTGATTAGAGCCCACTCGGTCTATACGTACTATATTTGTGCTCTCTAAATGCTTATTGAATACGAATATTTGAACTGTTTAAAGCTTGGTCAGATCAGTCAATTAAACCGGGAGGTGGAATTATCGGTCACAATAACCATTATTACGAGTCAATGGCACTTGAATATGATTATTTCAAGTGATCAGAACCTTTCTATATTTGTCACGACTTGCGCTAATCCTTCTGAAGTGCGGTGATCTAGCTCATCTGAACTCGCGTCAGATTCAACTGATCAATCGAAAGTCATCATCACCAACCACCATTACTTGAATTACTGGTTGAAAATACCTTTAAGTAATTATTTGACGTGTCTGAAATCTTCGTACACTGATTCCGAGTTGTCATAATGTACATCGAGTGTGAAGTACTCTACTATATTAGTGAATACCCAAAATCATACAGCACATAAATGCTTAATCTGTGGTCTCCCAATAGGTTAGCACACGTTGAAAGAATACCGTAATAGTTCTTTATGTTATTCCAAACCAAATGATAACACTCTAAGCCTGCGCTAATGCATATGGCACTCGGTAATTTGATTCATCGAGTAGGTACCTCATCTAGGCGCTAGATCAAGCCATGAATACCAAATCTTGGTTACTGTCTACAGAAACATTAAAGCACCTCGTAGCTAGATTTTACTAGGTAATTCGATGATTTAAATCCAGCAGTATCACTTAAAGCTTGCGCTAATCCTTGTGCAATGCGATGATTTGATTCTCTCAAGGAGATACTCACATGGGGACGTATCTTGCCCGGGACATTGCATCTGATTTGTCGTCAAAAATGAGCATTAAGACATGTTCAAATGGGATTGAAATGAAGTTTTAGATAGTTCCAAATTGATCTATAACACATTCAGCGTGCGCTAATATGTAGGGCATGCGGTAATTTGACTACACTCGATTTGAATAGTTTCGCTCATACGGGTTTCTTCCACCCGGAGGGTAACCTGATTGTATATACAAGGTACATTATAATACTTCAATTCGAATATTCTTTATATAGTATACAATTTCATCGGAAGTCTCATAATGATACAAAAATATGCTTGATTTATAACAACCAACTTCCTGCTGCATATTTGAAACTTCAAATGGCTGCCTTATAATCTCACTGTCGGTATCAACTTGATTGTTAAGTGTAAAGTACTTTAGTAGAAGTGCTAGCGCTAGTGCATACGCTAGTGCATACGCTAGTGCAATACAGTGCCCTCTTTTAGATCACATGATCGATATCCCGACACTCACCTTTGTTTTCTTCGTATATCTTAGCGTCTGCCATCTGGTTCAGCTTGATATCCCCGCACTTGCTGGCAGATAATCCACCTTCTCGTCGCCAACTTTCTTATCCATTCCTCGTCGCCAACTTTCTTATCCATTCCTCGTCGCCAACTTTCTTATCCATTCCTCGTCGCCAACTTTCTTATCCATTCCTCGTCGCAATCTATACCCTCCAGTCGCAACTTGCTTTTTGACCGTCGTATATACCGTCCTGTCGCAACTTGCTCTTTGACCGTCGCATATACCGTCCTGTCGCAACTTGCTCGTCGCCCTCTCGAACGGGCTATTTTTACTTCAAATTCCACGCTGCGGTGTTAACTCTATTCTATTTATATCCAAACACAATATCAAAATGAAAGTTGAAGACCTGAGCGCAGAGGAGTTGTTGGAGAATCTGCGCGCCGCGCCAAAGGAGAACGCGATTGACATGCTGGAGAGATGGACGAAAACCAAGAAGTCTGGAGCAGAGCTTGCAAGCACTCCTCCCGTAGGGTTACCAACTATACCTAAAAAGCCGACTCTCAGCTCTTTCGTTTTTCGAATTGTCGAAGAAGGGAGTGTTTCCATTTGGGATGGAATCAGCGGCAGTTACAAGCCCGTAAACAGCCTCACAACCAGCGTGAAGGTGAAGAAGCGCGAACGAAAACCTGGGAATAAACCCAGGATCATAAAGCTCTGCGGCCCTGACAAGTTGAAGGTCACCATTGCGGAAGGATTCTGCAAGGTGTTTTATTTTGCAGATGGAACTGTATCAGCTGAGGATGGATCGAAGATCAGACAGTTCATCAAAGCAGCCATTGGAGATATTGATGCACTGAAGATCGATAAGAAACTCTTTCGAAAGATGATCAGCAAGATTCGAGACAGCTTTCATACCGGGTGCGAGGAATTCCTTCATCAATGGGGCCAAGATATCCACGATCATCTGTCAATGGAAAATATCAGTAATGATATAGCCATATGCATGCTCCACAGAGCTTTTGGCAATTCGGTTGATCTGGACGAGTCGATTCTTTGGGGCAGATCATCATGCTTTTGGTATATCCAAGCATACAAAGAAAATGGAAATGCTGAGAGAAAATTGAGAAGGAGAAATATCGACAAAACTTTGTTAAAACGAATTGCCGAAGCACACAGACCGAAATTAGACAGCCTTGCCCTACCAGTGTCCCCATCGTGTCCTTATTCGCTGGCCAGTGAAGAAGGACTTTGCTATCAGATCGAAACTCCGGGCCATCGAAGTTTTGAAGAAGAAACTGATGCTTTCGAAGAAGACAAAGCAATCTAACATTGAAATTGGTGCACTCGACATGGAATCATCAGCAAGTCCGGAAAAAGGCGTAAGCAGGGGATATTGGATATATATTTCATTTCTTTTAAGAGTTTAATCCGACTGTTTCACAGCTCCCAGAGGGTAACCCGTTTGTAAATGTATTGTGAATAAGGAAGTGAATGGGAGAGTGAATTGAAAAATGAACCCGAAAGTGAATCGAAAAGTGAATTTGAAAATAAATTGAGAAGTATATAGGAAAGTGAATAAAAAAGTGAATAGGGAAGTGTATGCGAAAGTGGATGGGAAAGTGAACCCGAAAGTGAATGGGGGAGTGTATGGGGGAGTGTATGTGAAAGTGCATGGGAGAGTGGACCCGATAGCGCGCGGGAGAGTGATAAGTTCAGGGTTAGGGTTAGGGTTAGGGTTAGGGTTAGGGTTAGGGTTAGGGTTAGGGTTAGGGTTAGGGTTAGGGTTAGGGTTAGGGTTAGGGTTAGGGTTAGGGTTAGGGTTAGGGTTAGGGTTAGGGTTA